GGCGTCGGTACTCAGCCGCAGCATTGGCAACCCGCTTCTCCTCCTGGGAGAGACGACGGCGCTCCAGCTCGCGACGGGTCTCCGGAGAAATGTCGTCTCGGTCCAAATCATCCAGCAGGACATCATCCTCATATGGCGACATGTCGTCGTTTCTGGCTTCAGTATCACTCATCAAACTCGTCTTGGGGGCCTCTTCTGATGAGGGAGTCGTGGGCTTGTCACTCTCGAATCGGCGGAATGCCTCACCGAAGCGGCCCGCGAACAAGTTCTTGCCCCCTGAAAGTGAAAGTGAAGACAAGCTGCCGCGTTTGCTGTGCTTTGCGCCGCTACTAGAACGCTTCTCCCTCTTGCGATTAAGCTCCTCCTCTTCCTTCGCGCGAAGGTAGTCTATATCCGAAGAAATATTGGCTGGGTCATAATCGCGATCCAGCTCTGTTCGGACTGATCGTAATGGCGCACCACCTTCGTATTGCGATAAGTCCAATGAAGATCTCGACGCCTCCGGTTCCCGCGGCACGTACCCGGCCTGCACTGACACTGGACGGGCCTTGGCAATGGCAGATTTTGATCGACCCACAGGATCGTTGGCATCCAGTACAGATGGGCGTCGCAAAGACTCCATGGAAGGACGCGCGGAGCTAGAAAGGTTCGACAACCGGTCCGACGACAAACGCGGGCTTGCTTCGGGGCGCAAGCCCGATGATGGGGGGGATGGTGCCTTCTTCTGGTCCTCCTGTGCCCAGGGCTGACTCGAAGGACGATCCTGTTCAGAGGTTGGGAATCGATAGATTGGGCGGCTGGACAATGAGGGTTCTTGCAAGCGAGGTGTCTGAGCAGGCGATGTCATGGTCCCAGTGGATACCATCGCAGGGCGCTTAGGAGTGGGTTGATATAGCGTAGTGGACTGTCTGGCAGACACCTGCTGCGGTTCGCGTACAGGCGAAGTCTGGGATTGTCGACTGGAAGGAGGCTCCTGTCGTGTTGGACGTTCTGGCGAGAGTTGTCGAGCAAATGCTTGATCGGCCAAAGCATTGGTGAGTCTCTGGGAGAGATCGTTGTCATCCGACTTGTCGTTCGCCGTCGGCTCGAAATCAAACTTGTCTCCCTTCTCGTGGAGAATGTCAAATTGATCCAAGGTGGGGAAGCGTTTGGAAAGTTCGTCAGACTTCTTGCTTCGGGCCGCCGCGCCTCCATCCAGCGCGGCAAATGGATCACTCGAAGTTGCATCTTTGGAGCCACCGCGGTATGGGGAGGGGCTTGCTTTGGCAGAGTCGTGTGATGACTGAGGCTTCCCTGGTCGTCCTCTTCGCATAGGTGCGATCTCAGGGATGACTTTGGTTTCCTCGACAGGGAGCGAGTAGACTGCTCCCACCGGGGGAGCATCTGTTGGTGTTGGAGGCAACTCCTGGTTCTTTCGCGTCTCGGAAACCGTTCGGTTCGAGTAGATCTACCTTCGCGTTAGTAAAAATCGCATAGCGGTAGTAAAAAATTGTACGAACATCTCGAATCGGAACTTCCTTGCCCTGCATGTGACACATTTCTTGCACCACTTCATATATATTAGGCCGCTTCTGCGGGTTTCTCTCTGAGCATCGATGCTATGTCTCATTAGCCAAGTTCTTCGACCGGAGGCCTCTTGTACTCACCAATCAACATCTTTAACCGGTCCGAAAAACGCGGGTATGAGGGGTATTTGAAACTGGCGTTGAGAATAGCCATCTGACCCACCTCCTCAAAGGGGGTTGTATAATAACATAGTTTGTACAGGAGCACACCAAGGGCCCATATATCACTCTTCTCGTCAATAGGTTGTTTCCGATATACATCAATCATCTCCGGACTCCGGTACTGTAGCGTTGTGTGTCGCTGTACATCATCCTCAATCAAACGACCTTCCGCAGCAGATGTCGCCGCGGGGCGAGGAGGGGCGGAGGATCCGAAATCGCAAAGCTTGTATATGGCGGAGCTTCCCTTGCCCGAGATGAGAATGTTCTCCACCTTGAGATCACGATGCAGCAGAGGCGGCTTCAGGTAGTGCATACAGGCGACACCCTCAGCGCAGTCGGAGAAGATCTTAATGATCTCCGGCTCCGTTAGACGGTTCTGCAGCCGAGTGTTCATGAAGTCAATCAAACCACCTCCTCCGCAGAACTCCATGAGTAGAAAGACCTCATACCCGCCTCCGCTGAGCTGGGAGGCATGCGAATCGAAGTATTTGACAATATGTTTGTGTCCCTTCAATTTCTTCATCGTTTCGACCTCGGTGCGCATGTTCGCAAGGGCCGACTTGTCAGGCACAGCCACCCGCTTGAGCACCGCCGTCTCCGTGCCATTGATGGGTTGGGGTAACCGAACGACGTAGACATGAGCGAAACCACCCTCGGACAGATATTTCTCAATCACCACGCGGTGACCACCGACCTGGACCTTAGTCCCGGGGAGAAACGTCCCCGCAGGCGCGGTCACAGCGGCGACCGGGTTATAGGCGGGGAGGTGGCGCGACGCGGAGTGGCTCTGGTGAGAGGGTTGGAAGGAGGACATGGTGGTCGAAAGGCCCTCTACGGGTAGGGGGGGGTTGGATTGAGGGGTCTGCGAGCTATCGGCGCGGCATAGAAGTGCAAGAGAGAGATGGGTGCTTGGGTATGAGGGTGAGAATGGGGCCAAGAGGACAGTTGGCGGGGAGGCGGAGAGATTGGAGGGGGAAGAGGGAGAGGAGCGATGTCTTCCCACGGAGATGAGAGAAAATAAGTAGGTAGTGAGGCCTCCACCGAGGTTGAAAGTCAACAGCAACGAGGTAGAGGAGGAAGGGAATCTCAAGTGGAAAGACGATCCAATCACCGCCAGCGGGTCACGTTGCGGCGCGGTGATGCTCTCCGCCTGCGCTGTGCCTCCTACGTAGTACAACACATGTTAATCTCTTTCTTTAGTCCTTTATCTGCACCGGTTATCCCTCCGGACTCGATTTTTTTGTTTCTCTCTTCAAAGACAGGCTGGTCCTGATCGTGGGGATCAGCGTCCACCATAACTTGCTCAACGACTTCAAGGTGCCTTTCCCAGCTGCGAGTGCTCTGATCAGGGGCCCGCATCTCATGGCCCCGTCATGGGACTGCGCTTGTCCATGCTTCCATTCACCACCAATATCACGAACACGAAGACCCAACCAGTGACTGCTTATTCTCAGTGCAAATATCGATGCTTGCTAACGTGACCTACGTCCGTATGTCCTCTAGCCTATGGGGTATTGTACCTTTGAACATGTCTCGGAGGAGTACCGTTTCGCCGCGAATATCGCGGACCCACTAGGCTCGAACTATCTTTCCCCAACAATCGCTTGACCGCAATATTGACAGCCATCGAGATGACTCCTTTTACCCCACTCTCGACGCTATACTGAGCCAAGATGGATGGTCGAGGAGGGGTGCCTCCCGATGGAATACTCGCAAGAGCAACAGTACTCCGGGCTATAGTGGTCCGGAAAGATTGGTCACAACCCAGCCTATATGACATCGCTCGTATTGCTGAGGCACGGCATCCATCCTGTCCCGTACATGGCTGATCCACTCCGCCTTGAAGCCGGCTGCCGACCTCATATAAAACCACGATGTAGTTTGGCCTACACCATACTGTAAATCACCCATAACAATGCTATTGAGATACTCAGAAAGAGTCAATGAATCTAATATGTCTTGCTTTACTATCCGTTGTATGTGCTCGCTGACCTCCAAAACACCACGGGAGAGAGGTCAAGGTGTATTGTGTTCATACTAATAATCATTTCTTCCTCTTTTTTTCAATTCATACCTTCCATCAAACGATTGTGTTGAGATAGCTCGCACGGTGCCATGAAGCCTTCTAATTGGATTTTTTTTTCTCGAAATCTCGGACTTTATTGAAAGACGGCGAGTTGATATCCTTCTGGCACTTTGAAAGAGTTTCTTTTGTCAACTGTCAGCCGTAGGCTGGGTATCTATACTCGCGGAGAAGATGGAGGAGGAACCTAGAAGACACTCTCTATTCTTCCTGACGGGGAAGGAGATATCTACCTAGGTAACTAATTGGAAGTTATACCGCAAGCGCTAACCGCCAACCGCCAACCGCCTCGGCTGTTATATCCCGCTGACATAAGGCCGCATTTCACCCGAAAGGGTAAAACCAAAACAAACATTTTTAACGATTCAATTGCCACGTCCGGCTGAGGATTCAATGACCAAAGGTGCAAAAGTACTAGAAGTGTTGGCTGTCAATTGTAGTTTCACAGTCACAATACCAAATTAGTAGTAGATTACCCCTCGTTCTTGAGAACGACCTAGACTCGAAGCAAGGATGTTCAAATCGGCCGGCCCGATATCCCTCGATGCTGTGCCACTGCTTTTCCCCTCAGTGACAGTAGGGCTCGTGATCGCGTGGCCTCGAAGGAATCCAACTTTTTTGGAAGATCGGATATCCGTGGAAACTGCTGGCAAAGCAATGCGATAGAGGGGTGGGATTGGATGCGCCCAAGTTGTTTTGCTGTGTGATGGCCACGTCCTCACTGCATGGAGCCGCCGATCCTTAGCCGCTACCTGGGCCACTTCTCTCCTAAACAACTCCCCTCCCCCGTTGCAACCCTGCCTCATTGTTATCCGATCACCCATCTCTCGGTTATTTTTCGGACATCAAGATCGATTCTTCATTTGGCTTTTATATAATTATTCTTCTACCTACCCTCTGACCGGCTTCTCTGAGCACTGTATGGCCTAGGGCCTCAGTGCACATCTCTCATCACAACGAAATGAACGGGTTATTCACTTGCAACCGTATCGACAACCTGTTCAACTAGCCTCGATCGCATCATTCGAATCGAGCCCACTATCGGCCCGGACTGGTCTGGACCAAATATATATACCAAGAGGACAATTATACTCGGCTACGCAATATTCGTTCGTCCGAGTCGGCAGGCCGAATCGCATTATTTTTCGCCATCCGATCATCCTCCTTCCTAAGACTCGATCGCGATCGCAATGGATGGCCCTCCACCCCCTCCCCCGCCGCATGGCGAGAATCCTCACACCACCGACGGCGAATATCGTAAATCGTCCGATCTACCGCCCGGAAATTATGACATCTTCATCGTCCCGCCGCACTCATCCGGCGGCGGCTTCTTATACCTTCCCTCCCTGCAGTGCCATCGCAACAGCTTCCTCGCCGGCGCCTCAAGCACACTGCTTGTGGTCATAATATGGTCTCTGATCGCTCCCACTATCAAGACGTGGTATATGGCCTCTGTCTCCAACGGCCCGGGGGGGGATGGGAATGATGGTGGTCGCACTTGGTTTAGGTGTTGCTGGCTGGGCATTTGGAATGTCTCAATCAGGTAGCTCCCGGAGAAACGACGACAACAATGACAGTGGGAATGGCGGTGGTGGTGGCCGATTCGGCGGTGGTTTCTCTGGCGGTGCTGGACGCAATGCCAATGACCAATCTTCCGGTTCCAACCGCAACAGCGGCTCAAACTTCGGCGGTAATGGGTCAGGGCATCGACAACAACAAAGCGGAAACTTTGGCGGAGGGCAGAATCATGGTAACCAGTATTCTGGAAATCAACATGGCGCCGATGCCCCCCCCAAATGCCGAAGAGAAGGAGAAGGAGAGGGAAAGAGAGAAGGAGAAGGAGAGAGAGAGAGAAAAGGAGAGAGAAAAGGAGAAAGAAAAGGAGCGCAAGAGAGAACGCGAAAGAGAAGAGGAAAGGGAACGCCAAAAAGAGAAGGAGAAGGAAGATCGAAAGAAAGCTGAGATGCAGCGCGAACGTGAAGAGGCTAAGCGCAAAGAAGACCTCCGTCGAAAGATGGAAGAATTCAAACGCAAGCGTGACGCCGAAGCCAAGGAGAAGGAGAGAAGAGAGAACGCGAGGCTATGGAGAAAGAGCTTAAAGAGCGTCGAGAGCAACTGGAACGCGAAATGGCTGCGGCTAGGGAGAAAGCAGAGAAAGAAGCACGCGAGCGAATGGAGAGGGAAGCTGCCGAGGCCCGCGCAAAGCAGGAAAAAGCAGCCGCTGATGCGAAGGCGGAAGCTGACAGGCTCGCAAAAGAAGCAAAAGAGAAAGCCGACAAACTGGCCGCCGAGGCAAAAGAGAAGGCCGCCAAGGAGGCTGCTGAGAAGGAAGCAGCAGCTAAGGAGAAGGCCCAGAAGGAGGCCATGGCCAAGTTCGCTGCTCTCAAAGAAGCGGCCGCTAAACGCTACGCAGAGAAGAAGGCCCAAGAGGCCAAAAGCAAGGCCCAGCAGCCACAGGCTACTGCCAGTGCAACTGGAGCACCCAGGACACCTTCTCCAAAAAAGCAGCCACCCTTTCCAACAGCCAACACAACCATCGAAGACGATGCGTATTCCTTTCGGCCCTACGATCGTCCACGACGCCCGTATGGGAAGGCATCTGGATCTGGATCCGCCTACTCCGAGTCATCATATGCTCCTTCGCAGTCAACAGCTCGCACGACACCTCCACCTTCACACCGCAGCACATATTCCACCAAGGATCCTGATAAGATCGTGATCCAGGGTGTCTATCAGTTTAACAACGCTTTCATGAAGACTCCGGTCGCACAATTAGTCTCTGGACAAGGCATGGTGACCGATGGTCTTGTCCTACGCATGACAACCGAAGGTCTCTTCGTCGATGACGATCTTCGTGGTGTTGGCCAGCGCGAATGGGACGTCAAAGCATGGACCTTGAAATTGGCCGAAATCTGGTGTCCCCAGGTTGGATCCAACAGCCAACCCTCCAAGCCTGGTTCCAACAACCCATTCTCCTTCCGTCGCGGCGCATCAGCCAACTCGATGCCCACCAACGAAGAGTCCGACGCTTTCACCACCAACCTTCTCAAGGTTTGCAAAAACACCTGCCGACTGGCATCGCCAAGCGCCTGCTTTGCCCGCAGTTCCAACGCAAGTGGCGGTGGGCCAGTCCAGCCGCCACAGGCAGAGTTTCGGGGCCTCCACATTCTCCGCGCTAGTATTCGCGATCAGGAGGGCCGTAAGTACGTTTTTGTCCTGCAAGACACTGAAGCATGGAAGCTTGCCATGGGTCTCCAGCGTCTGCGCGGTGGAGCTCTCGTTCGTGCCTTGGGCGTCTCGGCACTTCCAGTCCCCGAATGCAAGAGCATCCTCGGTGGACTGGGCTATATTTAAAGGATATTTGATGATGGATGAAAATATCTAGGAGCTGGCTTTATGAAGACCAGATCCTATATATTTTTCATATCTAGTGATGGTTCCTTTTTCTTATATTGATTCTATTTTTTTTTTCTATGCCTGCATACTTGCGCTTTCTCGAGTTGAGCCTCTTCTCTCATTAGCGGCGGAGTTTGCTGCATCCTTTATACTACGGTACATTCATTCGCTTTTTGTCCATGCCTATTACCCCTACCCCACATTTATTGAGATTCCCCCCCGAAATGACTTTTGTTTCATGCGCGTTTTTGGCTTTACGAGTACAGTTGACGAGTATGTGGATGTTGGCTGGGGACGTACATAGCACAAATCATCATTCAATCAGTAACACCTTTATCTGGAAACAACCTCAACCTTGGAATCTCGCAAATAATTCATCTCGCAAAGAACTCGTTTGGCAAACAATAAATCGGCCGGGAGGTTAAATGGAAAATCCGTCGAACAGGTTGAAAAAGGTCCACAAAATCCTTCGAAGTCAACTTGAATCCATCCAACTCAGATCGATTTCCCAAATCCTCGGGTGGTTCCGTTCTCATGGGCTACCCTTCATCCACCCCGAAAAGAATATCGACATCATTCAGTTCCTCCGTTAGAAATTCTCTGGTCTGCTGAACTTCGTTTGTAATTGGACCCTTTGCCAAACTCTGAAGACTTCTGTAGACGGTAATTGACAGGTTCTCATCGTCAGCCTCCGTCTTTGGCGCCCCAAATCGAATGCAGTCTAGAGAATAAAAGGTTTCGATCCCAGTGCGTGGTGGTCAATTTTGTCGTGAATGGCCTTCCACTGAGGGTAAAGTGGATCTATCTGAGGAAGAAAGTAGGATATTATAGGTCGGCTTAGTGCCTCGTCAATCAGTTCAACTGAATATCCTGGCAAGAGTGGAGAGGCAACTTCTGTATGTATTCATTTGGCTGCCTCTCTCCATCTTGATGATTCTGGTGGCGAGCGATGTTCGAAGCAAAACAGGATGGTTGAAATAGGCTCCTCCCCTTCATGATAGTAGGCCTTAGTTGAATAATAAGCGGAGTCATCTTTTCTTTCCAGTAGTTCAATATCGGCCTTTTGGGTGGTTTCACATTCTTCCAGGATTTCCCGGGCTCTGCCAATGGCCTTCTTTGATTATCCAGGTTATAGCACCGGTCCTTGAGGGGTCTGGTCTTAACTGGGAGTGCGGTCAGGCGAGGTCCGCCGGCACGATATAGGTGTTTGAGGAATCCCTCGCTGTCAACGTCATACTCAGCAGTCCACAAAGTGTTTGCGGAAGGTGAGTCAAAGGCCAGCGAGTGGGTGCTCACTCGAGCTAGTTTGCTAGAGGATGAAATTTACTCAAGGATGGGAATTTTGCCAATCTTACTGATTTATCTAAAATTCTACTAAGGACTAGTGCAGCTACCTATTCAATTTGGTTTTTTACTACGCTGTCATGCCAATATAGAATACTACGACTACAGACAGTCTGTATGGGTCCATTCAGAAACAATAAATCAATCGCAATGGTATTAGGTACCTAAATATGTGCCAGGCTAGTCGATGCATTGCAAACCCCAGACCAAGCTCAACCCAAACAGCCTAGGACTATACATGGAAAAGGGAAAGAAGGGGAAGAAGAACAGAGAGCATATGGTGTATGAAGATATGTCCAGGCTCGAAATGTAACAATGGGACACACGGAGCGGAGACCCTCCAGACAATAGATTTCCAGGAAGAGGGATAGAGAAAGGGCGGGTAGGGTAGGTAGAAAGGTGGGGGCGATGGAGAGAAGGAGAGGAGGATGCGATGTGAGGGAGAAATATCAGGCCGTGAAAGGATCGTATAGGTAAGGCGTAGCCGATGAGTCAAGTCATAAACGCTGAAGGTGAAAAGAAAAGTGTGTAGAGGCAAAACATGTGAGGGTATGATTTGGACGCGAAGAGAAACCAATGTTTTTTTTTCAAGCTCCCGAGTTCCGGCCCGGGAGGAAACACGGCATGGCATGCAGATATGGCGCCAAGAAATGTGAATAGAAGTGTAATTCCAATCGTTGGATGAGAATGTCGTGACTTAATGATAGTCGTGCTGTGTTTTTTTGAGTTTGCGTTGACAGCCAGGTCAACCCGTTGGGGTCCAGCCACCTGATGCTCAAAAAATGAGAACTCCAATGTGCTTGGCGACGATGTGCAATGAAGAAAGCGAGGGGAGTAGCGCACGGTGTATTGCGCTTCTTTTTATTCCTCTTTCCAGTCCCACACTTGCTTCACGAAGTTCGCCATGTTGACCTTCTTGTTCTTCATGTCCTGCACCCACGGATGATCCAGCATCCGCCAGGGGGTTGCTCGTCGAGGAGGCTCTTTTTCGAGACTGTGATAAATGTTAGGGACGTTTCCAGGAGGATATAGCTTGTAATAGCACATACCAGCATTCAATGAAGTACTTGAAATTATCCGACCAACGAATACCGTGATCCGGCTCATCCTTCAGCTTGGGAATCGGCTGGCGAACAATGTATGTGAGGAGATCAATTAATCCGGCGCGGGGTTGCATCTCGGTTCCGTCGGCTGGGAAGGGGAATCGGTGCTGGGCAACTTCCAGCAGAGACACGCCTAGGGACCAGACGTCGGAGGTGATGGTGTATGATTGACCCGTGATACGTTCGGGGGCCATGTAGTAGGATGTACCGATAAAGGTGTTGGCATCGCCCTTTGTACCGAACTCGCCACTGACACCGAAATCGCAGAGCTTGACTTGACCGTCGCGGCAGAGGAGGATGTTGGAAGGTTTGATGTCTGATCCTGTTAGCGAAAGGCGAATTTCGAATTTATCTGGAGCATTGGTAATACGTACCACGATGGATAATCTTTCGGCTGTGCAGATAAGTCAAACCGTTTAGAACACCCTCTGCAACCTTGCCCAGGACCTTTTCACCGGTTCGGCCTCCCAGCTTCTTCACTTCCTTGTAGATGCTATCGAGACTTCCACCTTCGCAGAATTCCATGGCAATCGAGATAGTCCCCGAAGTCTTATCCATGAAAGCACCGTAGTAGCGGCAGATGTGTGAGGATGCGCAGTCCTTGTTGAAGTTGAGCTCGCGAACGATCTGTTTCTTGACGTCGGGGTTGGGGTCGGTGGTGATGATCTACAATCGGTTCGGGTTAGTGATCACGACGATCTTTACTGGGTGGATAAGAGGCTCAAGGAATGGTATGCTCACCTTCAAAGCAAAGACGGTCTTGCCCTCCTTGAGTTTGCAGCGGGTAACAGCGCCACCGGCACCTTCACCCAGACTTCCCAGTTCAACGATCTTGTTCTGCTCGCTGGCGGCATGCCAGCCCTCATCATCCAAATCCTCCACGTCGAGCGGGCGGCCCTTTTCAAGACTCAATTTATCCAGGTCGGGGAGTAATGAGCTGACGCTGGCCTCCCGCTTCATCTGTACCGCGCCCTCGGCATCGGAGTACACCGAGCTGATGGCGGATGAGGGGTCTGAGTTGCCTCCGGTCGGCTCCCGCAGGCCCATGGCGAAGTTGAGGGCCGAGTATGAGGAGTTTGCGGACGTGGGGCCGCTGGCCTTCTGGTCGAGCGGGGGTTGGCCATTCACGCCCAGCCCAGAGGTGGAAAGAGAGAGCAAGGAGGGTTTTCCATTGGGCTTAGACTCCTGCGGAACACTCTGGCTACTGCCCATCGGGGTGGCCAGTTTCAGACGGGGCAAGGCGGGGCGGGAGGGCTGCGGGTGCAGTTGGGGCTGAGGTTGCGATGGTTGGGAGGGTTGCAAGGGCTGTAGTTGGGGGGGCATCGACGGAGATTCCATTGTCGGTGACGGGCTTCGCACTGGGAGAAGGCGGGATGCCGAGAGTGAGTTTGGGGACTCGTGGACTGGCGGAGTTATTGCGGTTGCCAGGCACGGGCGGGCGAAGGAGTGGGACAGAGGCGGAGGAAGACATGGCGAGATTGTTCTGCCTTTCCCCAGGCAGGAACAACTCGTTAGGATCAGCGAAGGTAGCCACAACGGAGAAGCAAACGAGAACGAATGTGGTGGTGATGGAGGGAGGAAGGGGAGAAAAAGAGAAGGTTGGTGGTTGGCAGTTGGCAGTTTGGGGGGGAGAAAGAGAGGAGCAGGTGACAAGTCGCAGGTTCAAATTTGGTTCCACTCAAGAGGGGAAATGGGACCTTTGTAGGTGATGGGATGGGATGGGATGGGATAGGGTAGAATGGGATGGGATGGGATAAGGTGTAGATATAATATGATAGAAATAATAGTATCAGCCCTAATGAATTCAAGATGAATATTAATAGAGTTGATCGTATTAATAGACGGGGATACTAGTAACTCTGTAGACTCGCGAGGGCAGAGACGATCGGGTGGTGGGGCTGTGGTGTTTCAGAAGGCGCCTCGCTGAAACATCATATCTTTGGGAGAGTACAGAGTACAGAGGAGGGACAACGCAGTCTTTTACTTGGTCTATACTATATCTCCAGCTGGGCATATACATGCTGATATGCAAGTATACAGGTGTGCTGGTCAACTGTAATGTACGACTAGTATACGATATGCCTAGATAGCCAGTTGGGCATAAATGGTGCTGCCTTAGAGCCACATTTCCTTGCACTCTGCCATCTTCACCACCAGTACTCCATACTCAAATACTCCGCATATTCCCATCATTTGCATCATTGCAGCATTGCATTCTCCCATGGCCACACCCTCGCAATATGTGGTGTTGACATCATAAACCCACGAATACCCACTTGCTGCTGCCATATGGAGTCCACTATTCCCCGAATAGTCTCGGATAATTCCGAAATTGGTCCTGTTCTACTCTGTAGGGACGGCATTTCGGACATATTTAGAAATCCAAGGACTCAATGCATCATAACCTCCCCTAACCAAGGATCCAGAGTAGTCTATCTTGGGTAGCCTCCTGTGGCTGATAGATCAGATCCCTTGACAGTGGCTGAGCATCTCGCCAGGTCCGGTCCAATTTGTACCTAGGTATGTCATCACCTAAGTCCAATCTTCAAGTTTATTTCAATTTCAATTTCAACGTGCCCTACTGGTACTGCTCTCCTCTATATCTCACATCACCCCCTGTACTCCTACTCCGTTACCACTCGGCTCATGTCTCATTTCCTCCTCAATTTGCACCACCACAGTTGCACCGCCAGTTGCACCGCCAATGTTTCAAATCTCATCCCAAATCTGACTCTGAGACAAGCCACTCGGCCCACTTCTACCCTCGCATTTTTCGGCTCCCCAGGTGTACAGCCACACCTACATCCATAGATCGACTCGGAAAGTGAACTCAGGTTCATCTTTCCTTCTCCTTTCCTATGCAATTAGCCCTTGCAGCACATCAAGCTAGCACGGAGCAAAGTAGCTCCCGATAAGGCCAAAATAGACGTCATCGACCACCGCGAATCCTGCTGGGCTCTCTTGACGCGCGGTTCGAGCGGGACAGCAAGGATCACAATCAGTTACACTTGACAACTCGTTACGTCCTGTGCTATCCTGCCCTGAGTTGACCTTCGTAGCCAGTTTCCCTCTGGAATAAGTGAAGTGGTACGTACTCCGTAAACCATATTACTTACGAGCTCAATCCTCGGCCGGCAAAACAGAGCAGAAATGAGCCATGATCCTGATTAATTCCAGTCTCAACGCTCGACCCTACAAACTCGGCAAATCTACGGATCCTACCGCACATAGACAGCCGCTAACCAACAGCCACTACTTGGCAGGGTAACGGCGTCTTCATATCATGCCGATTAATTGTCTCTTTTCTTTTGCCGCGCCCGGCCCAGGTCCCTAGTCGCACTGAATATAAGACTGGTGGGAGGAGAGTGGGAATTGCATACTCCGTACTCCGTAGTTGAACTTGAACTCCTCCCGACCCCTCCCCATCCTTCCCATGCAATTATTTGCCATTGCCGAGTCAATTGCTCGCATCTGGTAGACTCCGTTGCTCTGTTTGGACTCCATCCAGCTCAGATCCGGTCAGATGCTGTCCGGTATGACGCGTTGCTGCCGATCGCTTCTCGGCGCGAAATTGCTGGCGGCAAGCTGGCCAAGACTACAGGGCTGAAAGGCAATGTGATGAAGAGGGTGCTCCAACGGGTCCAAGTAAGATTATGTAGGACCGACCGTCTTCCATTCGGTCTGGTTGGACATAGTATCGCCGAATGACAGTCCGCCCTGGGTGAATCCAATCTTGCTTTAACCATGTAGAGCAGACGATCACTTCGGCTAGACGACGTCCCTCACGCGCATCTGGATCCAATCCAGATTACGGAGTACATACACAGTCGGTTCAAAGGGTCCACATGTAACTGGGGAAAAAAAAAGAAACAGGCGAGTTGGAGATTCTGTGATTCCGACTTGCTCTTGCCTACCTATTAGTGCTGTACTCCATATACGTACATACCGCGTGCTCTTTCGAGTTCCATCCCCCTTTTTCTCAGGAGAAAGATATCGCTTCTGGGGAGCGATCATTCCAATACTCCATACTCTGGACTCCGCAGAGGAATGCTCACACGGATCGCACGCCGTCCAGTGTCGAAAGGGTAGATCCACAGAACCTATTATTATCCCAATGAACTCTCCTCCCCCTTTTCAATCAATAAAGCGGTTCCACCGCTCCTTAACCCGGCTAAACATAGCTCACAGAGACATTAGATGGGGGGGGTTCTCAAGATAAGAAGGACTCCAAAGTAGAGGCACCAACCAGGAACTAGACCGGTCCAAGGATTTCGACGTTGCGCAAAGGAAGAACCAAAGGAAAAGGCGTTGGTTGAGATTCAGATTCAATCCAACGAGATTCATAGAAAATCAATAGTCGCGGAATGTGGAGTCTGGGGCGGCCACGAGGCAATGTATTGGGTCGCATAAGAGGATCGGTCTGGATCTCACAGCAAAGACATTCCGGTCAAGGATTTAGCAGGCCAGGCTTCGATTTACATTTTGCGTCTCCTGGAACTCCATCAGTCCGTATGAATACGTTATATGCTTGTCTACGGAGTATATGTGGGATAGAATGTACTGTCAACCCCTAATGTGGAGCCTCGTCCATGACCGCGATTAAACCTTGGCGAAAGCACACCACTACCAGTCCTCAACGGTCATTGGCCCTTTGGGCAAATGTATCATGGCTGAATGGGCGGTCCGACACCAGCAGTGCCGTCCTTCGTGGTCGAGACTCGACAGGGTCGACTAGGGTGCTGATCCATTGCCGCGCACAGATACTGAGTCTGATGCAGTCTCAGTGTACGAGTAAGTACTTACATACATACAGTAAGCATAACAGGGGGCGCAGAATGAAAATGAAAATTACAACACCCAAGACATGCGTGATGCCAGGGACTAACTTAGTACATCCATATGTACTCCGTACACGACTGGGTCTAGGTCGCGGTTTCTGCACTCTATTCAAGGTCAGACAGACAAACTCTCGCGATACCGATCTCATCAGGATCAGGGTCCTGGCCCTGGTCCTGGCTTGGCGAAGTCTGAAACCACGACCGATACTCTGATGGAGATGAACAGCCACGCACGGCACAGTTAAGGGACTCAAAACTCTCGCCCAAGCCTCTTTTCTTGTCTCTGGCTCCCCCGCTCTAGTGGCTTGGACCTGACATGTAAGCTCCGTTAAGCACTTTGTTGACTGGCGGTCTAACCGTTCGGGGAGGTGGTTGCAGTTTTGACCGGTCCCGCTGTGGGGGCGACGAGGGCAGTTTCTCCGGATGCAGGAACAGGATGCAGGGCGGTGATGTGGTGGGTGATTTGATCGAAATCATAATAAAAACAATCAATTTTATTGTGGGTTTTTTCTCTCTAATACTGGGGCAGGATTCTACACTTGCTTGGTTGCAATGGAACCTAAGACAGTCATGGGATCCACCGAACAACAAACAGGATGAGGGTCACGACCAGAATAGAAGCTCGTAATATAGCAATATACACCGTCCACTGTGCAAAGAGGGAAGTGAAAAATGGTAATACATCGCAATACAGTAATCAGAGTAAGGCTCGGGAAACGAACGTGATTCGCGCACCCCGGGAATTACCAATGGATCCAATTGAAGCAACCAGCGACGTGCTCTGCACTATGGAAATACACTGCCCTGGAGCGAACCTCGGGTACCTGGACGGGAGGACAAACCAAACCTGGTTGAGATAAACACTCGGAGTAAGGACTTCCGTTCGTCATCGGATGTGCGTTGTTTACAATGAGTTACCGGTGTTGTACGAGAGCCGTGCCCAGTGAAAGTGGCAATCATCCACGGGCTTTTCAGGGGTAAAGTGGATATAGGACCCACTTAGGTCGCCCGCACTGGTTGAAGGCGTCAGGAACGGGCAGTGGATCAGCGGTGGATTGGCTGGACTGCGTGGCCTGAAACCGCTAGACCCACTGGGAATCGGCCGTGGGAGATATCGAAGACGGAGTAATATGGAGGTATACTCCGTGCTCTTACGGAGTATACAGAGTATACGATATACACATGATATAGTGACCACGAGAGGTACTTCAGTTTACTAGATACGTGTGTACAACCAGGAAATCTACGGATATCAACTTCTACTTCCACTCAACTTCTCTGTATATCACGAAGTAAGGAATGTCTCATCCACGCAAACACCCCAGCCGATCGGCATCACAGAAGACGCTAAAGACATTAGTGGCTCCCAAAATTACACACCAACACGGCGTCACAACCAAACGAGCTCAACCCCAATGCCCCTCTTATCCAATGACCGACTCCATCCAGGGGCCGCTTGACTCCAGGCGGGCTGTGTGCAGAACAGATGACGGAGGTCACTGGTACTTCAATCATGCGGTGTGGATGAGTGAAGGGACTCGGTCATTGGTACCCCGTGGACCCCCAAACATCGTCACTCTTCTTTTTTGGGTGTTTTTTGAGGGTTTCCCCTTTCCCCTTTTTTTTCTTCCCCTGCTCTAGTGCTAGTGACTCCGTAGTATCCGTAATTGGAGGCCCATGTTGATCCATGAGGACTAATCTCCCCGTTCATACAAAGGGCCCCTAACTCCCCCGTGGTCTCCCTTTCCCTTTCTTTCTTCTTCAAGTACATTCTTCGTTGCCATCGCATTCAGTCACTCTCTAGACTTCGGTCATCCATTCTTTAACCAACTACCAACACTCTCTTTCTCACCAAAGCTCCGCTTTTTTAAATCACCTTAACGGTTTATCAATTCCATACAATCAAAATGCGTTTCTCCACCGCCACCATTGCCCTCTTCGCCAGCCTGGCTGCTGCCGCCGTCCAGAACGGTGCCGACTCTACCGTCTACCAGACCGACGAGGTTACCGTCATCTCTTGCGCCGCCTCCGTCACTGACTGCCCCGGCCGTACCTCCACCCCCGCCGCTGGTGTTGAGCCCACCACCACCCCCGCTGGTGTCGAGCCTACCACCACCCCCGTCGGTGTTGAGCCTACCACCGGTGCTCCTTCCGGCCCTGCCGGTGGCAACCCCCCCTGCCTCCTCCGGCCCTGCCCCCAGCTGGTCCTCTGTTCCCGCTCCCCCCGCTGTGACTCCCTCCGGTGGCTCCCCCGCCCCTCCCGCTGTCACCCCGGTCCAGAGCTACAGCTTGACCACCTTCACCAGCTGCATCCCCACCGTCATCACCTCCCAGGTTCCCGTCTCCTCCGCTCCCGGTGGTGGCTCCCCTGTCGGCCCCGGCTCCGGTGGCGTTCCCCACGTTCCCTCTTCCTCCGCCGCTGTGCCCAGGTAAGATCTATATCAACAACCCACTTTTTTATATCTTCAATTACTAACCCATTTCCAGCGGTACCTCCCCCGTCTCTCCCTCCGGTACCCCCGCTTTCAACGGTGCCGGTGCCGTCTCCGGCTCCCTCACCTTCGCTGGTGTCGCTGCCGCCGCTGCCTTCTTCCTGGCATAAATCATTCCATCTATGATGGACTACTATCTCTAATAGTGCCACGCACAATTAGTGTAGTTTAAATGGTTACGGACATACGGAGAAGATAGATGGAGAAGAAGAGAAGATTTGTGATTTAAATTAGGGTTCTGGTGATATACCTTGCCTGCCTGACCGATACTTGTTACTTGCTTCCGATTGGATATGTTTTATCCTCATTTTTTTCTGATTTTTGATATACATATTTATTTTTCCTATTCTTGGGCTTCCTGGATAGCTTCGGAGTTGTGTGAAGCGCATTTGGTGGCTTGAGCACGATCTTAATGTAAACCATGACAGCTTTCACCCTTTCCTTACTTTCCAGTGATTTCAACCCGTAACTTATTTTTCTCTTCTATTCTTCTATTCTTCTATCGCACTTTTCTTTTCGATGTATCCTTACTACTAGTATAATGCACTTTAACTTTCTTTTGTCTACTTTCTTTTGCTAGACGCGTGAATATTATCTTATTTCAGAATCCAATCTTATTCTGAAACGACTATCCCCAAATCCCTGATCGCCTCGAAACGGCGAACTTGGCCCCATATCCGCTTTTTTCATATGACAAGGGAAAACGAGACTCGGCGGAATCCGAGTATGTGGTACCTCAAAACGGACAGCGATGTCTGAAGCCGACTCTTTTACAGACTCAAGAAGTTGTCATTTCGTCTTGAGCGTTTGAATGCAAATGCGGTGCTCACAGTCCTTGATCAGGGCCCTCTCAGTCTAATCCTTCGGTCCCTGTTATTGGGCTGAGATCATCCAATCTTGGCAAATGTTGCGAAACAAACTCGGCCCCTCTAAAGAAATGAGAGGGCCAATCGCATTGGTCACTCGGTGATATCCGTCGCACGGGTGGCACTGAACATGCATGGATGCGAGTGGGCGTGGGGAAGCTGCCAGAAAATTGTACAAGTAGAATAGTATAGTATTGTTTCAGGTTTGACCATCTTGGAAAGCAAAACTTGAACCTCCAGTCCACGACTTTTTTTGATTGACTACCTACCTATTACGTAGGCAGTACTACTAGGTAGTGAATTATCGTACTGTTCCTGGCCAGGTCATTTCCAATTGGAATACTCCGAGTCTCGATATATCTCAGGTTCATGGGTCCATTGGGCTGAAGGCTGGTACTAAAAAAAACCTTGAAAGAGTAGTGCCTAGGTACTTAATAGGTACCTAGGTGCCCCGGTGTGCATGGTTAAATATGCATACTAAGGCTCAGGAGTACCTAGGTATAAAATTACTACTTTTGTATATTCCTTATGCCTACCTAGGTGTCAGAAGTAGTAGTAGGATCTTGATTCTGACATGGCCACATCCAGTCACGGTTCAGCCACATTTATATACTACTAGTATCTCATCTGAAATCAGAATTCCCAAATACGATGGACCCATTGCAGCGCAATGTATGCCGAAAAAGGAAAGTGAAAGGAACAGCAAGGCTAAGAATGCCTTGCGATTATAGAGCTCGCGTGAGCATGACATCAGCCATCTTATTAGTAACTACTACCAGGGCTAGTGGTACATAACCCGAGGTCGGCATAGGTTTGATGGGGCCGAAATCGGGTTTTTTGAGCCAAGCCACTGCGGAAAAGCGCGTGTCCTTCTTATGTACTAAGTACCAGTAATATTGCGATCTGCATCTACAGCCAAGTCAAGTCTTGACGCTCCCCTTGCTAAATATATCCAGCACGATCCTGGGGGTCCGGGGAAATTGAAAAGTTAAAATTCTGATAAGCCAAACCCGCATCGTCCATGCATCGCATCAGCATCTCGAAAGACGTTTAGGTCACCAGCGCGAGTGGAGCGGCCCCATACCTATGCCACGGTCCAACAACCTTGGAATCCCACACTGCTCTCTTCCACCGTGAGGATCTTGGCTCGCGCCTTCTACCCAAATTGAAACAACACTACGAAGTATCAACAGAGAAGCTTACTGTCATAGCCAATCCTCTATTGGTCGCCCAAAAATAGTCGGCCCACTACCAAACTTGGCGCGGGTCGCGTCTGTAGAGGGAACAGGGGCTATGCGCTAGCAACAACGAGATTTGATTCACCGCTGAGCGACATAACAACAGAGTAATAGGCATATGCTCCTTCGAGGGCCATGGCCCCTTCACACACTGGATGAGGTGTTCGAGCTTTGCCTCAAAAAACTCTCCTCCCTTTTCACAGTGTTAAATGATAGAAGCGGGCCAGCAAAATCAAGATGAGGGTCCTCCCTCTCTTCTTTCCGACCCCCACTTCCACTCCAATATGCTTTCAAAGTTCCATACAGTCTGCCTTGCGATGTGAGATTCCAAATATGGACCTAAGATATCACCGATCGATCCACCAGGTGCTACCTGGTGGGGTTGATAGATCTTTAATTGCCGGGGCGGCGTCAGACTAGCACTTCTCTATCACTGCGTCGTGTTCAGTGAATGGCAAATTGGCGGTGGATTTCGGAGTTTCCGGCCCCATGAAGGATTCTGGGTCGTTTCCAGAACTCCATAACTTACTATGTATTGACTTGGGCCGCCGTGGCCACACCATGACTCGCTTAAGACGCATGGCGCGCTGGAGGCCTCGTAGTTGGTTATTCCCGACTTATCCAACTTTTGACTGGTGGCTTAGTTCCTCCTCCTCCTATACATCCCTTTTATGGTGTCTGTTCTTGGTTTCATATTCTCCCGAGGTCACTTTCTCACTATACTCTTCTGCCCTGGACTACTTGCAGACGATACTAGGATCTCTGCCAGGTTTGGATTTGGGTTCGGGATACGAGCCTCGTACAACGATCCACTCTTCTCCATCTATCAAAGCGCACGTCATTCGGGTTTAAAGATAGTATACTATCCGTTTAAACATTCCAGGACATCATCTCTCATAAAGCGGGTCATTTTCGCAACCCCGCGCTGATACTCTCCGTGAAATGCCATTTTGCTCGCTAATACCGAGACGTCGATTTCTTCGAACAGATTCCTGTCCACGGCAACAAAACCTCATGGATCTATCTTCGTTAGAAGGTCCGCCAATCGATGATCCGAGGGTGGTCATTACACCTGATCCCATGGATGGTCATGTTCATCTGCGATCGCCTGTAATGGATTCCAATACAAACCCCAGTCGGCTGTGGAGGTCTCTACCACCGAGACCATCATCCCCGAGACGCCGTCCTTCCTCGTCATACGAGTCCCTGGCAGCGCACAATAACAATAACCATGCCTATCGCTATCATCACCGACCACCCAACCCTCGAACCGAAACCTCTCTCAGCGAGGGCCATCTCCGCAGAACACACGCCCAAAGGGGTAGGAGGACCCCATCACCCGATATAGATATGGACATCGACCTGCATATGGATCTTCGCATTGACTCTGAGCCACGAGGCCCGAGATTTACCCAGCGACCCCGATCACCAATGCGGGACCTGGTACCTCTACCTCTTTTAAGCGCCGATACCCCAGCACCATCTAATCGCCAGCACGAACGCGGCCGACGAACACAAAGCTGCTGTCCACTTGTCTGGGTCGAATCCGATCAGCAGTGGATAGTCAGTGAATCGTATCGCCAACAGCAGGAAGAGCCCTGTGTGGAGCATAGTCGAGCGTCGGACTCCATTTTTCATCGAACGCCGCTGTCAGATCCGTTCTTGGGGCTAGGGTTGGGCTCGGATTTTGACGCTTGGGATGGAGCTGAGAATGAGCCCGTCGATTGTCCGCCTACTTATGAGAGCCATGGGTTTAGTCCCACGTATGCCAGGCGACTGGGACAGGGACGAGGCCAGGGACAGGGGCGGTGGAGCGAGGTGGCGTATCGGATGCATGACCTGTCTACTCCGTACGGTGGGAGATGATGGGATGCATGCATTGTACTCAGTACTCAGTACAGCGGAGTTGATAGTTCCTGCGACGGTAGAGCTTGCTGGGACGACTGGTGGACCCTGGACGTGCTTGATTGATCGTTATGCTTGTTGTTTTCATATCGTTCAACGGGCGCTAGAGTCGAGGGCGAGGACCGAGTGAAACTTCGGACACGATGGACTCAGCCATGTTTGACCAGACTTGTCTCAGGGGGTGAGGAGAGATTTGGAAGAGATGGGTGGTGGAACTTGAAGATTGAAGGTGGCCGGTCTCTCTCGAGGCATCGGATCCATCTTGATATGTGCCATGTTTGGTGCGAGTGTCTATTTTGCAGTGAAGATCTGTTTATAATACCCCCAAAGCGAGGGACTTCGGAATCCCAACCCCAATATCAATATCAATATTGCATTGCATCATATCATATCGAGTGTATGTACTTTGTACTCCGTATGGCATCTCCATCGTATCATATCATTCCACATTGTTCCCACACTTTCTCTCCCACCGTACTTTTGACCTGCAAGTAACAAGTCGATAAGAGCAGGGCTTTCCCCTCTTCACGGGCCAGCTGGACTCTGACTGGTCTGGGACCCCAGTCTTGGAGAAAACAAAATGCATATCGGATCCACTACTCCACCGCCAGTGGAAGGCTCGCGGATTCCTGGCGTTTTCTCCACGACGACAGAGGTTGGACAGGCGACAGATTGAAACGGGTGTCAGTCTGATGAAATGAGGGGTCAGAAGAGATTTGTTGATTCGTCCTTGGGGGGGGGGAGGTCCAATGGGGGGGGAGGGGGAGGGGGATTGAGAGGAGAGGAATTTTCCCATTCCTTTTTTCCTTTTTTTTTTCTCAATCTGTGACTCGATGTCTCCAGTTCTCTCTGGCGCTAACACAGACCAGCAGCTCTTTTCCAGCCTCTGAATATTCTTGCGAGTCCACCAGTAGAAAGCAAAAGAAAAGGATCGATGATAGAGTGTTATAAGTAGAGAGCCGGGACTATTCTGCTTATTCTGTTCTGTTCTGCTGTTCTCTTCTGCTTCGTTGTGGTTTACCTCACTGATCTGTTCGGCACCCAATGACCTCGAGTATGGTGTAGCAGATACTGCTTGACCCAATCTGTCAACATTAACTATTATAATCCTGGGAACACAGCACCAGACTGGATAGCTGTCATCTGTGAATAGCAGTACCACTATTCACATACCCCAGCTATCCCACACATTCCATTCATTCTTCCACAATTCTACCGCCTTCGTTCGCCTTCGATTGACCCGAAGAAAAAAAGGAAAACCCCCGACCGCCCGCCCGAATGGTTCAACTCGCCCACATCTTCAAGAAAGACAAGGATAAGGAAAAGGAAAAGGAAAAGGAGGAGAAGACGAAACTTAAGGAAAAGAACAAGGATAAGATTCGAGACGATATTTCAATATCTCCTCCATCATCACCCAGAGCCTCCTACTCCGCCACGCGCAAATCACCCTCCAAAAAGTCTTCTTCTTCTCCGAAAAAGTCCCCCTCCAAGACTTCTCCCACCAAAACTCGCTTCTCTCACAGTCACTCTTCTTCCACTTCAACCCCGGCCACTTCTTTTAAATTCCGTCGGTCTTCGCGAGACCAGGATCTTCACCCTCTCAATCTCCCGCCCGACGAACTACATCGTCGTCTTTCGGCCATGGCGGACCAGCGCAGTTCCATGGACATCGATACCCCAGATGTTCAAATGAAGAATGGTGGAAGTGGAAATGAGGAGCGGAGTCCGACTCCTCCTCCACACAAGTCAACTGGCACTTCTGATGAGGCCGAGTCCTTCAAGTTGGCCGGTAACAAGTTCTTCAAGGATGGCAACTACAAGCGCGCCATCGAAGAGTACAACAAGGGTATGCCCTTCCTTCGGATACACGACCATGCCATTACTCATGCTCACCTTCTCTCTCTCTACAGCCCTCGAGATTAACCCCAACTCCTCTGCTTTCCTCTCCAACCGTGCCGCCGCCCACATGTCCGACAGGAACTACCTGAACGCCCTCGAGGACATCGAGCGAGCCAACGAACTCGACCCCACAAACCCCAAGATCATGCACCGCTGGTCCAAGATCCTGGTAAACCTCGGTCGGCCCACCGAAGCCCTAGACGTTCTCTCCCGGGTCGAACCCCCGGCCACAGCGACCGACCGGGCCCCCGCCGAGAACATGATCAAGTTCGTCAAGCAAGCCGAAGACACCCTCGCCGAGGACCGCGGAGGCTCGATGGCCATCTTCTGCCTGGACAATGCCCGCAAGGGCCTGGGTCTGGGCGTCAAGGAGCCCCGGAAGTGGACGCTGCTGACCGCCGAGGCGCAGCTGAAGATGAACAACAGCAACTCCCTAGGCAAGGCCCAGGATATCGCCATCCAACTCCTGCGCGAGAACAGCCAAGACCCAGATGCCATGATGCTGCGCGCACGGGCCTTCTATGCCTCCGGCGAGACCGACCAGGCGCTCAAGCTGCTGAAGATGTGCCTCGGGCTGGACCCGGATATGAAGCAGGCGATCAAGCTCCTCCGCATTGTTCAGAAGCTCAGCCGCACAAAGGACGAGGGCAATGCCGCCTTCAAGGCTAAGGATTACCGCCGCGCTATCGATCTCTACACCCAGGCTCTGGAAGTCGACCCCGCCAACAAGGATATGAATGCCAAGATTCTGCAGAATCGTGCCCAGGCCTACAACAGTCTGAAGGAGTACGAGTCCGCTGTGCAAGATTGTACAGAGGCTCTGCGTCTGGACCCTGGTTACGTCAAGGCGATGAAGGTTCGTGCCAAGGCGCATGCTGGTAACGAGAACTGGGAGGAGGCCATTCGCGATTATAAGAGTGTTGCCGAGAACAACCCCAGTGAAAGGGGCATTGCTGAGGAGATCCGTCGTGCTGAGTTCGAGCTGAAGAAGTCTCAGCGTAAGGACTACTATAAGATTCTTGGGGTTGGCAAGGATGCCTCTGAGCAGGAGATCAAGAAGGCCTACCGCAAGCTGGCCATCCAGTATCACCCCGATAAGAACCGGGATGGCGAGGCTGGCGATGAGAAATTCAAGGAGATCGGCGAGGCCTACGAGACTCTGATTGACCCTCAGTAAGTTTTTTTCTTTTTCTTGCATTACCGCAGTCCACTGCTTGGAAACCTGAGTTTCTAACAACTTGTCTACAGGAAGAAGGCCGCTTACGATAACGGAGATGATCTCATGGACCCCGCTGACATGTTCGGTGGCGGCGGTGGTTTTGGCGGCATGGGAGGCATGGGAGGAATGGGTGGTATGGGCGGTATGGGTGGCATGCATGGCTCCCACGTCAACATCGACCCCAACATCCTCTTCAACATGATGAACGGCGGCGGCGGTGGTGGCTTCGCCTCTGCCGGTGGTAACCCCTTTGGAGGCCAGGCTCGAGGCGGCGGTGGCCAAGGATTCCCCGGTGGATTCCCCTTCTAAACAAGCCGACCCTAAGCACGCCTATATATACGCCATTTTTTCATAACCCGGCGATCAATAAGAGGCATCGGGTCGAGTCATTGACTTGTTCTTGGCCAGGGCCTTTGTTGACATACCCACCCGGGCCATACGCGGCAAAGCCACAACGAATTCTCTACACTTTTCAAAAGAACAAGGAGCCGGACTACTTGAGAGAAAAAAGAGTATCTCTTTGTCCACTCTTGTCTCATGATCTTGTCAGCTTCAAGAGAAGCGCCTATGATTCCCATATGATAGACCCCTGATTTTTCCGAATTGTTCATGATTCTCATACTGTTCCATCTTCTTCTATGCTCTCTATCTATATTCTTCGTTTTTTTCTTTTCTTTTTGGCTCTATATCTCTCCAATCTTTCTTCCTTTTTCTTGTATACAAGGCATGTTCGGGAAAGACTGAAATCAGCGCGGTGCATTGTTCTGCGGACTTCCTTCTCTGCCATGGGAACAGAAGGACATACTCCAAACATCCAAGGCGTTCATTTACTTCTGGGATTTCTGGGTCTACTCGTCATGAGAAAATCATCTTTCTACTAGGGCTTCATTTCCATGTGTTGATTTGTTTTTTCTCCCGGGCTGTACATTCGGACTTGCACTTACAGCGGATGTGGCTGCACTAGACATTGGATGAATTGATGTTTCATGACGCTAAATATGTGTGTTTCCTTGTATATTTCGTCTCCATGTAATGTGAAGTTTTCCGCCAAAGGTTCGAGTTGCCTTCTAAGCTGAGTAGAGAGGTATGCTATTCTACTGAGCCTGTCAAGCAATGCAGATGCCCCTTGAGACCATTGGAACAGCATCAAAATTGGTATCTGGTGAGGTTTTGTTATACATGTGGGTACTAGCTCGAATGTGCCGCTTCAGCTCCAAGTGGACGCATCTTATTGCTGCACAGCTACATAATTACCTAAGGCGATCTTCATAACCTTCAGGCTGAGGTGTTCGTGGGCCAGGAGTGGGGGGGACTTTATCCATTAGTTCACGCTAGTTCACGTCACGTAGTGCGTTGATGCAGGCCTACCACTAGGATTATCGGTGGCCTCGCTACAAATTTCCCTCTCAGCTGGATCTAAACTCGGGCCAATCCGAGTGGGCGCTTTGCAATATTGAGGAGTTCCTGCACGACCCGGCTCGCGTGTGTTACCTTGCTATAACTTAAAGCTCAGCTCGAAGTCTGCAGAGCATGTGGACTTATGCTTGGTTATATTCAACATGGATATGTGGTAGACCTTTTAAATAGGACTGTGTATTCCCAATCCTGTGAGACGTTTCTGAACTTTTCAGATCCACGCTGTGTCAAAACACCACTGTCCGAGATAATACATGCCAGTGTATATTAGTATCATTTCCAAGGTCAACAACAATGTCTTCTGGAATCCCTCAGCCACCTGGCGTTCCTTTATTAGGCAACATATTCGACGTGAATCCCAGCGACACATGGAACTCGCTGATTAAACTGTCAAAACAATATGGTATCGTCAAGTCTCCTCTCGCTACCTCTATATCAAACTTTAACTTAATCTAACCACCTCACCTCACCTCAACCAGGCCCAATCTGCAAAATCAACGTCCTAGGCAAGCAGATAGTCTTCATCAGCAACGTTGCCCTCCTAGACGAAATCTGCGACGAGCGCCGCTTCCGCAAATGCGTCACAGGCCCCATCGTCGAGATGCGCGCCTGCGCAAACGACTGTCTCTTCACTGCATACGACAACGAAGCAATCTGGGGAGTCGCCCACCGCATAATGGCACCATCCGTCAGCGCAGCAAAGATTCAAACAGAAACCACCTTCGCCGACATGGCAACCGTCATCCACGATCTAACACGCAAATGGACATCCGGCCGTCAAAAGCGCGTCCTCTTCACAAACGACCTAGACCGACTCCTAATGGCATCCGTCATGCAATCTTTCTACAACCAGCGCATCCAAGTCCTGAATGAGAACGACGGCCCCGGCGAAAATTCACCACCGCTAATCGAGGCCTGGGAATCCATCACAATGGAAGCAATGAAAAGACCCTCCCGTCCCAAACTCCTGACAAAACTCCTCTACCAGAAAAAGTTCACCAGTGACATCCGGCTCATGCGCAAATTCGCCGCCGACATCGTTCAATCCAGGGTGAACGATAAAGGCCAGGATCGCGATGATCTCCTCCACGCACTACTGCACAATGCGGACCCGGTCTCGGGCGAGAAACTGAGCGAGTCCCGCGTTGTCGACGAGGTCGTTACTATGTTTATTGGGGCTGCGACGGCGGCGAATCTCGTCTCGTACGCTTTGTACTATTTGCTTCGGAATGGGGAGGTTCTGGCCAAGGCTCGGGCGGAGGTAGACTCGGTTGTTGGCGGGTCGTCGATCACACTCGAGAATCTGAATGCTCTGCACTACTGTGAGGCCGTTATTCGTGAAACGCTGCGCCTTTCGGCCACGGCGCCTGGTTTCAATATTGAGCCTGTCCCGACGGAGGACAAGAGTCCGGTCTTGTTGGCTGGGGGCAAGTATCAGATCCCGCATAATCAAACTATGATATCAGTTCTGCATACGGTGAATCGGGACCCAGAGGTCTTTGAGGAGCCGGAGAGCTTTATTCCGGAGCGGATGCTGGGGGAGAAGTGGGAGGCGCTGCCAAAGGGTGCCAGGAAAGGGTTTGGGAATGGAAAGCGTGAGTGTTATGGGAAGATGTGGGCGTGGCGATGGTCGATTTTTACTTTGGCGAGTATTATCCACGAGGTGGAGTTTGAATTTGCGGATCCCAAGTATGAATTTACTTCGAATGGTGCTTTCAGTGTGAAGCCCTTGGGATTTTATGGTCTTGTTAGTCCAAGAAAGAAGGGTCCGAGTCTCTGATCTGATACTGGTGGGTTGTTAGGTGTTTGGGGGCAACTTGTTTGCTCGGATTTTGACTTTTTTTGAAAATTTCTCTGCTTACCCTTGATGTACTTGGTATCAGGCGACCCTAATAGGTGTTTCTTTTTTGAGATTGCTTAGCGATTATGGCTGTTGATATCGTCCACCGCGGGAATGTGTACTACTCAATACTATCAATTCCATTGCAACTACCCAAATCCAACAGCACAATCACGGTATGTGCCTAATACCTCAAAGTAGTACAGCTGTAGATGTAAACAGAAGGAAATGAACGAGGAAGATTCTAGATTGAACATTGCTAAATGTATACTGTCATTGCTATCATAATACTACACTACATACATGCATTCATCAATCACCGATTCACAGGTTCAGCACCAAGAACCCACCCAAGCCCACTCGCCAATCCTCCAGTCACCATGTTACTAACCATATCTCTCTTCCGAACTCTTCCCTCACTCTCATCCTCGGGAGAAAGCGGCCGCTCGCCATCGGCAGGACCACGAGCCGATTCCGCAGCCGAGCCTGAGCCCGCCCCACGCAATGGGAAGGCATTCTTATGTAGCGCCATCGCTGCTCCCCTCGCAACCTCGAACAGACCCATCGGTGCCTCATGCGGGTGCGAATTTGGCATTGCGGCGCGAGCACGCGCTCGTCGTGCTACGCGCTGCTGCGCCGTGTCAAAGGCATCGCGCTCGCTATCCGTAGGACCAAAACCGCCTGGTACAGTTGAGAGAGCATTGTCGCCCTTGGCATCCCAGAGATCTTCCTCTTGCTGTTCGCGTGCGCGCAATGAGGAGAGTTCTTCGTCGCAGCGGCGCCAGGCGCCGAGAATTTCGGGGAGCGGATCTGGCGTCGGAGTAAGGGCTAGAGCTAGAGAGAGAAGTTCCATTCGCTGTGAGAGGTGGGTTATTTGCGACTGGAGGGTTGTGGATGTTGTTGGGCTGCTGGGACGGTGGCGGCCTGCATTATAGACAGCGCGCCACGTAATGTCGTCTGGGATTGTGGGTGGTGTGAGGAGTGGAGAGGCCGTTGATAGGGCGCTGGGTGGTGTGAGCCGAGTGAGAATGTAGGAGTAGGCTGTGCCGAAGTCGTTCGATGTTAGGGCGGAGGATATGGCGAGGGAGGTTATGCGGCGTTCAGATGTGACGAGGGCGTCTGCCTCCGTGAAAGGTTCTGTAGAAAATCGGTCGGTGGTCTCAGTTAGGGAAGCGCTTGTTTGGAGGCCTGCGAAGACAAGATTGCGACCGATTGAGAGTAGGTCGTCAAGTTTGGTATAGCTTTTCGAGTTTTGATCGAGGACCTTCTCAACAAGAGAGAGCGGGTCGTGGTGGACACGGATGCTGACAGGTTGGAAAGGGACCCCGTGTTGGAGAGTCAGAGAGTAGAAGGACAGAGCGTGTGTTGCGGCTATCAAAGCACCGATATGCTTGAAAGCTGTCGATTCCGGGAAATGCGGTTGGAAAGTTTGAAGTCTGATATATTGTCAGATGTTTTCAGTTCACAGGCTTGGTGCGCTCGACTTACATATCATAAGCTCTCTTCATCCCACCGCGTGTTCTATTGCCATTGCTTGCATTATCGTAAGCGCTATATATGGCCTCTACCACCGCTTTTTCCACTTGGCTAGGGCTCAGCGGTGATGAAACAGCTTGGGTATAAAGATCAACAGCGAGTTGGTATTCTAGGAAGAGTCAGTATTAAATGAGAAGACGTGGGGATAGTAGTAAAACTTACCTTGACCACCGAGCAATGCTTTTAGAACCTCAGTTTCAACCGTGTCTCGTGGAACTCTCCAGAAAAGACCTTGATGGGTTGATGGCTCATCCCAACCATTGTCTGATTGGCCCGCCTGCCAGTCCTGTAGCCAAAGAATTTGTTCCCGTACGGCTTCCCATTGCTGTCTGGACCGAGTCTGCGCGACAGTAGAGCCCACCACATTCCTCAATTCCGTCAGTTGCAGTTCCTCGCTACTAAAGAGACAAAGATTGGCCACAGATCGACAGGGAACATTATGACCAAGTTCGGTCAAAATTCGAAGAGAAAGAAGCAAGGCGCTCAAAAACGAAATAGAGGAAGGAGAAGGTTTGGTCAGAGGATTATCGCGTTTGAGCAGCGAATTCTGCATTAGCGAACCTCGAGTTGATGAAGAAAGCAACTCCGTATCATAGTCCACTGATGGAAGGGTTGACTCGGTCGCATCCAGGTATGAACATTCTTCAAGGCTAAGCAGCTCCGCAACGCGTCCAAGTACCTTGAAAGATCTCTCCAGGGCAGGTTTGGATGAGTCCATATGACCGTACACCACGGCTAAGCCAGACTGTCCGTACCGGTTCAGCAACTCCTTAGCTTTGTCCGTTGCGAGAGTCGCATCCTGGTCTTCATAACCTCCCATGTCAACGTCTTCCGGTCCGTTCCAGTTTATAAATGCGTTGGCAACAGTGGTGTGGTCCACAGAGCTGCGAGACAGTAGCCATTCATTCACATATTCCCATCCGGCGAATTCTGTGGTCTCCGGCTTGGGATTTCCTTGGATAAAGGAGATCGTATTTTGACGGGCTGCGTCGTTCAGTCTGCGCCTCTTTGATCGATTGCTACCATAGAGCCAAGGGCCGACAAGGCCTCTTAAATTGTTGATCAGATCCATGTTGTTCTTCTCGGTGCTGGTAATGGATAAAAGGACGTTGACTGCGGTCTGATCATCCATCAACTCCAGTGTTTCTAACGATAATGCTTCTTCACAGTTGGGATAGTATTCGTAATTAAGTCGTAGTGCCGGTAGAAGACTGGATACAAGCCATGTTCGAATAGCTGGGTTGTGTGCATAGAAGGGAAGGAGCAGGCTCAGTATGAGAGGTTGGAGGGCCGTTTCGGAGTCGATCAGATACGCGCGATGAATAATGAACTGGGTGAAGGGGTCAGATGAGGCGATCTCCTCCTCCTCGTCCTCGCGCTTGAGGGATCGCAGACGAAGCTTCCGCACTCGCTTCCTTGCAGCCGATTCGGATAGATCTTGGACGGTGGATGAATCGATGTGTGGGGTTGAGGACGTATTTTCAGTGCCACTTGCCAGATCCTGGAGCACTGGAACGTAGTCGGAAGGTTGTGTACTCTCAGGGAGGAAGGTCAAGATGATGCGTAACAGGCGCTCTAACGGAAAACAATGGGGGTATTGCGCTTGTAGAGCTGGCAGGGCGGCGATATTACCACTTGTACAGAAATTGGTCGCAAGTAGAATAGCATGAGCATCCGATAGCCCTTCCAGAGGAGCCATGGCGATCGGTTGAAGCGCAAGATGGAGTGAGGTGTCCTTGTACTGTAGCGACGTCAACGCCCAAACGCAGGCGGGGTGCACGGACCAAGTCGGAAACGACCTTCAGAGGGAAAGCGTCGCATCCGCCCGGCACTTCACCACTTCTTTGCCAGTTCTCTGCCCACCACTCTGCCCATTGCTCTCTCTGCTCCTCGACAATGGCTTCCGGCTTCGGTAACAACCTCGGTATGTCTCTTCTTGACTCCTTATCCGCCCTGTGAGGCGAGTCCGCAGTGGTGTTGGCCCGCTCGGTTATATCTTGCGCAGACCCTCCCACCCTTCTTCCCCCGCAACCACCTTGAGCTAACGGATATCCGTCTGTCTGTAGGTCCTAACCGATGCTTTCCTTTCTGGCAAGAGCTCCTCGGCTGCTACGTTGTCAACTCTAGCGAGGGTCTCGAGGGCAAGAAGAAGTGTATTCCCGCTCTGGAGGATTACCACGAATGTCTTCACCACACCAAGGAGGTACGTCGTTTGTCTTGAATTAAGAGAGTATTGAACTTGGAGGGCTTGAAAATGAGTCTAGCTGACATCAGAATCTTGGGACCAGGTTTATCGTGCCTTGAGAATCGCCCACGCTGTCCGCAAGACCGAGGCAGCATCCGCGCGTGAGAACGGCCCCAAGGCCGAGGAGATCCGGAGCCTGGGCTTGCTGGGCAAGGATAAGGAGACTGCCGCTACATTGGAAAAGATCCGGCAACAATAGATGGGAATGGCAAGGGCCAAGCCGGGACGTGATGGTTTCTTCTTTTGATGCGTGAGATCCTCGGGATTCTGCCCCCGGACTATGCTCCGGAGGGTCTGTGACTGTATAGAAATGTTCTGTTTGTTGGCCATTCTGGTCATGTTTTGAAATGATACTCCGGTTCTTCCAAGGAAACTACTATTTGCGTCGTTGAGTGGAGGTTTGAATTATGGTACGACCGTAGCCTGGAGACTGCTGGAAGATGTGAGGTCTTGTTCCAACCTTGGGAAGTTCCTCGAAGGCTTCAGGGGGGTTGGAGCTCTTCGTGGTATCCTGGCACTTGTTACGACATATGATACGTGTGATTGATGTATCTGATATCTCTTCAAGATTGGAGATACGCAGCGGCTAGAACGAGGCACTAGGTATTGCCAAGTATTTTGGGGTATGATGGATTGCTAGTTTCGTGGGCCAATGTTCATCAGTGCGTAGGAGTATATCCTTATAGGTACTACTAGTGTCTAGCGGTACCTAGGAAGTTGTAAGGTATATTTTTTGAAAGATACATCCACCTGCCCAGTTGGGCATCATATGAATTGTGTGGACTTGGATCAGGACCATATCACCACCTGCCCAGGTTGGCAATAGACTTGAAGCTTGGATATATCAATGTGGATATATAGTTCCCGCATTGGCAATCCACCAATCACTATTGGTAGAAAACTGTGATTTCGCACATCATATCTCTCCAGGGCTACCCTACCTAGGTAGGTAGGCTATGACCGTTCACCAGATTACGATTTTTGTCATGCAAGGCATCGGGTCGATGGACTGACATACTCGGGACCCCTATGATGATCGTGGGAATCCTCGAGTCCCCTGAGGCCATCTGGCATGTCTTGGCGCGATCGATCGCCATGAGACGATTCACTTAAAACATGAACACTGGTGCTTTTTGCATACATAAGTTTACAGATACTAGGAGACTGATGGTAGATATACACTAGTTAGTACTCCTCCTAGATCCTGTAGATACATAAACACTGCTCAGGTGACAGTCAAGTAAAAAGGACAGCCTATTTCTCGCCTACCTCACGTGACAGAAAAACCTGAAGTGGAGGCCCAACCACGACTATACCTAATCAGGCCTAGCGCAACACACCCAAACATGGACCGGCGCGCTCAGCAAGAGAGCCCCAATGATATAAACCCGGCTGCGTGACCTCGAATCTGCTCTTGTGTACTGAATCTAATCCTCCCTGCTGACTCAGCCACGGTGCATCGCGGTGTTTTGGGGCGTTGGTCTTCAGGCGTTTGCTTCTCTCATTGGCGATCGCCTCTCTTCTCGACGCGCTCTGTCGCGTCTCTCTCTGCCCTTTCCTCCTGTTCTGTTTCCTCTCACCTTTAGGCGGTGCTGTTCACTCGGCATCAGAGTGACGGCCCGCCATGACTTCCCGGTAAGTTCCACTCTCCAATCACGACGCGCCTGTCACATGACTAACTGATCCGCAGACTCGACCGCCTGGTCACGTGAGTAATATCTCAGGTATACCAACAGGTATACCAGTCTTGACTCCCCCCAGTTCCGTACTAACCATCCCCCAAAACAGACTCTTAGAGACCGGAAGTACTCAACTTATCCGGAACACAGCTGCTCAACAACTAGGAGATGTTCAAAAACAACATCCCGATGAGCTATTCAATCTTCTTGGGCGTATCCTGCCTTATCTTCGATCCAAGTCCTGGGACACGAGAACCGCTGCTGCCCGGGCAATCGGCTTGATCGTCACAAATGCGGAAATCTATGATCCAAATGAAGACGATGGGTTGCAGATCAAGTCGGCAGCTGACGATGATGATGATGTGGAGATAAAACCCGAGGTCAAATCAGAAGATATTGCACCTTCTCCAGATGGGTTTCTTCATCTTGATAATCTAGACGTCGGTTCTGTCCTGAAATACGGCAAGCGACTCCTCGGGAGTGCGGGCAAGGAGTACGAATATTCTCTGGCATCCATGGACCCCGCAGCGCGCCTGATCCACCAGAAGAAGACCCTGAATGCACGTCTCGGTCTCGAGGGCGAATATAACGAAGACGAAATCCTTGACAGTATTGATTTTGCCCCCAAACCAGCAACTCCAGCGCCTAAAAGGGAATCGTCCAACCCCACCATTTCTCGCGAGAATAGTTTACATGACCTTTCGTCCCGTCGTGCTTCATCTCCAGTCGAGGCTGCGGCAGGGAAGGAAGACACCGGCCTTAGCAAGCGCCAATTAAATCAGCTGAAACGCAAAAACAAACAAAGCGCCAAGCTGGGCGCCAACAAGGTTCGCGTGGTCGACTTGGCCTCTCGACGAGCCTCGGACAACGTTGCGACGCCAGCAGCAACTCCTCACCCCGTCAAGACCGAAAATGGCGACGGGCCAAATGGAGAGGCCAAGTCGGACTATTTCTCGCTCGATCCCGCCGCTGATGAGGATGACTCGAAGATTGTCTCCGAATTCAAGGGGCCCATCGCTCCTGAAAAGCCCATCATACAGCCCGAAATTGCCGACCAGGGTGCTGGGTGGCCGCTCGAATGCATGTGCGAATTTTTGACAGTCGATATCTTTGATTCCAATTGGGAAGTTCGCCATGGTGCTGCGATGGCTCTCCGTGAAGTGGTCAGAGTGCAAGGTACTGCTGCCGGCCGTGTCGAGGGCAAAAGCCGGGAGGAAAATGACAACCTCAATCGTCAATGGCTCGACGATCTCGCGTGCCGCCTTCTCTGTGTCCTGATGCTCGATCGCTTTGGTGACTACATCTCTGACAACGTAGTTGCCCCGATTAGAGAAACCGTTGGCCAGACCCTTGGTGCTCTCTTGTCACATTTGGCGCCGAAGTCTGTGCGCCAAGTATACCGGTGTCTCTACAGAATCATCATGCAGAACGACCTGGGATTAGAGCGTCCAATCTGGGAAGTTTGCCACGGTGGTATGATCGGTCTCCGTTATCTGGTCGCTGTTCGGAAGCACCTCCTCATAAAGGACTCGAATATGATCGATGGTGTCCTCGAATCCGTCATGAAAGGCTTGGCCGATTTTGATGATGATGTGCGGTCTGTCAGTGCTGCCACCCTGGTTCCCATCGCTGAGGAATTCGTCACATCACGGGCTGGCACGCTTGGCCCTCTCATGCACATTGTTTGGGATTGTCTGTCGAATCTCCAAGATGATCTGAGCGCAAGCACAGGATCTGTGATGGACTTACTGGCTAAGTTGTGTACCTTCACCCCAGTTCTGGACGCAATGAAGGCAAACGCGGCCGATGATCCCGAGGCCTCATTCGGCAACCTCGTACCTCGATTGTACCCCTTCCTGCGTCATACTATCACAAGCGTTCGATCGGCAGTTCTCCGCGCTCTCATGACCTTCCTCAAGCTCGAAGGAGAAGGAAGCACGGACTGGGTAGACGGCAAAGCCTTGCGCTTGATTTTCCAAAACCTGCTCGTGGAGCGCAACGAGGGCGTTCTCAAGCTATCTCTCCAGGTTTGGTCGGAACTGCTGAAGGCAATCGAACAACGTGGATCCTTCTCTGCCGAAGCCGAGCTGTCTGAATCTGTCCAACCTCTGGTCGCCCTAACACTTGGTCCCTTCGGTGTTCCTCGCTACCCTATCCCTATGAATACCTCTCTTTTCATCAAACCATCCGGTTTACCATTCTCCGCGCCCGCAATTGCACCCGCCCCAGCAAAATCATCACCTCCTGCTCCTGGCCCAGAGCCCGTTAAGCCTGGTCGCAAACGCAAGGTCGAAAAAAAGGAAACAACCGTGTCATCAACCCACAATGTAGATGGACACATGTTATCTGGTGACATTGATCTCGTTGGCGCAGACACGATGCTGCGGTCCAAAATCTTTGCTGCCAGGGCGCTTGGTGAATTGATCTCTTTCTGGGATAAGCATGAACTTCCGAGCATTTGGTCCTCCATCGTGGACGGCCTCAAGCACCCTGCTTCGACTACACAACTTTCCACGGCGATGGTGATGGAAGAATACGCTCGTCTCTCTGGACCGGACAGCAAGTACACCGGGACTCTATGCGAACATTTGCGACCGATCGTCGAGGGCGAGCGTCCCTCCTGGTACTCTGATATTTCCTGCTATCTCCATGTCGCTCGTGCACAGTGTCACTCGCTGCTCAATTCATTCCGCGACCATGCTCACGTCCCGCCCTCACGTCTGCCGGTCCTTGCTGTCGTCGTCCAAGGCGATACCGAGGCTGGTCCCAATGCTTTCTCGCTTGCAGATGCCGAGAAAATTGTCGGTCCTGATTTCGACCGCTTGAAGAAAAATCTGACACCCGCTCAACGAATCACTGCCACTCAAGTTCTCAACGACACTCGTACGACCGCGCAGTCTGCGGTCGACGAGGCCCGATCAATGAGAGAACAGCGCGACATGCGCGTTGTCGCCGCAGGTGCAGGGGCCCTGGTTGCCTTGCGGGATATCCCTAAGCGACCTGGTCATATAATCAAGGGCATGATGGACAGCGTCAAGAAAGAGGAAAACGTCGAGCTTCAGCAGCGTTCGGCAACCGCCGTCGCGGGTCTGATTGAACATTACACCGCAGCCACGAAACGTGGACCGGTGGACAAGATCATCGGAAACCTGGTCAAATACTGCTGTGTGGACACATCCGAGACGCCCGAATTCCCACACAACGCCCAGCTCGAGAAATCCATTCTGTCGCTACGCAAAGAAGAAGACCGACGAGACCACCCCGATGCTGCCAAATTCGAGCGCGAGGCCAGGGAAGCCCGGATCATGCGCCGTGGTGCTAAGGACGCCTTGGAACAGCTGGCTATCAAGTTCGGCGCTGACCTTCTAGAAAAGGTCCCCAACCTTGCTGCTCTTGTCGAACGTCCCCTCAAGCAAGCCTTGGAAGGCGATCTTCCGGAAGACATAACAAACCCCGAGAATGATCTCGGCCAGGAAGTAGTCGACGGTCTTTCTACACTACGCGCGCTTCTCCCCAAATTCGATGTTGGACTCCACTCGTGGGTTACTGGCCTTATGCCCATCATTGCAAAGGCCCTGCAATGCCGACTCTCAGTCATACGGTATGCGGCTGCTAAGTGCTTTGCGACTATTTGTAGCGTCATAACGGTGAGCGGCATGACAATGCTGGTTGAGAAGGTTTTGCCTACTATCAACAATGCTCTTGATGTTCCCCACCGTCAAGGTGCCATCGAGTTTATTTATCACCTGATCCACGTGATGGAGGACGGTATTCTACCATACGTTATCTTCCTTGTGGTCCCTGTTCTCGGACGAATGAGTGACTCCGACAACGATGTGCGACTACTGGCAACAACCTCATTTGCAACACTGGTTAAATTGGTGCCTTTGGAAGCAGGTATTCCCGACCCTCCAGGATTCTCCGAGGAGCTGCTCAAGGGCCGTGACCGGGAGCGAAAGTTCATGTCTCAAATGTTGGACGTTCGCAAGGTGGAGACCTTCCAGATTCCCGTTGCTATCAAGGCCGAATTACGTCCCTATCAGCAGGATGGTGTCAACTGGCTCGCTTTCCTCAACAGATACAACCTCCACGGTATTCTCTGTGATGACATGGGTCTTGGAAAGACACTACAAACCATTTGTATTGTTGCGAGTGATCACCACATGCGAGCGGAGGAGTATGCCAAGAGCCAAGCACTAGATTCTCGAAAGCTTCCTTCACTCATTATTTGCCCGCCCTCACTTTCTGGCCATTGGCAACAAGAAGTCAAGCAATATGCACCTTTCCTCAAGTGCATCGCCTACGTTGGACCTCCAGCAGAGAGAGCAAGGTTACAGGCCGAGATTGCCGATTCAGACATCGTCGTGACTTCCTACGATGTTTGCCGCAACGACAACGACATCCTTAACCCTATCAACTGGAACTACTGCGTACTTGATGAGGGACATTTGATCAAGAACCCCAAGGCGAAGATTACACTTTCTGTGAAACGCATCATGAGCAACCACCGCCTTATTCTATCCGGCACGCCAATTCAAAACAATGTTCTGGAGTTGTGGTCGCTCTTTGATTTCTTGATGCCAGGATTCCTGGGTACCGAGAAGGTTTTCCTGGACCGATTCGCCAAGCCTATCGCTGCTAGTCGATTCAGTAAATCATCCTCCAAGGAACAGGAAGCGGGTGCTCTCGCAATTGAAGCCTTGCATAAGCAAGTCCTCCCATTCTTGCTGCGTCGTCTCAAGGAGGAGGTTCTGAACGACCTGCCGCCTAAGATCATTCAGAACTACTACTGTGACCCGAGTGAGTTGCAGAAGAAGCTCTTCGAAGACTTTTCGAAGAAGGAGCAGAAGGAACTGCAAGAAAAGGTGGGCAGCACAGAGCGCAATGACAAGGAGCACATCTTCCAAGCTCTGCAATACATGCGCCGCCTTTGTAACTCCCCTGCTTTGGTTGTTAAAGACGGCCACAAGCAGTACAATGAAGTCCAGAGCTATCTATCTGCCAAGCGCTCCAACATCAGAGATGTGTCACACGCACCGAAACTCAGTGCCCTTCGGGATCTGCTCGTCGACTGTGGAATCGGCCTCGACCACTCCGCTGAGGGCGAACTTGACACTGGCGCTAGCTACGTCAGCCCGCACCGTGCCCTGGTTTTCTGTCAGATGAAGGAAATGCTTGACATTGTTCAGAATGACGTCCTGAAGAAGTTGCTTCCGTCCGTTCAATACCTGCGTCTCGATGGAGGTGTCGAGGCTACGAAGCGCCAAGACATTGTGAACCGTTTCAACACTGATCCCAGTTACGATGTGTTACTCTTGACCACCAGCGTCGGTGGACTGGGTCTTAACCTTACTGGTGCAGACACTGTCATCTTCGTTGAGCATGACTGGAATCCGCAAAAGGATATCCAAGCCATGGACCGTGCTCATCGTATCGGTCAGAAGAAGGTGGTCAACGTGTATCGTCTGATAACGAGAGGCACGCTGGAAGAGAAGATCTTAAAGTAAGTTATACCGCATGAGCTCCTATCGTTTGCTTTTTTTCACTCCCGCTAACATACTTTCTACTCCAGTCTGCAACGATTTAAGATAGACGTCGCCTCTACCGTTGTCAATCAGCAAAATGCCGGACTAGGCACTATGGACACGGATCAACTATTAGACCTCTTCAGTCTTAGCGAGACGGCAGAGACGGCAGAGAAACCAAGCGACCAGACAGGCAACGAAGTCGACATGGTCGACATCGACGGTGAAGTCAAGGAGAAGGGCAAGAAGGGCTGGTTAGATGACCTAGGTGAATTATGGGACGATCGACAATACCAGGAAGAATACAATCTGGACTCTTTCCTGGAAACCATGAAAGCGTGATGTGGATGATACTATTCAAAACCACTTGTCACCGACGTCCTCCAATTCTTCCTCGCCTCCATCCCTGGTCACCCTACCCGACAACCTTCTTACTTTTGCTTCTGGCCGAGCCTACCCTTCTCTGCTATATCCGTCCTACGCCTATCATGCCTCATGTCCTCTCAGTAATACACTTCTATCTCTTCTCTAGGGAATCCCCAAGAAGAGCTCTCTTGCACGAGCGAACTAATTCTTTTCCTAACACCTTCAAGGATGCGTTGACCTTCTAATCCGCATCTGCTTCGCATTTGCTCCTTATCTTTTCTCTCTTCTGAATCCCCCTTCGTGTATTTTTAGCTTGAATTTTCCCCACCCGACGACGAATGATCCCCGCTTGCATGTAAATAGAGGAAAGAAGTTTCTCCACCGCTTTACAATTTCGATAACTAGTACTACTTTGTAGATGTTTCCTATCAACCGTGCCCACCTAGTAGGTAGTTGAGCTGCGTGTTGAATGCTAGTAGTCTAGAATTCTTTTAGAACAACCTTGGAATCAATGGATCATGAATGCATTTACGGGAATTGAAGGGGAATTTCTGAAAAGAGAAATCTTTGGTCATTAATTCGTGGGTGGCATCAATCTTGTAGATAATAAGCAGGTTGCTGGAACCGAGATTGTCCCCTTGTCTCCTGTGCAGAGTTTACCAAGAAAGCTATGGTATCCCTTGCATCGTCACTTACCACAACAATGATAAAGTTCCAATACAACGAGTCCTGACAGAGGTAAGGGGACAGTTCTCGAAGCAGTAGAAAGACGACCATTAAAAATAAACATATTCCAGACGCCATGATTGCGCCCCATGCCCGGAGAAAAAGAAACAAAGCAAAAATGTAGCAACCATGCTCCGAAACAAACAAGACTTCGAAAAGAGACTCCAGGATGAGGAACTGAAACCGAAAGGTGAAAGTAAGAAGATCAGACAGTGCAAGAAGTTGAAAAAAACGGAGGGTATCGTACCCTAAGAAAGGAAGTGTAGATACAGAAATGTCGCAGCGTAGTCTTCTTGTCAAAGATATAGCAGGACTAGAAGGATGCCACCGGAATATTAAAACGCAGTTCGCCCACAGTGAAACCAAGGGCTAGCGTGGTGACTCGTCGCAAATCAACACTGCGCCGAAACTCGACCAAGGCGCAACGCACCAGGCGAGCGCCTAACTGAACTGACTCCACTAAGCCCGTCCCTTTGGCTTGGCGAGCATGTTGAGACGACTCAGACTAAGAACGTTGCGAGACTTCTGCTTGGCACTAGCAGGAGTACCCATGCGGCCGGAAGGAGTTCGGACAGGGGTCTTAGCGGGCTGGAATTTAACTGGACTGGGTGTGGCCTTGATTCGCTTGGCGCTGCGCTCTTCGACTGGAGCATCGGTAGGGGGCACATTCTCGGCATTATCAGCACCGTTTGAGTTGTCGTCATCGACCTCCTCGCGATGTCGCTTTTTGTTACCAATTCCGTGCGCAATTCCATGGGTGACAACTGGAAGTTCTGGATAGGCGTTGTCATTTTCGTTTGCGTTCGACTTGCGGACATGTCGGATGCTTGGCGACAAAGCAGACTTGTCATCGGAGGGTTCGGCGGCCGCTTTCGCCTCCGGGGTAAGAGTGGGCAGAGTTGGGTAGACAATATCAGATAGGTTGGAACGTGAGGGCGTGGTAGGAATCTTAGATCGAGATGGCGACGCTTCAGCGAGCTGATGGCGAGACTTGACACTCGGAGTAAACTCCACGTGCTTTTTTGGCGACGGGGTTGGGGCAGAGTCTGTCATATCGCCACTCTTGCTGGCAAAGAGTGAGTCGGGGTTGAAGTCAGGAGCAGCAACATGAGTACCAGCAGCGATCTTGGATGGATCACGAGAGAACAATGGCTGGCGTCGACGGAGAATAGACTTGAGATTTCCCAAAGTCGGCAAGCTGCTCTTGAACCGTGGGTTGAAATCAGTGCGCGGTGTCCGCGGGGATGCCAGCGCTCTGGTATCAGGCGAGCGTGCCAGAGAGGGGATGAGTGTAGTCTTGGGCGCCTTGAGACTGGCAGACGTGGTGCGTGCCATGGAGGCTCGAGTTGGGGTCATGAGGGAGCTGCGAATCATCGATCGGGGGCGCGGGCCAACAGGCTTGCGAGCAGTCTTATCTTGCTCAGTTTGAGTAGTATTGGCCTGAGAGAGATTGGAAGATGCATCATTTGCAGGGTTATGCTTTACACGCTTGTTGTTGACAGCAGCAGGCGAAGCGGCAGTCGGTTGCTTTGCCGGGGATCGTGAGGGAGGCGGGTTGGACTCGGTCTCATCCAGTTGTGCCTTGGACTTGGTTCGCTTCAGAGACTTAGTGACGGGCTGGAAGCGACCAGGAGCTGCTCGGAAGGATGATGCATGATTGGCAATCGAATCCATCTTCTTGAACTCTGCCATGTGCACGTCACTGAACCGACTGGCCCTTCCCTTGGGCATCGCAATTTTCCGGTCTCCCTGCTTGTGCTCAGCTTCCGTATCTTCCTGTTCTGCGTGATTCGATTTATCCATTATCATCTGTGCCCTAATGTGCGCAGCTTCGCCTCGGACACGTTCCATCAGCTGTTTCGCCTCATCGCTGAGCTGAGCGTCCTGGCCGAACTTGAACTCGTAGCCGGGGGTGCCGAAGTGACTTGGAGCCGGAGATGCTTTCGATTTGGTAGGAGTATAGTCGGCCATGCTTTCCTTCACCAAATTACCATTGGCATCTTTCTTGATGGGGTTGAAGCCCAAAACCAGGCCGGAGTCAACCTGTTTCGTGGTACTTTGGTGAGCCTTGCTGGGATGCATTTCCTCTCGGGGCGGGCGGGCTGCGGAGCCAGTAGTTGGTGTTATCGCTTCGGTTCGGCGCATGGAAAAGATGGGGGTTTTCTGAGAGCCTTGCTTCTTCGTCACAGGTGTGCGAACGCCATATTCATCGGCGGGTGTTTCGTCGCGTTCCTGGACGGATTCAAGTGGGACGGCGCTAATTATCTGGGGTGTGGACTCTTGAGCCTAGTATAGGTGATTAGTCTTGAGAGTCAATAAAACCAGCCGTGGTGACCCCCTTGAGTCCCTGTAGGGGTTCCAATAGTGGGTGTTACGAGGTAACTCACCTCTGGAGTCTGACTGCTGCGCAGGCGGGCGGAGCGCCGAGGCATCTTGAGAACTGATTTTTTTTGGAAGATAAGAGATTCACAAGTTCGGGATCGGTCGAGACGTCGGCGCCCAAACTGTAGAGGGTTGTTGTGGGTGTCGATGTGTGTCGGAGTCGATGGTTGTCAGGTGAGGCAAGCAGCCGCTGAAAAGTAAACAAACGCGTTTGACGTCAGATGACTAATCGGAACTATCAGATCGTATTTTGCAGCTCTTCGATTGTCAACCTCCTTCATAAGTCTCTTGTATCCTATTAACTCCTTCTTATTCTTAAGAAGGGGAGTCTCACGTTTTAGAATAGGTTCTAGAATGTGAAGCAATCAAAAAAAAATCAAGCTCTTCGAGACGTCGGTTCAAGTTGTCTTGAGCAGCGGAAATTTGAGGACTCCGGGCATGTTGGATATTGCCCTACATATCATATGATTTTCAGTCATCTTCACTCGAAATCGCATGTTCTCCAAAGATCATCAACTCTTGTGATCACCGAGAATATGAGCGACTGCGTCTCCAAATGTCTCCAAAAGTTTAATTGGTGCGTGGGGATTTCAAGCCTGATTTGTAAGGCTAACAAGATAACCACCCGTGGCTCGGTATATTCCATTTGTCTTACCTTTGCCTCTTCTTACTTTTCCACCTAATCAACGCGAAATTGTATATATTGCCTCATTGCCAAAAAAAAAATCCCTTGTCCAGGGGGGGCATTCAAGGATGAATGTCGGCAGCATAACCGCAGGGGGGACCGGAATCTCGCCCACGAGGGCGAAAGCGTGGACGAAAAACGACATCTTGCACCCAATGTCACTCTCGCAAACAGAAATGCAATCAAGAACAACCATGTCTGCGCTGTATACAACGCGGAGTGCCGCGGCTATGTCAATGGCCAGAAAATGACTTAGATACTGGAAGAGAACGAGGTATCAGGTCTCGGGATGCCGTACCGGCAACAGGTAGGAATGATCCTCGCCCCTCAGCAATTTTTGAGATGTGAGCATACAGCAGAATCAAGACCACTCGTCTAATCGAGATTCTTAGTGGACTCCCAAGGAACAGAGCTGGGCCAGCTTTACATCGCTCGCGGTGCTCCGTCCTTCTTTGGCAACTCGTATTTTGGACACCAAGTGGCCGCAAGTATGATTCATGAGTCAGCCCCGGACCTGCCTCCAATGAGTCTCTTATCCACAAAGGATTCTCTGCAGTCTTTCAGAAACGATTCTGGCCCTTTTTCGCAAGTGTGGGATCTGCTTGGTCTTCTGCCACGCAATAAAGTAACAGTCGATAGACTGATTGAAAGATTCCTAACTGAAATCAACTGGGCTATCGATACGGTCCATCCAGATACGTTTAGGCACCAATTTGCTGAGTTCTGGGGCAGGAAATTTGGGTTTGATGAAATTGCCGGCGTTGATCTTCGTTGGCTGGCACTACTTTTCATTATTCTTGCTTTCGGCGTGCTTTTGGAGGACCCAAAAATTTACTCACCGGAAAAGCGGAAAGAGAGCGAGGAGGCTTCTCTCAGATTTTACTGGGCTTCTAGAAGGGCCATTGTCATTTCACCTTCGTTCCACGGGGAGAGTTTGGACCTTGTTCGGGCTGGTCTGATGGTCACTCGTTATTTGCTTTACACTCGCCAAATAGCGGAAAGTTGGTTGACTATAAGCTTTGCTATGCGAATGGCGCAAGCACAAGGCATGCATATCGATGGGGAGAAGTGGGGGCTGTCACGGAAAGCCACCGAGGTTCGACGAAGACTCTGGGGAAACCTATACATGTTGGACAAGACAATTGCTCTCGCCCTTGGCAGGCCATATGCGATATCGGACCACATGTGTCTCATCAATCCGCCTGAGAATATCTGGCTCGACGACTTGACAGACGAGCAGTCATCAGTGACCCCGGTATCCACACTGAGAAACCCAACCCGGAGTACAGTCATCCTATTGTGCAATGGACTGGCCAAGATCGCGGGGGAAATTCAAGACAGGTGTTTTGGGTTATACCCAGCTTCTTATGATGTCGTGACTGAGATGGATGAGAAGCTGCTGGCTTGGCAAAGGCAACTGCCGGCTTATTTTGCCCTGGAGGATCCGGACTTTGCGAAAGATGAAACACACTCCTTTCTACCATGGCATCGCCTCTACTTGCATTCGGCTTTCCACTTTGCTCGAATCACTCTCCATAGGCCTTATCTTCTACGTGAGTCTATTACAAATCGCTTTCGTCTCAGTCACGAGGCCTGCATTGCGTCGGCGTCATCTGACCTCAAAATTCGGCTGCACTCTGTCAAATATGGAATCGCAGAAAACATGAGATGGACATTGGGAACCCACAATATGTTTAACAGTGCCTTGATTTTAGGTATTATTGCTGTTCGCCGCCCGAACCCCCCCCAAACAGCGGCAATCCTGGACGACCTGCAAGAATATTGCGAGAGGCTGAGAGAAGATGCATGGCTGAATGAATTTGGTCTTGCGGAAGTCAAAGTCGTTGAGCTTTGCATTGTCCGCACAAAAGAGTTTGCCAAAGGGAGCGACCTCTCTGGTGACAATGAACACGCCCTGCCAGTGGATATAATGTCAGGCATTATGGATCGTGCCAATTTCCGGGAAGAAGATAGTCAAAAGCTCAACTCGGAAACCGAATTAACCTCGGACCCACATGCTTTAGGTCCCTCTTCAACCAATGTGCCCGAGTATTCCCCGGACATGATGTGGCCAGCAATATGGGAGGATCAAAACTTTGCTTTCCCTCAGGCTACAGACCTGGAAACATGGGAACAAATGATTTCGGAGATTGCATACCATGACTAGTAGAGCAGCTGATTTATCTTAATTAATATTCTCCGAGTCATTGATACTTCTCATATAAGTGGTAAATTACAGGATATACTTGAAATCTGGGTGGTAGTCGCCTCCTTTCTTTTCATACGACCCAGATTGAATGGCTTCCTGCCGTTCCTCCAGATTCATCCTTGCGCGCTTGTTATTGTGATACTTCAAGAGCAAATACATGCTGATATTGCCACAGAATGCAACACAGATGGCTGCAAGAGAGACTGAATGACCAATGAGATAACGACCATTGGTTGTCGACTTGTAGATTTGGCCAGCCTTAAAAGGATATTAGATGTGAATTAAGAGGGGGAGATACTCAGAGATACTTACTATCAATCCGGCACAATTGCCAATGGACTGTTGTAAACCAACGGCCATGGATCTTTTGTAATATCCGGCATGACTGTTGGCATTCCAGGAGACACCGAGGCCGACAACACAGTAGATCCTATCATCCAAGTTAGAGATCATGCAAAAGTCAAACATGGGTATACAATGAACGTACCCAGTGACACAAACAAATGTGGCAAAATAGAGGGGACCTCTGGCATGGACATCTATACCCAACATCATTGCATACCCCACAGCCGTTACCAGACACAGAGGTACCATGAATACTGCACGCATACGTATCATGTCGGAGAAATGAGCAATGACAAGGTAGAAAACGGAAGCCCAGATATAAACAGGGACCGTGAGTAGCTGCGTGAGAACTGAACTGTACCCAAAACCTTTGATGATAGTTGGTAGAAAGGTGCTGAATCCGAAGGAGCAGACATTGACGCTAATTTGGTTGAGCGAAGTCAACCAGCTTTTAGGGTCCTTTAGTGTCTTCCAAACTTCCTGAATATGAAACGATTCTTCTGCAGCATACTGCCCAGAAGATTGCATGCGGATTCGCATGAGGGCTTTATCTTCTTCATTAAGGAAGTAAGCCGTCTCAAAATCGTTTGGAAGGAAGAAGAATGTGGCGATGCCAATGACTGCGCTCATAAGACCCTCAACAATAAAGAGCCAGCGCCAACCCTCGAGTCCAGCGGCCCCATCAAGACGGAGGAGACCAAAGGCCAGCCTGGTGAATGTCAGTATAGATAGGTTCCGGGGATGATGTGTCACATACAAGCCACCGAATCCACCACTGAGCGCAGCAGATACGAATAAATACGATATTCTTTGTGCCTGCTCTTCGCGCTTATAAAAAGTTGTCAAAAGCACAGTGAGGCAACTGTAAAATGTTAATGATGACCTAGAATGGGCGGGGGATATCGTACGGAAATAGTCCACTTTCGAAAACACCCAGAAGCAAGCGGGTGATGTAAAGACCAGCAACGTTCTTTATGAAACCTGCCGATAGAATAGAGGCACTAAAGCCAATGATGAGAGCTGCAATTAAACGATTCGGACGCAATTTCTTGAGCAGCATTGAAAATGGAATTTCGAAAAAGACGTATGTTGCATAGAATAGGGAAACGGCATCTTGAGAGAACAAAGTTATTAGCAACGAAAATGATTTCATAAAGAACCATGACTTACTTCCAAGTTGGTTTCCAACCAAGCCAATATCCTCCTTTGAAAAACTCGTATTAGTAGACTGTAAGAATTGCCACAATGTTGAAAGCTCACAGGCATCCCGGCAACAGCCGCATTTCTGATACAACAAGTTAATGATTGAACGATTGAACGCAGGCCAGACCGAACTCACCCTAAGTTGCTACGATCGAGATACGCAACGAGGAAGATGAGCATAACCAAGGGGCAAATAAAGAGATCCAGCTTTAAGACGAGCTCTCGTTCTCTGGCCGGGTCAATTGAGAGATTTCCCAATTGCACATCATGCTCCGATGCGCCCTCCATTTTGAATGTGATATCCGTTTCCTTGTTCATTTTGAAGACGCGTAAGAAAATCAAATGCGACCATGAAATGATTTTGGATCATTGACCCGCTCGGAGCTATAAATGCCACCCTTGGTGAAGATAACATTATTTGTCGGGAAAAGAATCGGGTTATTCTGGGGATTGGAGAAGGACGAGATGATTTCCCGATCCACATTGGCGTTATTATCTGGGGTGAGTCAAGATTCGAGTGGCTCTTCGGGTCAGAGTTGCCCCCCCGAAGGCGTGGAGACGCGATAAGAACCATTGGAAAGCCTCTTATCCTATTGGGACATGCCATTATCATCGTCTTGGCATTGCTTTCTATCTAGCAAGGTCTTTGGTAGCGGCAGCGCATCTTGACGACCTGAAAATCTTCAAGCCACAGGCAATACATTTGGCTTCACCACGAAGTTTTCACAATTTCCCTTCAGTCTTTCCCCATGTTTGTGGGATGCTCGGCCTACTTCCGATGGTCTATGAACTCTCTTTCCCCGCGTTTATCATCTTGGCATCGGTAAATTACTCCTTTCAACCCCTTATCAGCTATCTATTTCCCGACGAATTCCCCGATACCCATTGTGTGCGTTGGGGTAGCTGATAGCCATGTTAAGAGAGCCTTGATGGTAGTAGTCAATGATGCGAATTAAAAAATTCCTTGACCAAAGTACATCATGGGTATCTCCAACGGACCAAAAGAAAATGTGACTGCTTCGGTGACTGCTACAGGAGCCCAACACCCAGTGAGCATTTTTTTCTTTAAAGCCCAACCACTTGTGTTTTAACTTACAATCTCTAGGTTTGGAAAAGATGGGTTCGTTTTGAAAGTCATGATGGAAAGATTTATGGAGGCGAGCCTGTCGATTTTGAGATTGATGGTAAGGATAGTAATCCGAAGCGAGCATCGTGATCTGACCGGTTATTTCCAGTGGGTCTCGCAATCGCGAACAAAGAAGAAGTGGCTGTCCGAGTGATTGAAGGAGGCTGCGCGCTAGATTATGAAGCTCAATTTACCGGGGAGACTAGAGTCATCCAGAAACTGTTGCCCCCAGTTTCACAGAAAGAGGCAGGAACTGTTCGATGCATCGGTCTCAATTACAAAGAGCACGCAGCGGAGATGAAGCTAGCTCTTCCAAGCACCCCTACGTGAGTAGTAAGTTGATAAGATTCGACTTGGCGCTAATTTGATATAGCGTTTTCCTGAAGGCCGATACCTGCATCGCGTCGGCTTCGGATCCTATCTTATTGCCCTCGAACGTGGAATTTGATGAAGCCGACTACGAAGTCGAGCTCGCTATCATCATCGGTAAACTGTGCAAGGATGTCTCCGTTGCTGATGCAGAGGGTTACATTCTTGGGTATGCTACAGCAAATGATGTGACTGCTCGACAGCATCAAGAGAGGACCTCCCAATGGTCTTACGCGAAGGGAATGGTACAGTACCCAAGATTTGAGAAAATGATGATGTAACAAGCTGACTGTTCTAGGATGGATTTTGCCCACTTGGACCCTGTATTGGGTCAACAGAATTGATTCCAAATCCTGCAAATCTCAACCTTCGCACGTTTTTGAACGGGAAGACAATGCAAAATGGATATGCAGATGATATGATTTTCAGCGTACCTGAGATTGTGTCTCACTTATCAAAGGTATGTATCATAGAATTAAGTTACCAGTTCATTTTACTCACGTAGCCAAAGGGACATACACTTCGACCTGGAACTGTGATAATCACTGGAACACCATGTGGAATTGGTATCTCGCAGAGCCCACCACGGTTTCTCCAGCCAGGCGACAAGCTACGAATTAGCATCAGCCATGGACTGGGCACTCAGATCTGTGAGATTACAAGGGGTTGAAAAGAGATAATCAAACTTGTACGGTAGTATCATTTCATGCAAGCCAGATGCTTTGTAAAATGCTATATACATAACTATGCGCCGGATAGGCGAAGGTCAATGACAGCCTCATCGGCGGTAGGAGGGCCAACGTATTTCTCTCTGCCCCAGACCCAGTACCAGAATGTAGCAATGATGATGAATGCGACGAATACAACTGGCGCATAATTGACGGACTCCGCCGTGACAGGAAGATAGGACGGCATGCAAAATAGAGGAACGGCAAGTAGACTCCACGCTATAATGAAAACCTGGTCAGTAAAATTTAGGAAAGCAGCAGAACAAAGTACTAACCCAATGCAATGATATTGCAGAATACTCCAAGTTTACCGAGATCAAACTTTCCATTTTTGATGTGACTACGACCACCCATGAATGAGACAGCAATCGGGCATGCGTAGCTCACTGTTAGGGTAATGACGCCAACGCCGGAGAAAGCGTTGAAAGCAGCAGTGGAGCCGAAGTAGATGAGGCCAAGGGCAATCTCAATGACCATTCCAAGCATCATCGCATTGAAAGGCAGACCCAACGACTGATTGACCACTTTCCAGTGTTTGGAGAATGGAATACCTCCATCTCGCGCGAAAGCCCAAACTGAGCGCGATACAGCGGTTGTACATCCTATACCACATAAAAGAGCAAGCACAGCCAACGGAAGTAACAGGAGGAATGCCCCAGTCGAGTTGCCAATTGCCGATTTGATGATGGTCGGAACTGGTTGACCAGACACCAAAGCGATGAGAGCTGCCGAGTCGTGAAGCACAAAGACGAGAGGGATGAGGAAAAGGAGCCCAGCTATTGTGTTCAAGATGATGGTGCCGACAATTGCCCTGGGTACCTGCCGAGATGGATCCTGGACCTCTTCACACATACTGGATTCTAGTAAGCTTGGTGTTTGCATGGGAATGATTTTGAAAAGGGAGACCCACGAAATCACCATTCCAGTTGAAGAGGTGGCATATGCGGCTTGGAGCAAGCCAACACAGAAAGCCCAGCCATCAGGCCAGCCTGATTGTGGCTCGAAGTGTCCGAAGACATATGCGCCGCTGTTCCTGCCATCCTTTGCAATGACCAAAATACAGATAACAATAGCTAAAAGACCCACAAGTGTCCAGAAGATCGCGAAGGTCTGAGTAGTCAGTAATAAAGAATTAGACTTGGTAAACAAAGACTCACATCCAGAAGGGGCAACCATTTATTCCCTAGAGACGATACTGCGTTACACAGAAGGGTGATCCCTAGGAAAATGAGAAAGGTCTGATAGGTTGTCGCTTCGAAGATGCCCACCCCCGGGGAAACTTCGAAAACATTAACGCAGGCGATGATAAATTGCGCGGATCCGAAGTTTACTGCAAGGGTGATCATAACATTACCGACCACATAAGACCACCCGCAAATCCAGGCGATAATTCTCTGGTACTTTGGGGGCGACAGCATAAATGATTGGTAATAGACACCGCCGGCGGTCGGATACACCGATGTGATTTCACCTAGAGATGCGGCGACGCAAAGAATGATGAGAGACACGATCAACCATCCCCAGATGATATTCACTGGCCCACCGCCAACCAGAGGATAGAAGAATGTAGTCGCAAGACCGTATGGAATCGATGCTAGAACAAACGACATAAACGCAACCTGGAGGGTTGAGCGGTTTCTTGTAAGCTCAGGCTCATAACCGAGCGACTCGAGGAGACCATTTGCCGCAGATGGATCTGAATCACTAATGCGATCGTCAAATTTGAAGCGCTCGCTCTCAAAAGGGGGCTTGGACCCCGAAGAATGAGGCTGAACTGCATCCATCTTGCTCTCCATGGGTAGGCAAGTCCCCCCTGGTCGATAGAGATTAATGATGAAGGTCGTATTGGATGTTCGCGACGGAGAATATCGAAGGGGTTGGATCTGACCCGGACCCCTTTGCACATGACTGGCTTATGTACTAGCAATGTCACCTCAACTGGGCGCGCGAAATAACGAGGAACGGGAACGACTGGGAACTCTAAACGTCAAGAGATTAGAGATAAGCAAATCAGAATATCGCGTGTCTTTACCCCGCATTATCTTGTAGTGTTGATACGGGTGGGGACTGTCTCTCGGAGACGGGTCAGTGGCGCTGACGGGGCGCAGTCCTCTCTCGGCAGGAAAATCATGGAATAGGGGGCGAGGCTGCCTATCCGCTTACTATGATTGGTTCCTGGCCTGCAGCCTCCGGAGGTGGTCTTTTCGTACCGCGGTTTTCTGGAAATTAATTACGAAACGACTCACAGTCCAACCTTGGAAGATGCTCTGTATTCGGGAGTCTTTTCCCTAGAGTGGACGGGTTTGACATGGCTGCCGAGCGGGATTTTGTGGCTATCGCTATATAGAAATCACTTAAACACAGTCATATTGACTAACTCACGTACTAGGTCAACTTGAAACACTGAAAGTACTCTGTCTCCACGTTTACCGACTGGAATTGCCAATCCCGAATAGAATTATCGGCAATTCCCAAGGTGAATAAAAACAACAAATGTATCGAGTACCTATGTACACATGTTTCAATTGCTTTTCATTTAACATCGCTATGGAGCCCTGGAGTTCGCGAGTCCACGGAGGCGTCGCAATCATGATACAGAAGATTATCTACTGTACTAGTTACTCCGTACTAATCGACAGCCTCATCGTATACTAATTTAGAGTGAATTTAATAGTGCAGATGATGAACAATACGCATTTATGCTTGTTCTACTCTGAAATTTATCGACTGTGGGTACTGCAGGGTATTCGGCCAGTGAGAGGACAACTAGATAAGACTTTTATGATAGAAAGCAGAATAAATGATGATATGCAAACGACAGAATTGTGTCTTGCATTAAAATGATGTACACCTGGAGTGGAATAGTAGGCTGAAAGCGGTTTACCTTTCCCAGAGTAAACCAGTTTCCCTCCAATCGCTGGAATAATAGGCTAGGGAATCACCTATCTTCATTCCTGTTTCAAACTCTGACGTGCTAACTATCATAAGAAGCACTGTCAGAATGTAGCGCGGCTACACTAATGCAAGGCGGCTACGCTAATCTATAATAAGAGATCCCCAGATGGTTTCAGGGGTGGTCGAGGCAATCAACTTTGTCATGGGAGCGCAGCTTCACGCTAGTGTTTTGTCAAAAGTTTGTATGGTTCTTTACATACATCCTCCCCGATTAGATAGGGGAAAGGCATTGCTTAATTGGAGAAGGACTCGGGAATTGCCCGAATTGTGGGCCACAGAGGGTGTTCTGAGCCAGGCAAGTCCGTAAACGTGATAACCTGGGGCATATCTATAAGGGACACTATGGAACGAGCCGGTGATAGTGGATCTGTTGATTCGCATCTTACCCCCACCCGCATATCGCTTGTCATTAATACGCATGATGTCATTCTCATGGCTTCGATGGTAAAGTCAGGCTTTGCTTCAAAAATCGCTATAAATATTTCCAATTTTTGCTCTCCAATTCTAATTAAGATCGTTGGTTCATGGATTTGGGGTATTGCTACCCCATCATGGTTTCAAGGTTTCTTTCAATCATTATATCCAACCAGTAATCTTGCACTCCAGAATCCGCCCGATCCCAAGTTTCCCGCACAACATCTGAGATTCGTTGCATTCGCAGCTTTGGAAGAATTAAACCGAGCTCCGATAACCATAAGCTCACCCTGCGCCGTGCCTGAGCAATTTCTACATCCAGGGTATTGAGACTAGCAATCGCATTCGCTGTAGGGCCAAAGACAGAATCATTTGAAAAAACAAGATCGCTAGAAATGCAACACAGAACAACGGGATGCATACATCGGGTTCCCGACGTCGTAGGAATTTGACTAAGAAGAGAAACAATATGCAATGCTAGAATGCGACGAGTGACGTCCCCAGAGGAAGATGACATATGCGAGGTAGATGAAGACAGAACATTAAACAGTGGAGGCATTTCTCGGCCAGGAATTTGATTCAGACGTAGCCTTTCATCCAAAATTTCCGGGAAGACATGGTAGATTTGCAGCAGAGAAGCACAGCGGTATGCTTCCGCTAGCGTGATAAAATGAGAGGGAGGGGTATCCGTATCGCCAATGTCGACAGGCCCGCAGTAAGTTGAGAATCCCGTGAAGAGTATATCTTCTTCAAGGCGCTCAGCCTTCTGACGTAGATCAACTTCCTCCATGAGGAAAGCGAAATCAAACGTGGTGGGATCAGGATCTCCGATGCAGGTACGATATAATATGCGAGCAGCGCGAACCACTCTGGCAGTCTGATAGAGGAGGCTCAATGACTTGGAAAATGGGCCAGTCCACGGATGAGGCAAAGTTTGACCGTCAACCAAATATACTGAGTTTTCAGAATCGGGTCTTTCTAAAAAACTTTCTTCGGTCAAAAGCAACGAGTCTTCCGCCACAAAGGCAGATAGCATGTTCCAGTATAAAAGGCATTGCTGGAACAACGGGTATTGCTTTGCGAAGGTTGAGTTGGCATCTTGGCAAAGCTGCTGCTGTGTCGTAAGATGATCTTTTGCCTCCTTGAGGTATTCTAACCCCAAGTCGGCGGCATCATGCCAAGCAGTAGTCATTCCGATCATGAGTAGAGCCAAGAAGTATTCGTCATCTTGGTTATCTCGATGTAACGCGCCCACCCGGGGATTGTTACGCAAGCATGCAATTGCTTGTTGTTGTGTCTGAACTCCAATCGCCTTCATTCCAGGAAAATCGTTTGCCAGAGATGCCGCTGCCATACTTTGGATGGTATAGTATATCGCCGCATTCCGACTCCACAGACGGCTGACGATGATTCTGAATGGATTCAAAGGCGAATCAAAGGATGACCAAGACTTGCAAACATAGTCAAAGTAGTATTGAACGAGGATAGCAGGCATGTGTATAAGAAAGGACGGTATTGCTGAGTTTTCCAGTCGGCGATGCAAGATTGACAGACTATCTGTATGAGACATTGATTTGGTGACGGGCATATCACTCAATATAGGATCCATCTTGGACCCGAGTCTAATTGAAGGATCGATGTCTGGCAGCTCATCAAACAATGTCAGGCTGGCTTCGTCCCAGAGGCTTTGGAGATCTTTGTTGTGAATAACCTCATCCTCCTGGCTCTCTGGGGTCTGCTGGCCTGGTCCGAAGAAGTGCTCGGAAGGTTGCGTATGCGGAGTGCTGACCGCATCGTCATACTTGTCTTCATCTTTGAAGACATATCGCCACTCGAGGGGCTTTTTCTGATACCCGGGGCACTCAAGACCTTTTCTTGTGCATTCTTGACAGCCTGGCTTCGTCTCATCACATCTGCGCTGATGAGTTGTGAGTTAGCTTCTGATCATCAGGATGGAGCTATCTCAAAAGAATGAAAGGAAAAAAAATAGCTGCGCACGGTTCACCTCTAACTTACTCGCCGCTGCTTACACCGTTGACAGCCTCCCTTTGACTTTGGTCGACATCGATTGGGGTTCTTCTGCCGTTTTTGTCGTGCAGTTGCGACACCGTCGGTTTGGTACATTTTGGGTCCCTATGGAGGAGGGGAAAACCAAACAGGAAAATGAAATAAAAATTGTCCCAGAAGTTCTAGGGAACCCGCACAGTCATGAAGAAAGCACTTAAGTTCTAGGAGCTATTCAGGTGATCGGCTCGGCTTCGAAGGCGTCGCCGTCTACCCCGCACAACTCCGGCTTCCACGAGGCGAAAGTCACCCGGTCCCTTTGCAAGAACAAAAAAAAAAAACAAAATTATGACACTAGATAACTAGGCTTCAAAATATCAAAAATTTGGTACTCCCCTCGCATTAACGCCACTTGCTTGAAATTTGCCATCTTATTATTCTGCTCTGATGTGTTGTCTCGGGGGACAAGCCGACGCTTTGGCTGCGGCGGGTTCTATGCCCGTTCTGGGCGATGCAGTCCGCCACTTTCATTCCACTGGAGCTCTAGATGAAGTAATCGATCTCAGATTCACCCCAGAATAAGCTCCCTCAGAGCCCCAGTTTTGCATCTTTATCTGAAATGACTCGTGACATGCTTCTCTATGGCCAGACAAGCGATCAGGCTCATCATTTTGACGCCCGAGCACCCACTGTCTGTACAAGCGGTGAAGAAGAATGACAACTAGACAGTTCCCAAGATAGAGATAGAAGTTTCCATCCAGACCAGTCGGGTTAATCGAGTCACTCCCGCTATCAACGATTGGATAGGTCATCATCCGTGTCACCCTGCAACGCAATGTGCAACGCGGATCGTCGTCTTGCCACTATGACGCCAAGCACCGCGAAGATATACTAGTGCAGTAGTATTGATTTTATGTGACTCAAACTGACTTTAGGATGAAGATCATCGGGCAATGGTCCGCCTATGGAGAACAGGCGGCGTACGATTGAACCACCGATCGTGCATATATGTAGTCTGACCTTTGCCTGCTATAGTCCAGGGATCAGTGTTATCATTCTCAATTCAAACACAGACAAATAGAAATTAACAGGAATATGCATATTGCAAACACGGTCCCTTCAAGAGTCTCAGGCTGTCATGCTGCCCTACCATAGCCGATACATGGCGAGAGTGTCTGGTCGACTAACATACCGAAGCCAAGAACACTTCGATTTTGAAAGGGGCTGTTGACAATTTACCGACGAGTTCGAAACAGAAGATGAATCATTGTGAAAGGTGGAGGGAAAGATTATTCAAATCCTGGGTATAATGGAGATGAGAAGAATAATATACTCTACTACACGAGCACATGCTTTTAACTGAGCGCGTGTTGCATTGCCCAAAATGGACGACAGGTCCGCAGATTTTGAATACGGCTGACACTCCAAGTCCCGATATGATGTCAACCCTTATCAATACATTTAAATATCTTTTTGTTCTCGAATATAGATTAGTCGAACAGAAATTCAACGGGCGTGGAGTGCTTATCGGTGCAGGCCAAACTAGAGGACCTGAAACTTTGGGGGTGAATACGGCTTCCTCCTTTTGCGAAGAACCAACTTGAAGAGCCCAGGAGAACCAGCACGGCTTTCAAGTTGTGGTTCAACAATAGGCACGGAGCGTAATATATTGGCCCTCTGATTTGGAGTATTGTCGTACCAATCGAAGAAATTAGACGGTTAGTACCAAGATATATTTATCTATATGCCTGCCCAGGTGTACTACGCTCACTACCAGTACTAGTAGCTCCTAGGTAGATATGATTGGTTGGAATATCGTCACGGTACTATATTTGAATATGTAATGGGTAATGTTGGTAATATACATCTGCTCAGCAAAGCATAAGAAGCTCATGTTCGTTCGTAAAAAATCTGCTAGGCACAATCTGACCTGGCTCTGCCGCCCATACCTCCTCCAATTGGTTAAGAGCAGCTTCCATTACCCCCATCCCAAAAACTCTGACGAGGTCTCGAAGGTATGTACGGGTAAGCTCTTTCTGATGCGGATTCTGGGCATATACACCGAAAACAAAAACCGGCCATGTGGCTGTAGTTGCGATAGGGGAGGTGGGTGGTAGTTGTGATAATAAAGATTCTAGACCTTGGAATGCTTGATCAATACATTCTTGGGAATTCTCGCCGGCAAACCGTGAGTCTAGAAGGAGAAGAAGGCTTTGCTGATACAGCTGGGCGCACAGGACTAGTTCTTGCTGATCGCTGCGAGGTTTCCATTCTTCGATTTTGGTTCGTAAGTCGTGATATTTGTTGGTGAGATTTTGTTCCGAGGACGTAGGAGAGGAAGCTTGGGATGATTCTTCCCATAGCAAGGCAGAAACCTCTGGTGCTAGAGTAAATAGCTCGTGGGCACAGCCGCAAAGGACTCCAATCTCAGGACTTGGGGCAGAGGAAGAGATTGCCCAGGTGCTTGGTAACATAATGGACGTCGGAGGGCAATTTGTCGTGAATGATGCGAGGGCAGCGTTGTAAATGTAAAGATCAGTGGCGAAAGATACGATACTGGGTTGGGAAGGAGTGATATTTGAATTTTTCACATAGGCCATCAAATGATGGGCGCCTTCTAGATGACTCTGCATCGCCTTAGGATCATTTCCCCTTGTCGCCTGGTATGCCGGTTAGTCTATATCCTTACCATGGCACTGGAATACCTACCTCCAAAAGATAAAATATGAGGACGACAAGCAAAGCTCGCCACGCTGCATCTACGCTACTGCCCTGGCCGAAAGCCGCTGGCAGGGCAATTCGGAGCTGCTTTAATGCGCTTGTGTAACTTGACCAGGTCAAAGATTGCAGACTTGAGTTTATTTCGGGGAGCCGTTGCATAAGATGAACCCCTGACAGCGCGAGGATTGTATTCATTAGCAATTCATCCCCAAGAGCAACGGGCAGTAGCGTGTTAAGAAATGGGTTGGCGCTATCTTGTAAACACGTGAGTCGATTCGCGGTATCCTTCAAATAATGATCGAGAAGTCTCCAAGTTTCTGCTCCAGAGAGCACTGATCCAGGCACAACCAATGGAGACAATGACGCAGGAATGGTGACAATCGGTAAATTGCGATGCGCACTAGACGAAGCCAAGGCCCACGCGTTTGAAGCGGGTACGGGAGTAGCGTTGGAAGTTGCTTGCTGCTGCAGGGTTGATCCTACGCCAGATCCCCTGGCTGGTGGACTTGGGTCTGGCCAGACACACCGAAGATCATTGCGGAAGCAGGCTGCGCAGGTGGGCTTCACCTCGTCACATTTCTTCTTGCGACGCCGACAGGAGAGGCATCCTAGGCGAGATCGAGCCCCGTTCGTGCGTAACATGGAGGCTGGACGACACTCAGTCCATCGCGGGGATTTAAAATGCGACGTGCACTCCAGGAGTCACCAGTTGATAGTTGATAGTTGATATCACTAATCACGGTGAGGCAAATTGAAATCGAAATCCCCTTTTGTTCATCCGGCGGAAATCCGTCTCATCCTGCGGCAGACCACGTGATCGGCTCATACGTTCTCCGCAACTGCCTGGAGGGTGAAGATACATTTCTCTACAACTGTGTAGAACTTCAGCGGAGGTTTTATTCTACATCGAATTACAATGATACCAAATACTATGGTAGTCCCTGTCTCGTGCCCATGGAGGGCCAGGCAGGGCAGTCCTTGACGACCAGGGCTGTCGTCTCGCCTGCCCCTGTGGGTCGACCATTGGGAACCCCTTCCGGTCAGGCCAATAACAGCCAGGGCAAGCCTTTCCGATTGAACCAGAACCGTCTCCATTTGTAAATGCAAGATGCAAACTTAGTACTTATGGGCAGTTCATGATCGAGATGCAGGACCGTGGGCAAATTGCGGGGGATGATCACTTGAGCCCGGACCTCCGCGTGCATATCTGGACAGTGGAGAAATCGACATTTCAGAGCGCTTACAGCGCCAGCGAGAAAGGATTGGTCCTTGAGATATACCTTTTGACAAAAGAAGAAGTCAAAAAAAGCAAACAACACAGAAGGTCATCCCGAGCACACCTGGGCATACTATTATGGACCCTCTGATGAGGGGAAGGCTTTCGCCAATTCCTCCATATATAATCTTCGAAATCATGGATGGTGACAGCACAAATTCGTGTCAAGAATCCAAAAAAAATAACGCCCCCTACGACTCTCAATATTCCACTGGCAACACAGAGGCCTCACTTGAAGTTTGCTCTACCCTTTCTTCGACTTTCATTCCTCGCGCCCAACACCCCAGTTTCACAGCACGATGCCCTTCTCACGCTCGTTGACCATCGTCGGGTGCCATTCCGAAGGCGAGGTTGGGGATGTAATCACCGGTGGAGTTCTGGATGTGCCAGGAAAGACCATGTACGACAAATTGGTACATTTTGAGACCAAAGAGGACAGCCTTCGACAGCTCCTTCTGAACGAGCCCCGAGGCAGATCTTCGATCAACACCAATCTTATTCTCCCAGCCTGTGATCCTCGTGCAGATGCTGGGTTCCTGATCATGGAGAGCGAGGAGTATGCCCCAATGTCTGGGTCCAATACAATTTGTACGACCACGGTGCTTTTAGAAACCGGGATGATCTCAATGAAAGAGCCATTCACTGAAGTGACTTTGGACACCGCTGCTGGACTCGTGACCGTCACTGCCGAGTGTCAAGGGGGAAATGCAAAAGCGTCGAGTTCAATAACGTCCCTTCTTTCGTTTTTGAGCTCGATTATAAAGTCACGGTACCTGGAATTGGAGAGGTATCTGTTGACATCGCATATGGTGGCATGATGTATGTTTTAGTCGATGCAGCTTCGTTGGGCTTGATGGTCGACAATCAACAATCTCCCCAGCTAATAGAAATCGGGGAGCGTATCAAACGCGCCGTGGAAGCGGCATATACACCCATACATCCTGAGAATTCTGGAATCAAGGGATTCAGCGTGTTGGAATTCACCGAGCCTCTGAAAATTGAAGACGGATTCAAGGTAGCATCAAATGCAGTTGTTGTTTCTCCGGGGCGATTTGATCGTAGCCCCTGTGGCACAGGGACATCTGCACGTCTAGCAGTGCTGCATGCTAGAGGCGAAATAAAAGAGGGAGAGATATTCAAACACCGCAGCATCATTGGTACTGAGTTTGTTAGCCGCATTCGTGGGACCACCAAGGTCGGAGAATATCCGGCTGTTTTGCCTACCGTGAAAGGCCGGGCCTGGATCACGAGCTTCAAGCAAGTCGTTCTTGACTCGACAGACCCTTTTCCACAAGGATTTCGAGTAGGTGACCAGTGGCACATTCCGCCAAACTAGAAAACTAGAGATTGTTCAGAAATGTCAAAATACTATCATAAAAGCACATCAGTCCGGTGGGGCGGTCGCTTGGTACTAAGATCTGAAGCTTAATATCGTAGTCTATTTCGTGAAAAAAATATCCGATGTATCAAAAGGAATTTCTGACTGGAACTATTAGCTCCAGAATTGCGTATGGCACGGTTAGTTTACCCGACTGGGATAATCTCACTTTTCCGAGCCGAAGCTAAGCAGATCGTCACTCAACCCCGCATCCTCACCCCGGAAATTGCCTTCCGCGGCTGGAAAAGCTGGAGTACAAAGGCCAGCCAGCCAAGCCTAGTCCAGACTAAAATGGCCACCCCAAGAATTCTGAGTTTGTCAACACGAGTTGCCAAGTGACAAGAGATCTAGAGGCGTCTTACTCCACATTTCAAAATGGCTGGTCAGAAGGGAACCGGGTCCGACCATGTTGAGTACACTGCCAATAAGGATGTAACAGGCCAGGTTGTGGGAAGAATGCCGACATTTCTTCTTGGCATGACGGAAGAAGAGAGAGAGCTTATGGAGAAGAAGCTGGTGCGAAAGATCGATGCACGACTACTGATCATGCTTGTTGTCATGTACATTTTGAACTATCTGGACCGCAACAACATTGCATCGGCGAAGCTCGCCGGTCTTGATAAAGACCTTAATCTGAAAGGAAATCAGTATCAGGTACGAAGATCTTGTTCTATTCTTTGTACCTGTTTTCTTCTTCTTTTTCTCTTTAAAAAAAGGCCAAGATGTGCTGGCTGACGGTTCTAGACCTGCGTCAGCATCCTATTCGTTGGATATCTATTGATGCAAGGTTCGCTGCTCCATTTCGTGACATTATATGAGCTTTGTGAGCCTAATTGAGAGCATAGTACCTTCAAACATGATTCTCAACAAATTCGGAAAGCCCTCGATCTATCTCCCAGGGTGTATGCTTGCGTGGGGTACGATTTCTGCCGCAACTGCTGCAACGAGAAACTTTGGAGGGCTTTTAGCTTGTCGATTCATTCTCGGATTTGTTGAAGCAGCATACTTTGTGAGTTGTTCTTTTGATGCCTTGAAATTTCATGACTAATCTTAAAAAGCCTGGCTGTCTCTATTTACTCACAGCATGGTATACGCGTAAGGAGGTTGGAAAGAGAACTGCTCTCTTGTACTGCGGGTCGTTGATTTCGGGAGCTTTCTCTGGTCTCATTGCCGCAGGAATCACAGATGGACTGGCAGGAGCCCGCGGTATTGCTGCCTGGAGATGGCTATTCATAATTGAAGGAGCCCTCACGGTAATGCGCAAAGATCATCTTCATAGTACCTCCAAAACTAACTCCCATATAGGTATTTGTGGCCCTGCTATCCATTTTCATAATCCCGGATTTGCCGAGAACAACCTCCTGGCTTACCGAAGAGGAAAAGGAGCTTGCCGCCTGGAGACTGGAAGCTGATATCGGCGAAGATGACTGGGTTGATAGCCAACATCAGAGCATGTTCCACGGTGCAAAGCTTGCTTTCATGTATGCCTGTCTGAACAAATCTAACCAAAAAGACGGCTAATGATGAATAGGGATTACAAGACCTGGTTGCTACTTGGTGCAATTTATGGTCTCACCTCCGCTGGGGCTGTCACGACATTCTTTCCAATGTCAGTGTGTTCTTATAAGGTTGATCTTACCAGAGCTAATTAAAAGCACAGTGTAATGGCCGGACTGGGAAAAAGTACGGTCGAGACTCTTCTTCTGACTACACCTCCGTATCTGATCGGCGCAATCTTCGTTATGCTCAATGCATGGCACGCTGATAAGACGGGTGAACGATATCTACATATCGCACTGCCACCAATCGTGGCAATTGTTGCCTTTATCATTGCATTATCAAACACTTCATTTGCTGGCCAATATGTGTGAGTTGTTGGATGATGGAGCCGCGAAATACACTATTCCTAATCGAACCATATTTTATAGTGCCATGTGCCTCATGATAGGGGGTATATACGCAGGATATGTGGTGTTACTGGGACACGTTTCAAATAGTATGTTGAGCTAGTGAAGCTTGATAGGCTAACTTGAAGGTACTGACCACCTCCATAGTTCTGCCCCGACCTGCCACGAAAAGAGCGGCAGCCCTGGCTCTCATCAACTGCCTGAGCAACGTTTGCCAGATCTATACTCCATACCTCTATCCCGGTGAGTTATTCACAGTGTATTCAAAAATAACGAAATATCTAAACTAACGTTTTCCTTCCGAAAGACTCCGCCAGTCCAAGATTCATCGCCGCCTTTTCGCACAATCTCGCCCTGTGTGGCATGTCCATTTTCTTTGCAACGATTATTAGAATTGTTCTTGGGCGTTTGAATAAGCAACTGGACGAGGAAGAGGGCACGAACATTGATCCAAACAGAGCACAAGAGAACGAGAACGAAGAACATGGACTGCCTGGGCAAGCTACTACCCGAGGATTCCGTTTCTTGCTTTAATCCTCTAGCAGCTGCATAGAGAAGGCCATCAGCCAATAGATTTAACAAAGTACTTTCTTTTCACTGACACTGCCAATCCAAATTCTTTATTAAAGCGTTATGGGCTATTGCCCTTTTAGAAATAATTGGCTACGAACTCCCACATAATTTACGTAGTGGTCAAGATATTGTGTTTGGCATTCCGTTGACCTCGAGCAAATATGCGGGCTAAAAGAACCAACCAATCACCAAAGATCAGTATGGGGTATGATATGACGCCAACAAAATAGTGCAATCCCATTCGAGGAAAGCTTCAATAATTTCTCCGCATAATAGCTGTAAGAATGGGACAAGTCTTGAACTGGACCTTTTCCGGTTGCTTTTCCGGGTGCGCTTTAAAGTCCGAGCTCGCGCTCGGACGCGTTTTGCTGCCAATAGAAACACGCAGAGTTTACTGCTACTAATGGCCCTTCCCATTCATGTTCATCAAAGCAATCGGATCGTTTCTCTCGTCGTTCATAGTGTGACGGCAATTGATCATTATGCTGAAGTCGAACTTTCGGTGAAAGGTCCAGATAGAATGAAGCTCCAAGAATGTCGAAGCAATTATCACCCTCCAATCTTTCCTAGCGGGGCAATTTTCCTGAGGCTAGTAAAACCTCGCTTGAGTCCCGGGATTTCATATGATTAGGTGGATGAATCATGGAGAACAGTCCTAGAGCACATCTGTAAACATATCTATTATCTACTAGTATCAATGTAGTCATAGCTCAAGCCAGTTAATAAGTTATTGCGATACACTTGGCTATATGTCACACTAGAAACAAGAGAAATTGGGACTGATGAACAACAGAATCAAAAGTGGAGACAATAAAGTGACCTATCCTTAGGGTGGTTGTCGGGGCCGAATGACTCGCGGGGTACCCCGGACTGCCTACCCAAGCAGACCTGGATCAATCTTGCCTGATCTCACTCACACGCTTATCTCCCCACGACATGTCCCAAGAGTAATCAACAAACTGGAAATCATAAATTCTTGGCTACATGCCCGAAAAAAGGTCCATCAAGTGCCGGCCGGGCAAGGAGCGGGTTCGAGTGACGCGCGCATGCGACACATGCAAGAGGTACGGTTCGGTCTGAAAATGGGAAAGAGCTGCGATTCTGACAACCTTCCTAGAAGAAAACTTCGATGCTCAGGGACATTGCCTTGCTCTTTGTGCTTTCGCTCTGGAATTGAGTGCCAGTACAATGCGGGGTATAAAAGAGGGAAAGTCCCTAGCATTCCTATTATGGATCAAGAAGAGACCCTAGGCCTGCAATCCCCACAAAAATCAACAGAAGCGAAGTCAGAGAACTATCAGCTTTCTCCAATGGAAACGCTTATTTTGTCGACAGAGCAGCAGACTCAAGCTACGCCGATTGCTCCATCCAATGTACAGGATAGTGATTGCTTTTCAAAGGACACCACGCTATCTGGGACCCCTGTTCCAATCACGCCATTACAAGAACGCGTTGTAATTAATGATAGAGCCCAGGCCTCCTCAGGAACATTACTGAATGGACAGCAAGCCATCACTTCTCAAATCCACCAAGAAGCAGACGAAATTGACCTGGAGGGTCACTATGTCGGGCCGTCTTCTGGAGTGGCCTTCTTGCTTCGCGTGCAAAAAAGACTACATGAAAATCTTAGGTTCTCACCATCAGAACTTATTTTTAATTTTGGTGACGCTCCATTCCCCAATTGCGACCCGCAGTTTCTAGTACTTCCGCCGATTGATGAAGCTCTTGTCTTGGTCAATAGATATTTCGAGTTCTCTTTCCCTACTCATCGCTTCCTGCACCAGGCAACAGTGGAACAATGGGTTCATTTATTTTACTCGGGAATCCAGGGAGTAAATGACAATGTCAGCCGAGCAATCAAGGCATTGATATTAATGGTGATAGCCCAAGGGAAGCAAAATTCTTCTGGTATGGAAACGACAGCTGGCCAATCAGTCAACAGGTGAGTGACTGAAGTTCAATCGCGAGATTTTCCCAGAAGCTTTGAGCTCTGTAATTTCCTAACTTTTCTATAGTAATGCCTATTTCGCGGCCGCTGAGAACCATTTATCACAAGAAAAGGGCCCTGTCAAGCTCACAAGTATCCAGGCCCGCTTAGCTCAGTGCTTTTATCTTCTCTCGGAATCACGAATGAACCACTGCTGGAGTCTTTTCGGAACTACGGCTCGTCTTGCGCATGCTATTGGACTAAACAGACGAAGGAGACGGGAGATTATTACAGACTATGTGGAAGAGGAAAGCAGAAAGAGAGTATTTTGGTGTGCCTACGTGCTAGACAACTACATGAGTGGAGCTCTGGGTCGACCAAAAGTTTTTCACGACGAGGACATTGACCAGGTTAGTTTTTGTCACAGATTCTGCCGTTGATACCCCTAGTGACACACATAACTCGCAGGAGCTTCCAGCTTGTGCGAATGACTCGCAGATTTTGCAACATACGATTCTTCCTTCTCAATCGCCAAGACAAAGCCTGATGCTGGCCTCAATATACCATGCAAAGTAAGGAAATATTGGATATCGAGAATCAAATCACTAAACGTTGACTTAGGCTATCTCGATTAATTAGCGGTATCCTACGCGATCTCTATGGAATCCAGCAAAAGCCCCTCATCTTACAAGCAGAACTTGCGCAAAAGTATGAAAGCCAGCTAGCAGAATGGAGAGCAGGAATTGCCAATTTTCTCGACACCTCCAATGTCGAGCTGCTTCAAATAACTTTCCAAAGGCAGTTCAGTGTTTTGTTCCTGGCATTTGAGCACGCTAAAATTCTTCTCTATCGACCCTTTCTCCTTCGAAACCTAGCATCTCTGGGAAGAGAAAGAAGTACTGGTCATTCAAATCTGCAGGAGATGATTGCAAAGTTTGTGACAACATGCGTTGAGGCTGCTATCAAGACAGTGGGGATGTTTAAAGATCTTTGTCAGACTAGGCGAATGTATAAATCATTCTGGGTGAGTCTTCCTCGGCCAAGAACGAGAACTTCAAATCTAACAATAATAGTTTACACACTACAACGTCTTCTGCGCCATCGTGGTGCTATATGTACACGTCATTCAGAGCTGGTCGGAGCCAGACAGTGAATACAAATATTATCTCACGATCGGAGAAGAGGCCCAGCTTGAACTTGCAAAATGCGGATCCCAAACATCGTTTGCTCAGCGATATGTTGTTGTGCTAGAAGAACTGCGAAAGGAGGCGCGCAAGATAACAGGGGATCGTCCGGGCCAGAGCGAATTGTTGAGTATAACTCCGAGTGAAGATGTCGCTGAAGCTGCCATTCGACAACACGCCGAAAGAGAGACACTTCAGCACGCACATGATCAGGAGCATCAAGATCTAGATGGTTGGCTTTCCGAGATGGCCCAGGATACCAGCCCAGCGTCATATCTTGCGGACATGACTAGTTGGGGGGGATTTTGACTCTTTTGTGTTGACCGGACTAGGAGATTTGAGCCACCTATTGCCCGGGAATAATTCTTGATTACACCCATATCTCATGAATTGTGTCAGAAACTTTCCTTGGACTGACGATGGCCGCAATGATATCATGATCCTTTCTTCAAGATCTCATAGACCAAAGGGATATGTTTCTTCTTTTCCAAGAGCTGTCTTCGGCTGGATAGTCTCCAAAGGTTTCACGGCTTCGGTGCGGTCAAACCAAATATACCCGTCAAGCTGCTCATGAAGAAATGCGTGGGAATAATGGGAAGTTCGCTCGGTATCGGGTCGATATATCACACCGATGAATCTTTCAACTCTATCCTCAGCTGCCATTGCCGCTCGCAGAGATCGATCCAAACCACCGCGACGAAAGTCAACCACGAAACTCGGGACACCGGTCTGATGAGCTATCATTTCCCAACTTTCATCCATCGAAGGATTAACATCCATCATCTCCATGTCCTCGTCCCAGTCATGAGCAGCTGCAACGGTACCGGTGTGAGTCCCACAGCCAAGAATGCAGACATTTTCCCGACCTAGTCTTTCCCGGCATAACTGGCCGATGTTGACCTCATTCCGACGAAGTCCCATGCTGGTGTAACGGGCATCACCGACATGCGAGTTGTGAGCCCAGACAATTGCTTTATGTTTAGGTGGTGGTCGGTGCTGCATCAGTCGATGCAGAGTGTCAAACATATGCGTGTCTCGCATTGTCCATGACATTGCCGAGCTCCAATACATTGCTTTATAGTATTTTTCTGCGTCGCGTACCAGATAGGCATTCTGCTTGCCGCTCTGGAACTCCTCCTCCGAGTCGCCACCGCCCACAAGTTCTTTCTCAGTATATTCCATCCTCCGGTTGAGGAGATTTTGCAGAATACCCATAACCTCGCTTTCGCAGTCTTTCATGCCGTGCAGGGAGGCCAGTCCGTATGAAGTAGGATCTTCCACCCATGGTTCCAAGCAACCGTATCGCTTTCTCGCCACCTTGGCTGCTGCGGGGTCTATGCCGTCAAGATAATCGATGACTGCACGGATAGAGGCCCCCATACTGTAAAGATCCAAGCCGTAGAAACCTGCGCGGTTTTCTGGTGGTTGGCGCATGTTCCAGTCGCGTACCCATTCCACCAAGTCTTGCATTTCACGGTTGCGCCACATCCATGATGGAAATCGGTTGAATGGTTCGTGTCCCTTAGCTATGCCACCTATACCTGCTTTAGGTCCCGGTCGCATGCGAACGTAGCGATCGATGGCCTCAGCATCGGGCCAATCTGCTTCGAGGGCAATGATTGTGTAGCCATGTTTTTGGACGAGTCGTTTGGTGATTTCTGCTCGTGCAGAGTAAAATTCCGAGGTGCCGTGGCTGCCATCACCTAATAGAACAAGCTGTTTACCGGCAAATGTATCGAAATGGGACGCGAAGCTGTCGTCATCAATTGCAGGCAAGGGTTGAATTGCCTGATTGAATAACTCCTGTAGATACGTCATGGATGCTCTTGCAACTCGGAGAGGATAGATTTGAATATATCGACGAAATCCGATAATACTATGTTCAACACTAAATTTTCAATGTAAACTTTCTTCAACATTGCGAGGATGTTGTTTGCATAGTTCCAACGGCGGCGACCAAATGATCTCACACCCGAGTAAGTGGCCAGTCACAATGACTTCACGTCCACGGAATAACTCAAAGCCACAGATCAGTCATCTGAACCCTGGGCGAGAGATATAATTTTCTATCCCAGTCGACTCTTGCCACACTTGGCTTCCTGTCGTGGTCTTCTCCGCAAATCATCACTAGAGAGCCCGGTTGCTATGCCTGGAATATTGCAACATGGCACTCCCTATTTGCAGCCCATCGCCAAAGCTCGATCGCTTCCAGCAAGCTATGGAATCGATATATGGGGATTTCAGCAACATCGAAAAACCGGAGAGCTGGAGCCCACCTCAGCGATCGGGGGGCCATCGCGGACGCTACCTTTGGTCGGACGCATTTGGGGTGATCAACCTGTTGACAATGCACAAGGAATACTGCCAGGCAGGTAACGACACTGTCAATGATGACCGATATCTTGTCATAGCCGGCCGCTTGATTGATACCGTGCATGATGTTCTCGGCTGGACAAGAGACGGTCTCTCGCGACTCCCGGGAGCTACGGATGATAATCCGTTGGGTGGCGGACTTCGAATTGGCAAAATGGACGAGCACGGATCTGACTGCGATGGGCAATATCATCACTACTTGACAATCTGGATGTTCGCACTCAATCGCATGTCGAAGGTTTCTGGGAAGAACGCTTATAATCGCATGGCTGTGCAACTGGCACGCGCGATCCATCCCAAGTTTTTCGTTAATCGTTCCGGCCCCAAGCCACGAATGGTTTGGAAGATGTCCATGGATCTTTCTGCGCCGCTTGTTTCTTCCGAGGGAAACTTGGATCCTATTGATGGGTTTGTGGTATTTCGAATACTGCAAGCTGCAGCCATGGAGGCCGGTGATGGTGAAGTACTGACAGAAGAAATCAACGATTACAAACGAGTCATGGAACGCAAGGGCAAACACTTTGTTTCCAGCGATACTTTGGATCTAGGAATGACATTATGGACGACACATTGGTTCTCCGAGAGAGAACAATGGGCCCTGAACTTGTCAGAAAGATGCTTTGAGCAATTATGTTAGTGAAAGTCGGGGGTTCTTTTATGGCCTCTTCCTTTCGAGACTTTTTCTGACTTGTCATTTGCAGATAATCTCTTCGAGATTGATCGATACCTGGAGAGAAATATCAAATTTCGCCTGGCCTTCCGAGAATTTGGCACCTGCATGGGGGCCCAGTGTCAATCAGAGCATATGACAGAAAAGGAGGGATCTGTCGATCTCAAGAATTGGTCCGATTCCATCATCACTGCATGGGATCCATATGTGGATCTCACGATATCACAGGGTCTCACGCCTGGTGATTTGAAGCCCATCACCCATGTGATGTATGCGTCGGCTCTGATTCCGGGAGGTAAGTGCCAGATCTCCGTCACGGTGGAAAACGTTTACAGGATGTACTAAAATCCCTCCCCAAGCTTTCTGTGCAGGTTACTTTGGATCAGAACCTGAATTTGAAGCCGTAATGGATAAGAGGGGCAAGTCGAGTGATCTTTGAGATCATTCCATGAATGCCATAAAAAAATGATTGGGCGCAAATGCTATTTCTAAATTCAGGTTTGCTCCGCACGAATGCAATATATCATACAGCGATACTATTAACAGAAAAAACGCATGAGCCATGTAGGTGCTCAGACTCCCGGAAGGCCAATCATCTCTCTCCAAGGCGCCAATGTTCTTGGGAGGATGTAGACAATATATATGGATGCCAGTGCCACTGACAAACCGGTCCACTAGAGAAATGTTAGTATGATTGATATACACTATTGTAAGAAAAAAAGAGGGCCTTGGTAGCTTCTCACCTTCTCCAGCCACGTATGAAACCAAATAGCCGTCATGAAAAGCATCCACCAGCCAAGTCCAACAACGCTCCAGACTAGGCGCAGGGACCAGGTTCTCATCGTCCCAGGTGTATGCAGTTGTTCACTAGTCAAAGGGCTTGTGGGGTCACTCGGCTTGCGGTCGCGAGTTGTCTCGCCGTTGGCTTGCGAGGTTACGGATGGTGCAGTGAAAGCCCCGACGCCGATCGCCTCGAAAGATAGAAGCGCAGTTGCGAGAACCAGCATGAAGACATGTCCACTGATATCATGCCCACCTTTCCAAGACCCACCAGCAGCCTTGCAAGCGACAGCGCTAAACAGAGTCTCCAAGTGGACGGCTGGGCTCTCCTCTGAGCCTATCTTGCCAACCTCGTTCAATACCTGTTCACATTTTCCGCCCGTGATAACGAAGCTGCGATCAATAATTGCAGGGCCAAAGAACCACTGTGTCATCAAGTACCATATTGAGGTCGCAAGTATATAACGGATGGAGGCCTGGAGGATGCGTCGAGGGCGTGTTTGCTGTTGGGTTTGGGAGGACGAGGACGAAGAGCGGTAGGCTGGTTGGCAAAGGAGAAGTGAGAAGAAGGCTAGTGTTGTCCACAGCCACCCAATTTTCACAAAGTATAGATTGAAGATGTTGTTCTTCCGAGCGAAGTAGTTGACCGGACTTTCGGAGATGTGTAGGTCGGCAGCGAGGGAGGGTGCCAGAGGTCCAGACGGAGACGATGCAGTCGTATGTCCCCTGGATGCGCGCGCTGTTGGAGAGATAATCGAGAAGAGCGATCCCAGCAGCAAGGTCACTGGGTATACCAGAAGGACCACCGGGGACGGAGGGTGTCGGTGGTGTGCGGACATTGTTGTTGTGTGGGACCCAGGGTCAAAAGAGACGGACAAGGCCTGTGTTGGAAGTGTATCGGGTTTAAGATTCTCAGAATAATGTAGAAATCAAGGTAGCGACATAGCTGAGGGCAATTGCGGAGGGGAAGAGCAGAGGGGAGGCTGAATGAAGGAAACCTGACCTGAAGCCAGAAGCTGAAAGAGATGACATCAACTGCAACTGCAACCTGCCGAGGCATCAACATTTGAGGCCTGAGCCCTAAGGCGGTCAACATCATCCCACCACTAGTTAAACACTACTAGTAGTAGTAGTTGGTAGTTACCACATCGGAATTCGGGGGAACATGAGATCCATCTTTATGAAAGGTCGGATAGAAAAATATTGCTCAATTTTTTTGCAGTATTTGATAGCCCTATATGTATGGTATAGGACGAGGACCGATCTGGATGAGTTCGTGTTCAAGCGAATGGGAAAAAGATCACATTCTTCTACTAGTTAACTATTAGCTAGTTTACTAGTAGTAGTCATGATTCCTAACTAATTAAAATAGTGCTCATCTACTCCGCACTCTGCTGATTATTCCGCTTATCAACATCAGTGAGTGGGTATCATGTTGGATTGACGCGGGACGCCCAGAGCGTGCCGAGCTCATCAACTAGTTACTAGTAGCAGATCCCGGGAAATAAAAAACAGCTAACGCTGTGTGGACATCACCTGGGCAAAAGGTATTTCCGGAGGAGAGGACCTTAGAATATGGATCTGGTACAAAAAGGACACTTGCACAAGGTACGAGAGTTGGGCAATTTCTTCAACACACACACACACGTGTTGGTAGTGTAACTCTGTACTTCGTAGGGTATCGGGTTTCACGACTTCAAAATAGCCCACATAGAGAGAGAAGTAACTCTTTCAAGGTTACTCCTGCATCTCCACTCTTAGTGGTGGCCACCGTCCCAGACGGTCGGGTTCTACGTGTGTAGATTAGGTAGGGGAATTCACAGCAAATGTCCAGTTTCCTTGCCCAACATTATGTATCATGTTTGTTATAGAATGGGCCATGAACATGGTATTTCCCCGCCCGATGTGCGATGACCGATCGAGAGGCTCCGCCACTACCCCCGGGCACGCAATGCAAACAGCTTAGCGCGCAGGGTTTAGTTGATATTTGATGTCGTACACTATTCATTCAATTAAATTTCCGTATGAAATTAAGTGCGTCAAGACAGAGAAGAAACAATGGAACCAGAACCTTTCCCGGCCTGGTTCAGTCCCAGTTCATTGGAAGCCAGCGGGTCCGTTCTTGACTAGGGTTTGTGCGGATCATCACCGCTCTTTGGGGAGGCACCATTGGCAGATGCTTCCCTAAGCAAAGAGAATGCCTAGAAGAACCCTGCCCAGGCTGAAACCAAGTTGTCGGGTCCGTAAAAAGGAAATTAGGCCCTTGCTGGGGGGTGCGGAGTGTGAGATGCGAAATCGAAATGGGCGGCCGAGATGAGCGAAAGGCGGACCCGACACTGCGGTACCCTAACAGAAACAGCAGAACAACTCTTCAAGCTGGAGGGGGTCATAAGACTAAAAGACAACTTCCCCGGGCGGACTGGTTTCTTGTCATTCTCTTCTCTCTCCTTCTTTACTTGTTCCGCGCGCTTCTTTCTCGTTTTGTCTCCTACTTTGTGGTCCATCCGATCGATCCCTGACCTGGCCCTCGCCAGATAGGCCAGGGGGGGGGCATTGGCCATGCATCACCAGTCGGATCGCGGCTCGCATGCTATGGAACTCGACGTGTGTTCTCTCCCTAGATTTACTAATTCTGTGAAGAGCCACACTAACCCATTTTTTATCATTATTTTGGATATACAGCTGTCGGATGCCGACTCAGCATATGATGGCTCGTGAGTCAACGGTCGCATTTCCAAGCCTTTTGGCATCTCATCTCTCTAACCCTTGGATAAAGGATAAGCAATCAGAGCTACACTGAGAGCATCACATCAACGACTTTCGATTACCAGTAAGTGCACTTTGAAATGGCCGTGCCAGAAATTCCACCTCTAACTTGATCTTCAAACAGATATGAGGTGAATTTCCCAATGACCGAGCCTCGGAACGCGTGTGTTAAGTCTAGTAGAACGGTCGCAGATATCATTCATTCCACGAGGGCGAATATCTCCTGGTACGCAAATATCTTACTCAATTACCGGAGTCCAATTTAACTGACCTTATGACATAGCCCAATGATGAGCAAGAACAAGATCGTCTTGATCTAGTCAGTTTGCTTGATTCTCACAAACCCACAAGTCCCGCGGCTAACTTCAACCCCACATCAGAGTCATCATATCTATTTAATGCTGCTCAAAGGAGAGCTTTTTTTGGCACCAATCAAAAATCCAGGCCGAGTGCTAGACCTTGGGACTGGGACTGGAATATGGGCCCTCGATTTTGCAGAGTAAGCGCTCATAATCGACCGCCACCAAAGACAAGCACTTTACTGACTCGATCCAGTGATAATCCTGACTCGGAAGTCATTGGTATGTCAATATTGTGAAATGCAAAAATCATTATCCACTTAACTAATTTATGTCAGGTATTGATCTGAGTCCTATCCAGCCTGCATGGTAAGAAATCCTCATCCCTATTACCACAATGGAAATAGTTAACATTTTCAGGGTACCACCAAACTGTCGGTTCGAAGTCGATGACTTTGAAGAGCCATGGACTTATAGCCAAAAGTTTGACTATATTCATGGACGAGAGATGGAAGGTAGCATTCGTGACCACAATCAATTATTCGATCGAGCGCTCGAAAATTTGAATCCAAACGGCTGGTTAGAAATGGCCAGCATGGAAGTGAACACCTTCTCAGATGATGAGACTCATCTCAAAGCGCCAAATATGCTAGAAATCGCGAAGAACCTGCACGCAGCTTCAAAGCTTTTCGGAAAGGATATGTCATCTGTATCAAGCTGGAAAGAGCGCATGGAGAAGGCAGGATTTATCAACGTCAAAGAAGAAGTATACAAGGTTTGTCGTGGTGGTTTTCTGATATTGCTCCGAAAGATGCTTACTTTCTATAGCTCCCTCAAAGCCCATGGTCCAAGGATCCAAAGCTCAGAGAGCTCGGAAAGTTCCACCAACTGAACATGCTTGAGGCTATGCCTCCATATAGTTATGCGCTGTTCACTCGCTTGCTTGGCTGGAACCGCGTACAGATCGAAGTACTGCTAGCAGGAGTACGTCGCGAGCTGAAAGATCTCTCGCTTCATCTTTATACGAACGTACACATTATCTACGGGCAAAAGCCTGGATAACATAAGAATATCCCCCCCAAAAAAATAAAGAGCAAAAAGTATTTAATTATTGACGAAATCATGAAGATATCCCATTCAAGTTTTCGATCTTATAACGGCTATCTATGCTTCTCTGAAATCAGACCACTGTAGTCATAATTAGCCAAGTTAGTTAAAAAGGGGGTCCCTTTTAACTCACTACTCATCAGATCTCTCCAAAGCTCATCCATATAAAAGAGAGACGAGATGTGACCCCCGGGAATCAATTTCAGCGTCGCCGATCGGTAATTTTTCAAAAGCCAGGAATTGGTGCTTCCCCCAATCTGATCGCTTTTTGACCCGACTATCAAGATAGGCTTAGATCCGTGCTGATCATCAAGCATCCTCGGATCGAACCCCCAATCGGAGTGGATAATGTCCGATACTTCCATGAACCCGTCCCAGTTGAGACAACACTTCATCGTCCCCTTGGCCATCTGGTCAATAAATTCATCCTCTTTCAATGAACTCTTCTCTAGCCAAGATTCCATTGTTGACCTCTCTTTCTCATCCATATTAGCGATGAGCGTTTTATGTAAAAAACTCCTAGTGCCATCCAGAGACTTCAGCTTGGACCCAATAGCGACCCGGAAAACCCATTGAAGCAGATGAAAAGGGATAAACTGCGTAGGTGGTCCAAATGAGAACCAATTTTGCCAGTTCAGTGTCTTCGCATAGCCCTCGTGATAGTGTAAAGGAGAGAAGCCGGCCAGCAGGAGACATCCTGCAATTTTGCGTCCAGCTGGGAATAAGTCGTAGCCTGCTCCGTATAGCATTTGCGCCGGGACCGTCCCGTAAGATCCACCCGCAATATACAGTTTATCAAACTCATCTGTGGGGTACAAAAAATGGAGAAGGGCGATCATGTCTTTCGCCAGGCATACTTGGTAAGGAACAGAAGTGTCTCGCGTACTGCTGTTGCCCATGCCCGATAATGTTGGGGCAATCCAATGCGCTCCAACCTCGCGACATGGCTCTGGAACTCTTGCTGCGGATCCAACGCTAAACAGCCCGGTGAAGAAAATCACCACCGTACGTGATGTCTTTGGGCCGTTATGCGCATATGCTAGTCGTCGCCCATCCGGTAAGATCAAGACGTGCTCTGTTTCTCCTGCCACTCTCTCATCGTCGCCAGTACTTGCCATTACTGTTGCGCCGTGAAGGAAGCTTGCGGGGTGGTTTCCAGTCGACCATAATATGAATTTTTCAAAGGCGAGTTAGGCACGCGACCGTTGAGGCGGGCGAATGTAATGAATAGGAGGAAGCAAAAGGGGACCGCTCGTTTCCCAACGGGCTCGGGTAAGAACCCTTGTCGGTGATACAAGCCACTAAATTAATGTAGGCAGCAGCCCCACTGGGATGTGACTGTTCTAATTCTCAAACAGGGAAGACTGTTCCGACGAAATGTCCAGTCATATTCGAGGCAAGGATTCCGCAATTTCTGTCTACTAGTACTTCGCGGAGTACACATCTGTCCATGCCAAGAAAATATCTATTGTGTGATCAATCAATTTCTCGCTTATGTCTATTCAAGATCGCTTGTAAACAAAATAATCACGGTAGATGTGTAAACTCCGACATGATTTCCATTCGCTTCGCTCCAGAGAAAATGCAATTTAGAACATTGAGTGCCATTTAATTTATGCGGGCGTTATCCATATCAGCAATGATGTTCGAGAGTGAAGTCGATTGATGCAACCGCACATCGTTGCGTGTTTGCTTCCATCCGAGGATTTGATTCATTTCGTCATTTTCATGGCGTGGCTGGTCAGGGGTTGCCGGACTTCCAATATACTCAACAGAAATATCCTCTGGTGTTCGAGTGATGATAATCTTCGGGATTGGTTTGGCAGGCTCGGGCTTAGATGAAATCGCATCGCCAGGCAACTCGGCGATTATAGTTTGGGGAAGTACTGAGTCGGAAGGAAGCTCGATGGGACCTTGGGGTTCGATTGGGGCCGTGGTAAACACGGCTTCGCCTGCAAGTTCAGGAGTAGGTTTCCTGGTAGCCTCTAGCTCCGAGAAGTGCTGGGGGTGTGATTCATCCGAATCAGGGCCAGACTTCGAAGTCTCTTCCTGAGGAGGGACGAGATTCTTAAGGTGGGCGAAGACTTTATCGAGTCTTTCTTGGTGTAATATCAAATTGGACTGCTTTTCGTAGGCTTTCAGACAATCCTCATTCTTCCAGCGTTTCTTGTTCGACGAGGTAATTTTGCCCTTGCGCTTCACCATATCCAGGCGATGCGGCTCGAGGAGTTTCACCAAAATTTGACCTGCTTGCAACGCGTCGTTGATAGTGGAGTTGATCCATTGGTGCTCGATCTCTCCCAGCAAACTCGACTTTGAGTTCCGAAGTTGCTTTGCTTGGTGCAATTGGAAAAAGGTAGTATCGGTCATATTGAGTAGCTCTCGGATTTGTAGTTCTTGTTGTTGATCTTTGCTAGAAGGGTCGATCAACTGGTATTTTGGCGGCATAGAGTCTGTTGATGATTCGGAGAGGGCGTGTCCGGATTTTGATGAGATTAATGATACTGGGGACTCTGATGATTCTGATGACTGCGAGGTCTGAGGTGATTCGGGTGCAGTAGAATTATGCGGCGGCTGCGATTTTGGTGATGATTTGGACGACGTCGATTGCTGGGACCCTTGTATGCTTTGCGGAGAAGGCTCGGCGGACAGACTAGGCTGGTGGTGCAAGGACGAGGAAAGCGACACCGTTGATTCGGAAGCTTGGATATTTTGACCCTGGTGGTTCTCGAGGGCTTTATTCGGGGCGTGAGGTAATTTCTGCAGTCGGTCGGTTGACTGGTAAAGCTTGACTGCTGAGCGATTCAGCATCTCAGCGGTCGATTGGCGGCACCGAGCCTTCGAGTTTTTCCAGGTATTTGTAGATCGTTGCCATGCATCCACGGTTGACTGATGGCATCGATCCTTCGAGTTTGTCACCGAATTCGAAGAACGGTGCCAGACGTCTGTGGTGTTTTGCTCATATCGACTTTTAGTGTTAGAGAGCGAATCGGAGGATCGATGCCATGCTTCCACTGTCGCTTGGTGATATTTTTCCTTAGAATCAAACCAGGCTTGAGTAGAGCGACGCCACATATCTTTTGTTGACTGGTGCCATTTGTTTGCTGGCAGTCGTGGCGGTTCGTCCGCTTGGGCTTGCGCGTTTGCAGTCGCCATTTTGGTGGATTTATTAGGATGTATGTACGTGAAGTTAAGATCAGGAGCGTATAGATGGAAAACTCGTCGACAAAAGGCCGAACCAGGGCTTCACAGTAAGCAAGTTTTGAACATTCAGGTGGGTTGCCTAGCCCGGGGGTTGTTCAAGTTGTTATAGGTTCCGAGCGACCGGAGAAGTCTGTGGCGGTTTTCAATCAACCTGACGCCCCTGAGTGTAAGCTTGACATGTTGGCATGGGCACGGTCGGAACTGCATTGTTTGGGGGCTTAGAGGCCTCAAGAGCCACTACATGTTTATCAGCCTAGAAATGGATAAGGATCGCCCTTGTTCGTCAACGAGATTGGCCGGTATTCTGCGGGACTGGCACGCGGGTTGGCGCAGGCTGGGGGCCAAAACTGAAGGTGGAGAATCTACCCCAGTATCATTGGCTCGTTCGTATCAAACGCAGTTTTCACAGCCTTGCTATTTTTATCATGCAAAGCGGGGAGAGTGTTTTTGTTCTCTCCATACGATACCCTTCAGCCCTGTAGAATCATCGCTGAGGCACATGGGAACATCTCTACACATAGTCCTTAGTATCGAGCCTAGTACCTAGTAGCCTTGACTCTAATAAAATTAACGAGCCTCTTGGGCAAGCTCAACTCTATTTTACAATGACGCCTGGGTGTTGAAAATTTGTTTTCAATGCTGAAATGAATTCTGCAACTTTCTAACTCAATAGCATGTGAGTCTGAAGAAAAATAATGATATTCATCGCTGAGGTTTCAACTCGAAATAAATTTGAATTGTACATAGTAATAGCCATAAATTAATAACCCCTAACAGCTCCCGCTATAAATTGCAGTCCTGAATCAATATTACCTAGGTACAAGTAATAAAAATGATTTAAAATAAAAGTACATCTTCGTAGTTTGTTTCGCAACCCCCCCCCCCTCTGGTTTGACTATTGAGAATAGTAGTATTCTCGAGCAGATCCAGACTTATGGTCCCCTTTCCCTTTGATATCGTAAGATTCGCTGTACGGGGGCGGGCAATTGTTCATTGACTTCGGCTGGTACATTGGCGAGTCTTGGACAGAACGGGACGAGCCTTGCTGCATATGATTCCCATTATATGATTGCTGGTCAGGGCTGGTGCCCCATTGCGGGTATTGATTGTTTGGCTGTGCTTGATACATGTGGCTCATTTTTGTATCGTTTTGGCCTTGATATGGTGGCATATTCTGATTTTGGCGCTTTTGTTTCTTGTCTTCATGGTCGTTTGCGGCCCTATTGAGTTATAATCAGTACAGTATCTATTATCAATGTCTCAAATTGAGAGATATTACTTACTTTGAGACAGCTTTCACGAGACCGTAGCCGCCAGCCAAGACAAGACCGGTTTTGAAAAGACCCATTTTGTTTATAAAAGTTGGAGAAGATGATAGATAAAGTGAAAATTGCCAAATATCAAGCTTTCGAATTGATATCTGGATGGTTCGTCAATTGAATGAATTTTTAAAATTTTTACAGGATGAATGCTCAGTATTTATAAGAAATCTTCCTCCAATTCCCTGGCATAGAATTGCTGCCTTCCTCTGAAAATAGCTCGGTTTTTGCAGATGACGATCAAACTCAGCCTTGTTCCGGTGGGGCCAACCAGGGAAATAGTGCCACCTTACGCCCGTAACGAATGAAGCCTTTTCCGACCAATGAAATGCCTTAAAGAAATGGCTTGTTCCGCGCTATTCCTAAAACTATACAATAAACCGAAGACGAAAGCGAGTTTCTTATGGGGGCCGAACCCGTTCAATAAATTACTCATCCCAGTTCGTTCCCATTGCTGCGCCAAGTGACGACAAGACACACACTAATGACACTCTACGCTGAGCAAACATCACAAACCCGAGACCGAGCAGCTGCAACCAAACCATTCTCAGATTCACTGTCGATTACATTTCTCAAGCCACAGTCCTTGGTGAATACCTAGGTACTACCCATGCCACCGCACCTGAGCCACCGCAAGTCCACCACCGGCTGCCTGAGATGCAAAGGACGAAAGGTTAAGGTGAGGACCCATATTGCAGCTCGGATCATACATATGCCAATCCTTCTATAGTGCGACGAGAAGCGGCCTCGGTGCAGTCATTGCGCCCGACACAATGTCCTATGCGAATGGCCTCCGCTAGAGACTCGCATCTACAAACCTAATCAATTAAAGTCACCAAAGGGACCTTCCAGGAGACCAGCCCAGTCAAGTCCTCGTCCAGGACTCTTTTCTCCCGAGTTGGGTGCGCTGCAGGTTCTTGAACTACGTCTTATGCATCACTGGACAACAGCAACAGCAGATACCATGAGCTCCGCACAGCTAGCATCCGTGAAAGAGATGTGGAGTGTATCTGTGCCCCAAATGGCGTTTGAATATGAGCCACTTCTGCACACATTACTCGCGCTCGGGGCAGCGCATCGATCGACACTAATTCCCAATGAGGCGAAGTCTTTGCGCTCAGTCTATCAAGGGTATATCGATTCGGCTCTCCAACGGCACAGACCAGTCACATCCACCTTGGACGAGAACACAAGCGAGGCAGTATGCCTCAATGCAATGTTAATCTCACTTTACACTTTATGGTTAAGGTCGGAGCCTTCGACAGAGCCCTATGAGCCCCCGATGATGTGGCTTTCTATGGCACATGGAATTCGAACCATCATGAAAAGCGTTTTCCATCAGCTGATTCGAAACAATTCTCGGCTATGTCCCCTACTTTTTGCACAGCCCACCCTTTGGGATAAAAAGGAACCGATCCGTGCATATGAGGGGCCTTTGAGACCATTCCATTTCCTTCTCGAATATCGTGCCGAGGAAGAGGTTATGCATGATAAAGATGTGGAGGCATATACCGTAGCCGTTGAACACCTCGAGCGCCTATACATCGCGATTGAAACAAGTGAGCCGGCGTTCATGATTCGCAAAATATTTGTCGGGTTTCCACCGGTAGTATCTCGAGACTTCATTCAGCTGGTTTCTGAGAAGCGACCTCGCGCTCTCGCAATTTTAGGCCGACTGTTTGCCATGGGCAAGACAGTAGAGAATATCTGGTGGCTTGATGGAATTCCTGAGAAGGAGGTCATTGGTATCAACAGCATCATGCCTATTCCATGGAAGTGGACAATGGATTGGCCTCTTAACCTCATCTCAAAGAAGTCACCTATCAACCATGCTTCCCCTGTCGCCGGTAAGACGGCAATGACTACTTTCTTTTGAAATCACGGTATAAAATAGTCTGAGCTCATACTAGTAGTAATAATTCCAGATGTATAAAATAAATTTGAACATACATTAAAATGCCCGAATTAAAGATCTACCTAGGTAGGAAATATCGCTCTATTTGAGCACCTACCCAGGTGCCCACTGGCAGGTGCCCAGATGGGCAAGAAAAATAGTATATAGTGAATGAGTTGCCATGTAGTCATGGTTGTCCCTGTTGTCATTGAGTTGAGCAATAATGCTAGCATTGAACTAGATTTATGATGAAGACTTGGAAATGCTAGTGGGGAAAATGGGGCACAGGCCGCCTAGATTATGTTCCACGCTAAGCATCGGGTTCGGTTAGGTCTCCCCATGGGAAAAGTGCCCGAGGATTGGAACGGCAGCGCTAATTGGTGTACAGCCTCATGGTCAAGAAAATCGTGAGTTGTAAATCAAAGTAGCTTTGAAAGCTTGGCTTGGCCTGGCCCCTGAGTGAGTTAAATAGCTTGGTTTGGGAGCACTTTTCTATTAAAATATTCAATATTCCAAACAAAACGCGTTCTCTCTTGCTACTGCTTCAGTACAAAGTCTTATTTTTTACATAAATCTTGCTATTCTTGCGGCTTCTATCATGACCTCCTCAACCGAAGGCCTTGAGCTAGCTCAAATTTCTTTCTACGCCGTTGCATCCCTTCCTTGTATCTACTGCATCTTCAAACACAGAATAGCAGGGGTTTTGGGCTGGCTCTACGTATTCGTCATGTGTGGTCTGCGCTTGGTAGGGAATGGGATAGCATATCATGCCCTTTCCACAACAGGGCAGTCCAACAGAGCAGCTTCCATTATCAGTGGCATCGGTCTTTCGCCACTCTTGCTAGCTGCAATTGGTATTCTTCGCGAGTCGTAAGTCTTGATTTGTCTCTTCTGCCGATTCAGACTTGATTTTAACCCTTGCAGAAACCACTCGATCCAGTCGCAACTGCCGGTCTTTCTAGGTGGATTCGGTATGCTGATTCCTCATCTCGTCGTTGCTGGCGGTATTGGGCTTGCAGCGGCGAGTGGAGAAGACACAACTTTGCTTGAGGTCGGTCTGATCATTTTTGCGACCGGTTGGATCATGGTCGTTGGACTGGTGGTACTTTCTGTGAAATCAAACGCTCACCGTAGCCGGCTTGAGGGGGAAATCAAGGTATGTGATGTATTATAAAGGTCAAGTCTCCAAAGATTGCCGCTAATAAAATTAGCTTCTTCACGCCGTCATGATTGCCTTGCCCCTCATTGGTGTCCGCCTTATTTACGCCATCGCAATAGTATTCAAGTTCAAGAATGCTGCTGGCGGAAGTCTTGCCTTGCAGGTCATTTTTGGTACTTTACCAGAGTTTTTGGTCATGATTACTTACTTGTCTGCTGGGATTGTTACTCATACCTTGGCTCGCAGTCGTTACCAAAACAAGCCAGGTCCTACTTATCCCTCAAACTACACTTCCGTCACGGTATAGAGCCGTGTCATCCCAAGTCTATACTAATAACTGTTTTTGGTCCATTAAGTCTATGCGCTAGAAAGTCATGGTTGTGTTTATGTCAATTCAGCGCGTTTATGACTTAGCTTCTAATTTTTCGTATTCCCTCTTCTTAATTTTCTCCTCAAGTTCTTTCCAAGGATTGGATGCCCAGCCATCCATGGGTGTAGGCAGTTCTCGACGTAAAGCATACTATATCCGGACTCGGACTTTTTTAGTGAATATTCGAATTGCGATCCACCCGAAACTCACATTGCTCCACAAAGAAGCGTTTAGAATATAAAATTGACCTACTAGTATAAACTAACAGCCAAGGCCCATCTTTAGCGTGAGTCAACTGCAGTCAGTCTGAGTTTGTGTGAGTCGGGGGCCTAAAGGGTCAGATCATTGACAGGCTGACCAATCAACATCGCTCGATCTGCAGCGTCAACCCACATTCCTCAAGGCATCCGCGATCCTTTCGTGTCAGCGTCACATCTGCTTGAGCCCCCCCTTTTTAGGGGAGTTTGGTATACATACCCAGGCTTGCTCCAAGGGCAATCCTGCGTACTGTGTATTAACTTCATGACTTCAATTGCCATGTTAAACTCGTGGCCGCCGTGCTCGGCGGCAGACCAGGACGTCTTCGGCCCCACCGTTGCTTCTTCATGCCAACATGGCTTCGATTTTACTCTTCTATTCGAAGAAACCATCTTGACCTTGCTGCCGATTTTTCTTGTCTGGCTAGCGGCATCATTTCGACTCTGGGCCCTTCGGCATGCCCCGGAGAAAGTCAATCGATCGTGGCTCTATGCTGCAAAGGAGGTGTGATAGCCATTTTGTCAACTTGAAGATCCTAGGATACCCTGACTAAATACTAGCGTATAGATTGCCTTATCGTTGAATATAGCTCTCCAACTGATTATGCTGACTCTGTGGTGTCGAGATTCTACTCCGACTACACGTGCGACCGTACCAACTGCTATCGTGGCCTTGGCTACCTACAGTTTCTTTCTCTACTTATCGCATCTCGAACATATTCGTTCGCTGCGCCCTTCATCGATCCTCATTCTCTTCTTCAGCTTCACAATTATTTTTGATCTTGCACGCCTCCGTACTTTGCATTTCATTCCACAGAACCAACCAGTGACATTCTTGTTCGCTACAAGTTTGATCGGCAAGATTGTTATTCTGGTACTCGAATCGACGGAAAAACGGCATTTACTCAAAAAAGGATTCGAAGGAAGCGCAATTGAGACGACTGCCAGTATAATCAATCGTTGTCTCTTGTGGTGGATCAATGATCTGCTTTGGAAAGGATCGAAAACAACCTTGACGGTTGAAAGCCTGCCTGTCCTCGCCGATGACATTAGGGAATCCTCCGATCCCCAAGACTTAGAAGAGAGGTGGGAAAAAGGTAATTCAAAACACATTGTTCGTCTTTATTGAAATACTTCTAATCACTCTCAACAGCGAACAAATACCGGTCAAACGCGTTGCTATGGACCTTCGCTTCTCATTTCAGATGGGATTTTATAGCGGGCGTGATTCCTCGTCTCGCTTTTACTGGATTTTGCTTCGCACAGCCATTCCTGGTCGAGCGAGTTCTTGATTTCATGGGCGAGCCAGAACATGTCAATTCTGACAATTATGCTCGCGGTCTCGTTGTTGCGTATGGCATTGTCTATGTTGGCCTTGCGGTATGTGAATGCATTCAAAATCCCCAAAAAGACTTAGCAAACCTGACATCTTTATCTTCAGATATCATTTGCAACTTACCACCATAAAATCGACCGGATGGTTACCAAGATGCGAGGGAGTTTAGTCTCCATGATCTTTAGCAAGACACTACGACTCAGCAGCTCCGCAGTGTCAGATGCGTCGGCCATCACGTTGATGAGTACTGACATTGAGCGCATAGCCACTGGTTTGAGAGATATGCATGAGATCTACTCGAATTTCATAGAAGTTGCGATTGCACTGTGGCTGTTGGCCCGATTGCTCAAAATTGCCACGGTCGCTTCCACGTTGGTCGTAATAGGTAAGATGACCCTAGTGAAAGGATATAGATCTACGCTAAAACATTTGTGAAGTATGCCTGGCTGCCGGTATTCCACTTGCCATCGCCTCGGGAAATGCCCAGGGCATATGGTTAGAGGCCATCGAGGAGCGAGTTGCAGTCACGTCAAGGGTTCTTGGTGTGATGAAGAGTATCAAAATGACAGGTTTGACAGACGTTCTGGCAAACAACCTTCGTGATCTGCGATCCCAGGAGATTAAAACCTCTTATGCTTTCAGGCTGTACAACGTTTTGATTATAACTTTTTGTATGTCTGTTTCCTCTTTTGGATACCAATCAACTAACGTGAAATTTAGCTTTCGCCTCCAGCGCCCTGTCCCCAGTCGTTGGATTCGCTGTTTTTGCTCTCTTAGCTCGTAACGAAGAGGGTGTTTCACTTACAAATGGTCTTGCATTCTCTGCTCTCACCCTTTTCTCCTTGCTCGATGGGCCCATGATTTCACTCGTGGACGGTTCAGAGGACCTCATGGCAGTTGTGAACTGTTTCCAGCGAATCCAAAAGCATCTCATGGAGACTGAAAGAGTTGACTGTCGCATTTCTCATAAGCCTCAGGCCCCTCAACTGATCGACGTTGGTAACACGGATGATGAAAGCAGCCAACACTCGTCTTCTGCGATCATTCGCGACCTGTCTGCCTCCTGGTCGGTTGATGATGAGCCAATCCTTAAGGACTTGAATTTCGAAGTCCCCACTGAGGGAATAACGATGATCGTTGGACCTGTTGGGTGCGGCAAGTCCACTCTTTTAAAGGTCCTGCTTGGTGAAATCCCAGAATTGACCGGGTCGGTCTCGACCACATTCAAGCATGCGGCCTACTGTAGTCAGTCGCCATGGATCACATTTGGCACGATTCAGCAAAATATTGTGGGTGCATCTCCGTTCGATCAAAGATGGTATGATCGTATTGTTCGGGTCTGTTCTTTGCAAGTAGACCTTCAGCAGCTTCCATTCGGCGATCAAACCAAGGTCGGCGTTCGTGGATCGCGACTTAGTGGCGGGCAGCAGATGCGTGTGGTAAGCAAACTAGCCTGCACGAGTCATGAGGATCCTAACTAAAACTGGGGGTAGGCACTAGCGCGAGCCCTCTACTCGAGACAGCCTGTTCTCATCCTTGACGATGTCCTAACCGGACTCGATCGAGAAACGGAAAAGTTTATCCTGGAAGCGGTCTTCGCGTCACAAGGGTTGATGAAGGAGTTCGGACAGACAGTCATACTGGCAACCAACTCAGGTTCGAAAACACGCCGCTTTTCTACTATTTCATGCGAATTTTGGCTAATTTTTCAATAGCACATCATCTTCCTTACAGCAACTACATTGTTGCCTTGAACGAGGATGGAACCATTGTCGAGAAAGGCTTTTACGATGAATTGGTAGCTGCAAAGGGCTATATTAGCTCCCTTAACAGCACGGCAAGCCGTGTTAACACCGAAAGGGCACCGGATGTTGTTTTAGATGATGAGACGTTACAGGAGCTCAACCTCCCAGAAGATGACAATGCCGATGACACGAGCAGACAGACCGGAGACTGGTCAGTCTACATGTACTACTTTCAGCACATTGGCTGGTCCCTTTTGGCGTTATTTGTCGGACTGTGCGCCTTCTTCGTTCTTTGCATGATAGCCCCACGTGAGTCAATCCGAAACTTAGGTTGACCGATCGCTAATTGCGAGTTCTAGAAATATGGCTGCAGTGGTGGACTAGTGCCAATGAGACGAATCCGAATGAAAACGTCGGCTACTGGCTTGGTGGCTATAGTGTCCTCGGAAGCTCGATTTTGCTGGCGGCGTTTCTATCCACTTGGTTAGTTTGACGCCCGCTATCCCTGTTTAACGATCTAACAGCCTCCCAGGGTGCTCGGAATGGTCATTGAACCCAAAACTGCCCGCAGCTTTCACGAGGTTTTGCTGGGTACAACGATGAGGTATGATCTACGGCCACGGGTGTATAATAACTGCTAACAATATTTTAGAGCTACAACATCCTTTCTAACCTCTACCGATATAGGTGCCACGACAAATAGGTAAGCATTGGGTTGCCTAGGCTGCATATTGTTGCTAATGGAAATCCCGCACTAGATTCAGCCAAGACCTGGAATTGATTGACGAGGAGCTGCCCGAGACATTTGAGACTACAGTCAATGGAGTTCTCTTCTTTATCGTTGAAGGATTCCTCATATTTGTGGGGTCATCCTATGTGACGGCCGCAGTCATCCCCTTTTGTATTCTGGCCGTATACTACGTTGCGCGGTACTATGTGAGCACATCCCGCCAAGTTCGTGTATTGGAAATTGAGTCAAAAGGACCTCTCTTCTCCAAGTTCCTGGAGTCACTCAGTGGTCTAGCCAGCATTCGAGCCTACGGCTGGAAAGAGCACTACGCGTTGCAGAATCAAATTGCTCTTGACGCATCTCAGCGCCCATTTTACCTTCTTTACTGCATACAGAGATGGTTGAGCGTTGTTCTCGATCTCATCGTGGCCGGTATTGCAGTTGCCGTGATTGCCATTTCGATGTCTTTGAGAGGAAACCCATCCCTAAATATGATGGGGATTGCTTTGTTCAATATTGTGAACTTCAGTGGGACGTTGAAGATGCTTGTCAGGGCATATACAGGACTGGAAACATCCATTGGGGCGATTGCGAGAATTCGTTCATTCGTGCGAAATGCCAAAACAGAAGACCTGGATTCCGAAGTTGAGATCCCACCAAGCCTTTGGCCTCTTCGGGGCGATGTGGAAATCTCGAATTTGTCTGCCTCATATGAGTAAGTTATGAGCCTTCAGATGCTAGGGGAAAAGATTACTGACTTGAATACAGTACTTCATCCGAGCCAGTTCTTCAAGATGTCAATCTCAAAATTCACGCTGGCGAAAAGATCGCTTTATGCGGCAGATCGGGCAGGTTCGTCTTCTTCCCGGCTTTGAAAATTTCCGGTCGTTGCCATTTTGATGCTGACATTTCTTTCATTCATTCAGTGGGAAGTCTTCTCTTGTCTCAACTATCCTGAGACTCCTCGATCTCAAGAGTGGATCGATCCTCGTTGATGGAATCGACATTTCACGAGTCTCCAGGTCACACGTTCGCTCACGCCTGAATACAATCCCACAAGAGGCATTCTTCCTGCATGGTACCATTCGTCTAAATGCCAATCCCGAGGGTGGTGCAGATGATGATGCCATTATCGAAGCTCTCCAGAAAGTCAACCTCTGGTCTCATATTGAGTCAAAGGGAGGATTGGACGAGGATATGACAGAGGAGCTCCTTTCTCATGGACAGCAGCAGCTTTTTTGTCTTGCACGTTCGCTTTGCAAGTCTAGCAAAATCTTGATAATGGACGAGGCTACCAGCAGGTATGTGGAAGAGAATTAAAATTCAGAAAGGGGGCCACTGCTAACAAGCACTAGTGTGGATGCCGAGACAGACAAGCTCATGCAGCAGGTCATTCGTAGCCACTTCAAAAACCAAACAATCATCGCAATCGCCCACAAGCTTGATACTGTTCTCGACTTCGATAAAATCGCGTTCATGGATCATGGAAGGGTCATTGAGTTCGACTCACCGAAAGCCCTTTTGTTGAAAGAAGGATCGGCGTTCAAGAAATTGTTTGACAGCTTTCGCAAAGAATCGGAATGATAGAAGGGCAAAGCCGTTAACGGTATTTCCTACCTGAAATAGAGGGGTATCATAATTTCTTCAATTCATAAATTCTGGGTGAATCAAACTTGACATTACGTTCTCTTCGATTTCGTTTTCTAAATGTAGACATACCGACCTGGGGCCCAGGTGATGCTCAGTTTATGTTTAGAATATCAGATCACTTCAAAGGTTACCGCGAGGCCCTAGTATCCTGTCTCTCCTTCCTGTTCGGACAAAATGTTTTTGGGCTTCATAAAGCATGCTCCCGATACGGGTGTACATGTCGAGAGTGCCGAGAGGGATTTCAATCTGCTCGAATGACCATCTTTGATATGTCAAGGCGAGACCTTATACAGCATCACTGGGGAAGGAATTTATGATGGCGGTGATTGGATACAGTACAATGACTATGTCTTCGTGCACCTCGATCCGGATGTGCGAAAGAATCTCAAAACCAACAAATCGCCTCGACAAGTCTTTGTGAATGCTTTTCAAGTTACCATGGACTGTCTCAAGGCTGGAAAAGTTCCCACCGCAGACAATCTCGAGTGGTGCCGTGAAAAAATCGGGATGAGTGGCCATCATATACCAGGAACTACCTGGGTCGTGCTGGGCTACGGATGGGCTATCGGGCAGTTCTTCGGTACATGTTCGACGCTGCCAAGGAACAGGATGAGAAAGCAGGCAATGGAGAGTGTCAACTCAGATTGAAGGAGGAGTGGTCGGACCTACCCACTTGCAGAAACGACCATGAGTTTGAATTTGTTGCTTGGGTGTGTAGTTACGGTGGGACTGGTTTCATGTACTAGCAGTAGTTACCATTTTGGTATATCAAATATCTTATACCGCCTATCGAATCAACAATCAACCCTTGTTTACGATACCTGCGAGAGCTTTGGTTTTTTATGGTCTTACTGATGCAGCATGCGTTGCATACTCGCATTAACCATCGGCTTCGACACGATCATTCGAATCAGGCATTGCGAGAAGTGACCGGCCCCCACGAAAAACTTTGAACCTGAGGGTTCCGATGGCACTGAGGTGATTGATTCATAACAAAGAAGATCATTCGGAAGTACATTTGATATTATGCGGGTTCGATAAAAGAGGGCCTAGCACTGGGATCGTAATGTGTTTATACCTCGATCCGGAAGGGTTGAGACTAGAAGGTGGGTTTGTTTACCGGGGGGGGCCGGGTCAGTTATTCCTGGATAGTCAGGTCCATTGCAATATGCTATATAAATCACGTTTTACACGAAGTTTCCGGGGCTTCGTTGTAAGAAATTCCTAGAGGTTTTCGAGCTCGGGAAGACGAGCTGCAGTTGATGTCAAACACAGCGGAAGAGAAAAACCTGTGCAAAAGAAGTGGATGACCGGGTAAATATTCCTAGCATTTTGGCAAAAGTGAATCCGGCCCAGATCCATTTCACCGATGATTAGCCGTCCCGACAGCAATTTCAGAAAGTTTCCAGCACAGATCCCGTTGAAATAGGTGCAATCGGGCAGGGATCGGCCGCGTCTCCATAATCGAGTAGTAGTATCCCCATCCCGTGGCGAGCGAGTTCATTGCCGGGGGATATCCGACCGGGGAATTCCCAGTTTTGTGCCGTCTCCAGTCTTCGGACTAGCGATGCACTCCAGAAAACTCGGGGTCTGCAACAGTGGGGTAAGACCGTGGCATCGATGTGCGCTGGTGAAATTGGACGGACGCGCTCCGCTCCAGGGCCCGTATTGATCGGTCGCAATGTTTACACATTTGCCGACAATGCCGCAAAGAGTAGTTGTTGGATACTGCCTTGGGCTTTGACGCAAAAGCCGAGTTACATCGGCAAGAAATACACATTGCGGTAGACTGCAGAGGTACCGTTCAGACGTGCTGGGGACAGGAAGCCGATTGGCCGAGGCCGTGTCCATCCGATGCCGGGGTGGGTAGCGTGGGGGAATGCATGAGCACCGTCATCGCGGGGGAAAGACCTGTTGCATAGTAGCGCACGCCAGATTTCCATAGAGGAAGATTTACTCGGCCGACCGGGAGATGTAGTCGGCACGAAGTGAAGCATCGGACCACCGAGTAAGCCGCCGAGAATAGAGTATCCGCGGCGTGGGCCGCCATCGATCGGTGTGAAATCATCACTATGCAGGTCGGGGCATAGCTCGATTGCTATGCCTAGGGTGAACAGACAGAGTCTGAATCGCCTGGGCATGCATATATTGTACCAGGGACAGAGCCAAGGCTAGAATCGACACCAACATTAGTGAGCAACCCCTCAACAACACCATCTAGATCGAGGGCATCGGCATTCCTCAAGCCTGGATCCCCGCACTTATTGCCCCGGTCGCCCCGGTCCCCACGGTAGCCCAACGCTTGGCTCTGTCAGTGGCGCAGTGCATGTTTGCGTTGTACGAGACGGGAGGTCACATCGAACAGGAACGAAAACGAGATGAGATGTCATCAAAGAGAAACGTCTGTGTTGTGATTGTTTATATCCGGGCCGTATTAGTAGGATATGCCGATTCGGGTAGATTGGAATAAAGAATCAAGGATCGAAAGCGGGGAGAGCCGTGGTCATATCGAGCCCGCGCCACGGATGGAGGCCAAGCATAAGCCATGTGGGAACTACAAGGTAGTCACTTCTGGGCATCCAATCTTCTGTTGGGCTTGCAGTAGTCCGCCTGGCTAAGGAGGAATCGCATCGCCAGGGAGTTTCCAATTTAGGAAGGACAAGTGGGTATCAATAGGATGCTGGCCGAATGCTGAAGAGTTCTGAAGAGTTCTGGATACTCTTCGGGGTGGGTTTGGATGCTCAGAGAGTATGGAGTAACTGGAAGAAGACCCATGGGAGGAAGAAACTATGCAAGGCACTCTATTGTTGAAGTAGATCGATCGATGATTGAGCAGCACAGAGGCATCCCAGGTTGTGGAGCTATGCAGAAACACCACGAGCTGTCAGACGGAGAATTAACGGAGATGAGGCGTGGTGGGGAGAAGAGTGGAATGGAGTTGGGAAGTGAAATGGAGAAAGAGAAGGTAGCATTGCAGTGGAGAGAGCAGACCGGCTTCGTTTGTTGCCGTTGCCGGCGCCGCTCTACTTCTCTTCTCTTTCGCATAGTTCAGACTACTCCGTACACCATTGGGAATCTCATCCCATCCCATCCTGGAATGAATCAGATCCAACCATCTACTGATATGTACCTCAAGGAGAGAGATTCCTTCTCCCCTTTGAAAGGCACGCATCCCTCGCGTTCCAGCCACTTTCTCCTACGAAGGGAGTCCCTCGACAAGTACTACAAGCCAACCAACGAGGCTAGTGTGGTTCAATTAGTCCAACACTAGGCCATACACAGTTTGATGTCCTTTTTGGAATATTCCCCATCTGCTCGGTGAAATGCAGTTGAACCCAGTCAGCCAAGTTTACAGTGTCGATCCTTTCCCCAACTCCCCGCGTCGCTGTGGGCCGATGGAGCCGGACTGATCGCTGCCCCCTTCTTGTAAACATCCCTGTTGCCATTTAAATTCGTCCGGTTTCCCCTCGACCTTGGACAGCTCAGCACTTGGGTCTCAATTACTCAGTACACAAGTACTTCTTCGGTACTTGGTTCTCGGCACCCCGTCTCCTTCACACAGCAACTATGAAGCTCGGCTGGCTTGAAGCCGCCACTTTGGCGGCGGCCTCCGTCGCTAGCGCATCGGTGAGTACATTCATTACGCTGACTATACCCGTCGCGTTCATTGTTCAGAGGCTAATCGTTGTTGCGCGATCAGGACCTCGCATACTCTCCCCCATACTACCCGTCTCCATGGTCGACCGGCGATGGCGAGTGGGCCGAGGCTTACAGACGCGCCGTGGAATTCGTCTCCAATCTCACTCTTCCCGAGAAGGTTAACTTGACAACTGGTGCTGGGTATGTATTCCCAATGGCATGACTGCTGCAAATGACCCCTACCATACCGATCTTCCTAACGACATTCGCAGATGGGAGCAAGAAAAGTGTGTTGGTGAAACTGGTGGTATTCCTCGGTAAGTCGGAACAATTGAGCCACGAGCGTGAAGAATGAAATGATTGACTGGGTCTATAATAGACTTGGAATGTGGGGCATGTGCATGCAGGATTCTCCTCTGGGTATTCGCGACAGTATGTTTCTCTACCCAATTGAATTGTGAGTACAAGATGCTGATCTACAAACAGGTGACTACAACTCAGGTTTCGCCGCGGGTGTCAATGTCGCCGCTACCTGGGACAAGAGACTTGCCTACCAGCGCGGCCTCGCTATGGGTGAGGAGCACCGTGATAAGGGTGTGGACGTTCAACTGGGCCCTGTCGCTGGGCCGCTGGGCAGAAGTCCCGACGGTGGTCGTGTCTGGGAGGGTTTCTCTCCTGATCCCGTTCTGACTGGTGTGATGATGGCCCAGACCATCAAGGGTATTCAAGATGCTGGTGTCATTGCTTGCGCCAAGCACTTTATCGGTAACGAGCAGGAGCATTTCCGCCAGGCCGGTGAGGCTCAGGGATACGGGTACAACATTTCCGAGAGCGTCAGCTCCAACATCGACGACAAGACTATGCACGAGCTGTACCTCTGGCCCTTTGTCGACTCCGTCCGTGCGGGTGTTGGCTCTGTCATGTGCTCCTACAACCAGATCAACAACAGCTACGGATGCTCCAACAGCTATACCCTCAACAAGCTGCTCAAGGGAGAGCTTGGTTTCCAGGGTTTCGTCATGAGCGATTGGGGTGCGCACCACAGTGGTGTCGGTGATGCCTTGGCTGGTCTCGATATGTCCATGCCCGGCGATGTGATCCTTGGAAGCCCCTACTCCTTCTGGGGAACCAACCTGACCATCTCTGCCCTGAACGGCACCATTCCCGAATGGCGACTCGATGACATGGCTGTCCGTATCATGGCTGCCTACTACAAGGTCGGTCGTGACCGTGTCCGCGTTCCTCCCAACTTCAGCTCTTGGACCCGTGACGAATATGGCTACGAGCATTTCATGGTTAGCGAGAACCAGATCAAACTAAATGAGCGCGTCAATGTCCAACGTGACCACGCCAGTGGAATTCGCAAGCTCGGAGCGGACAGCACTGTGCTTCTGAAGAACAAGGGTGCTCTTCCCTTGACTCACAATGAACGCTTCGTCGCAATTCTGGGCGAGGACGCTGGTTCCAACCCTGCCGGTACCAATGGCTGTGCTGACCGTGGCTGCGACGATGGAACTCTGGCCATGGGCTGGGGAAGTGGCACTGCTAACTTCCCTTACCTCATTACTCCCGAGCAGGCTATTCAGAACGAGTACCTCAACTACGGAAACGGCCAGACTAATGTGTTTGCCGTCACTAACAACTCGAACACGGAGCAGATTGCTGCGATGGCTTCCCAGGCCACTGTATCCCTGGTATTCGTCAACGCCGACTCTGGCGAGGGTTTCATCAACGTCGATGGCAACGAGGGTGACCGCAAGAACCTGACTCTTTGGAAGAATGGCGAGCAGCTCATCAAGACTGCTGCCGAAAACTGCAACAACACCATTGTCATCATGCACACCCCAAGCGCCGTCCTCGTCGGCGATTGGTACGACAACGAGAACATTACTGCTATTCTCTGGGCTGGTCTCCCCGGTCAGGAGAGTGGTCGCAGTCTGGCTGATATTCTCTATGGTCGCATCAACCCTGGCGCGAAGACTCCCTTCACCTGGGGCAAGACTCGCGATGCCTACGGCGCTCCTCTGCTCACCAAGCCCAACAACGGCCAGGGCGCTCCCCAGCAAGACTTCTCCGAGGGCGTCTTCATCGATTACCGCCAATTCGACAAGGCTAATGAGGAGCCCATCTTCGAGTTCGGCTTCGGTCTCAGCTATACCAAGTTCGAGTTCTCCGATGTGCACGTCACACCCCTGAAGGCCGACAAGTACACCAAGACCACCGGCCGAACCAAGCCCGCCCCCGTCCTGGGTAAGATTGGCGAGGCTGCCGACTACCTCTTTCCCAGCGGCATCAAGCGCGTCACCCAGTACCTTTACCCTTACCTCAACTCTACCAACCTGAAGGAGTCCTCCGGTGACCCCTACTACGGTGAGAAGGCCGAGAAGTACATTCCCGCTCACGCAAGAGATGGCTCCGCTCAGGAGCTTCTCCCCGCAAGTGGTCCCTCGGGTGGCAACGCAGGGCTGTTCGAAGATCTCTTCCAGGTCACTGCTACCATCACCAACACTGGCTCCGTCATTGGTGACGAGGTTGCCCAGCTCTACCTCTCCCTCGGCGGCGAGGATGATCCGGTCAAGGTCCTCCGTGCCTTCGAACGTATTACCATCGCCCCAGGCCAGAACGCCCAGTGGACTACCACACTCACCCGCCGTGATCTCTCCAACTGGGACGTTGCCTCGCAGAACTGGGTCATCAGCGATGCCCCCAAGAAGGTGTATGTCGGTAACTCATCGCGCCACCTGCCTGTCTCGGTTGAATTGCCATCGACTCAGTAAATGATTATATGTTTTACGGGTTGCGGATTTCGGAATTGTCGTTATGGACAGTCCCTTTTCTTGAACATGAATTGTTAGTAGAACGGTTTTTTTTGCAAATAGTTTTAATTGGCGATCATTCGCCTTATGAAATTTCTTAATGAAATCTTTCTGAGGAATTCGTTGTTTTCTTTTTCATACCCTACCTAGTAGGGCGCTGAACGGGGGCCTAGCTGTACGAAATTACTAGGGTAACATTTAGGGTAACTGAAATTTCATTCTCGCTGAAATAGTTGCTCGCTGAAAAACACTGTCCCGTACTCATCAAATCCCCACTGGAAATTATCGTTCTTGAAACTCTACGATAGATTCCCATCCTAAAAGCCCCATGATGACTGGACGGTTGTCGCAGGAGTATTCGGCCCAGTACCAAGGTATACAGATTGCCGTTTCACTCAGCTGCAACTTCCTTGAGCACGTCCTCTGTGTCTCCCAACATATCCTTCAGGATTCGATCAATGACGACATCATCTGCCGTATGCCAGCCATCCTCATCCGTTTTCTGCCTGACCTTGGGGTCATTGCGAACGTCAATGATACCGTGGTAGAGCTCGAGCTGTTCTGTGGCGTGATTGAACTAGTAGAAGTTGACATATCTGCCGATAGCCACTGCACCGTAGAGTGGAACACGCTGGCGCTTCTCTTTCGAGGCCATAGATATTTCTCCTTTTTCCTTTTCTTACTCTGCTTCTTCTGCCTTGAGCATGATTCGTAAATATTCCTGTTGACTTTCACGGGCCTTCTCCCACTTTGAAGGCCAAAACTCACACTCAGTCTCCATAATATCGAGAAGCATGAATTTCCATAGCTCGGCGATAGCGCTCTTGCGAATCGGACAAAAATCTGTAACAGCGTGCCCTGGGTAGATTCCTTCACGAGCCAAATACGGTTGTGGACGGCCGATAGAGAAAATCTCCTGATCCCTTGTCAGGTACGAGTGAAGGACAACATTCTAGAACAGATCAGTTCCATCTTCGGGGTCATATTTGCTGCACATACCTTCGTGATAAGTGCGGTTTCATTATCCAGAGAAGGATCACAAAAGGACCTAGAAAAAAGAAAGAGAGAGAAAAAAGCAATGCCTTGTCCTCGATTCCTAAACTTATTCCTCCACTTGCAGATGCTACTCTTCAAGTTGTCAAAAGACAATTTACGCCCGCCATCGTCAACGTCTTCCGAGTCCATGTGGCTTCCAATAAAGGAAGGCGTGACCCTGCTCCTACCCCTGCTCAGTACAAGCGACAGCATATCGTGTCTCGTAGACCTTGGATATTTTCACTTCTTCAACGCTCGCGAAATGTCCACTACAGTCGAAATGACTGTACTATTATCTATCTCCGGTGCCCCTTGTACCACCACCAAGCGCCTAGAGGATTTGATCACCTTGTATTGCAGCACCGGCATTGCGGCCGGCCTTGCCTCGAGTACCCTCGCCCTTCTTCATCAAATCAAAGATAAAAGAAAGATAGGAAAAGAAAGAAAAGAAGGATAGAGAGACAGCTGAGGAGGATATCCCGTAAGTGAACTACAGAATCCCAGATAAGAATCTTTTTCTGAACAATACTGACCTCTTGCGACATAGCCTCTACGAATTGGAGGCGGCTTTTGACCCAAAAGCCACTATGGCCTGGGAGTGGGCACGGAGTAGACTTGCTGGTAGGCTAGGCCTAGGAGCCTTCTACTTACCCTTTATAGTACCTAACTATATCGTCAGTACTAACAATATATTGTATTATAGGCGACACATCCCGCCCACTCCCGGTCATACTAGTAGTGGAGCCGGCCAAGGAGGCCGATATCCCAGCCCTGTCTCTGCAGGCCGGGCCCTTGGGGCGCTAGGCCAAACGCAATTTTGGGTGGATGAGAGTGAACCCCTCGGGCACCAGGGGCGTTTCTCTGGGTTTTTTACCGGTTTTGGGATGTGTGACAAACAAAGTTTTTTTGTATACTCTTTGTTTACTTTATTTCTATTTTTGTTGTATTTCTGTTTATTCTTTGAACTTTTTTTATTCTGTATTCTTATCTTTTGTTTATACATCACATTCTTCTCTATGTGCTTGTGTGGCTTGTGTTTTTCCATGCTAGTTACTACTCCGTATTGTACTACTACTAGTACATAATCACGCAGCGATGGCACAGGCGAGGCGCCAAGGAACAATGTGCATGCAAGGGGACGACCAATCACTAATCAGCGATACAGCTGGGAGATTGGGATATCACAACCGATCGATTTAATGCTTTACAACTTGAGTTTTGGCGATAGCGAATCATGAGCCAATCATGGAGAGCCGGTCCAGTCGAGTGACGCGAACCGATGCGACCTCGCATCATCCGCCTTCCCCGCGTCAGCTGCCTGAAGAGACGAGGACCTTTGGAGTTCAACTGTCAAGGCTTCCCGTCTTCCCTTCTTCTCTTTCCCACCTCCCTTCTACCACCTCTGAACTATCCACTATAATTGAGAATCGCAAACATGGGTATGGTTTATTCCAAGCCGGAGTCGGTGGATGAGAAGGCTGCCTCCTCCAACTCAACTCGATCTATCAAGCAAGAACCCACTTCTATGAGCATCGCTTCTGAAACTCGTTCGTCGTTCCCATTTGACCCCTCGCCTTTGAGAGCTCTATTGACATCATCACAGCACCCCCGCCATATCCATTTTATGCAGCTCGGGAGCGAGCTCGGTCCCTCGCTATTCCTCGCCTGGAGAATTGGAGCGAGACCCTCTTGAGCGATGCAAAGGTTTGAGCGACTAATCCACGCTGACAGAGATTAAATACTGATGGTAATTCTTCTTTGATGCACAATATAGAATCGCCTCGCTATTTCCAACTTCGCCAGCCAACCGTATGAAGCTCTTCTCACTAATCGCCAAAGTCTGCAGTCCGATCTACACATCTTCAACCTCGCCGTTCCGATCGAAGGAGCACCCATCACAAACCAGCGCTCCTCGGGTCGCTGCTGGTTATTCGCCGCTACTAACGTCTTTCGAGTTCCACTGATCAAGGCATATCAACTCCGCGAGTTCGAACTCAGCCAAGCTTACCTCTTCTACTGGGACAAGATCGAAAAGGCCAACTGGTTCTTCGAGCAAATAATCGCAACAGCCGATGACGATCTGACAGGCCGCCTCGTCCAGAAGATCCTGGAAGACCCAGTCAGCGACGGTGGCCAGTGGGACATGGTCGTCAACCTGGTGCAGAAATACGGACTGGTCCCGCATGAGATCTACCCCGATGCATACCATGCGCAAAACAGCTCTAAACTCAACTCATTACTCACTGCCAAGCTGCGCGAACAGGCGCTGGTCTTGCGAAAGCTCGCCGCTCAAAAAGGAGATGGCCACGCCGTGCATCTTCTGGCCGCTAGCAAAGAGCAGTTCCTGAAAGAGATCCACTCGATCGTGACTCTCCTTCTGGGTCCGGCTCCAAACCCGGACAAACAGTTTGTCTGGCAGTACTACGATTCTAATGGAGTCGCCCGCGAGGTGCGACAGACTCCACTGGAGTTCGGACAACAGGCAACTCGATCTCAGACCCGGATACTCTCGCGCACCAGCCCGCCCGTGTCTCCGGGGCGACTCTTCAGTCTCGTCAACGACCCGCGAAATGAATATAATCGCCTACTAACAGTCGACAAGCTCGGTAATGTCCTCGAAGGACAAGCGCTCACATACGTCAATGTCGAGATGTCAATTCTCAAGAAGGCAGTGATCGCGATGCTGAAAGCCGGTCATCCCGTATTCTTTGGATGCGACGTCGGCAAATTTTCCAATACAAAGCTCGGTGTCATGGATGCTGATCTTGTCGATCTCGCCCTCGGATTCAATGTTTCCCTCGGGATGAATAAGGCAGAGCGACTGGCCAGCGGCGAGTCTTCTATGACCCACGCCATGGTCATCACGGCGGTGCATCTTTCCGATAAAGATGAGCCGATTCGATGGCGAGTGGAGAACTCTTGGGGCGAGGCGGCTGGTGATAAGGGCTGGTTTGTCATGACTGACCGGTGGATGGATGAGTATACTTTCCAGGCTGTTGTGGACTTTAACTTTGTCTCCGCTGAAGTGCGATCGGTTCTCAAGCAGACTCCTCAAGTTTTGCCCCGCTGGGACCCTTTGGGAGTACTGGCTTAGGATGACCTAACTGGATAACGCCGTTATGAATATTCTAGGCCGTATGCTTTCTTTTACAGACTGCAGAATTCGCGTTGAATGTTTGAGTCTCTCTTAGAATACATGAACAAGCCTCTCTTACGGACTCGTATTTCACAGACACCCTCTTAGACAAACTTGGTAGATAAAACTGCAAGACTTCACATCCCGAGGTCCTGCAAAGCAGAATAGACCCTTCTGTGTAGGTTTCAGTGCTCCTTCTACTAGTTACCTTTCTGTTTCCTAGCTAAGTGGCACTCCAGAGGCATATGGGCTGAATCTTCTAGATCTCCAAACTGAAATTGGTCAACAACAATTTCAAGTTTGTCTAGTTTTATGTCTATAGAAATTATATTATCGTCCTCCAGCTGTCGAGTCTAAATAGTTGTCGGCCCTGAAAGATGTAATCTTACTAATCCCAAGGTTCATCATTTATTCCTTGAACCCCAATGAAGTCTTCGAGCGGTACTCGATGTGCTTCAGAGCTGGATCTATTAGACTCTACCGTATAGTAATAAAATACGCACTCATTGATACTCTGATTACTTTCAAGTTAATTTATAATATGACCTGAGGTTAAGCTTTATTATTCCGGAAATTAAACCTGCGACACTGCTAGCCCTACAACAATCCTCTAAGTGGGTCTAAACTGGCGTGATGAATTAATATGCATGGATTTTCACGGCCGCTAAAGATTGCTAACGGTAGCTATTGTCGCAACTTTCTGTTTTATTTTCCTTTTTGAAGCTTGTTGCTAGTATTCAATTAATCCAAAACATAGGAGTAATCATTTTCCCTCTCAAGTTTTTCATTTATGATCCACTGGAACAATCGACCAAGACAGGAGTTGGTTAGTAGACAAGTGGGGACTCGGAGCTAAAATATCCAGAAGCCCCCTGTTTCGGAATGATGTTCTACTATGAAACACTCTGCGTGAATCTTTAGTTACTTGTCAGAGATATTTGTTCTGATGCTATGCCTACCTAGGTAGGTACCGTTCTCACCTACCAGTCTCCGAATCATTTTAAACCCATATATATGGCTCTCACCCCGAGTTTCTATCTCTTCCTCATCCGACCCATCACCCTACCCTCCTTATCTTTTCCGGTCTTAAGCCAGCTCAAAGTCACTCAAGATGCGCTCTGTTTACGCTTTGACTCCATTGGCCGCCGCAATTGGCGCCGTGGCTTCGCAGCCTGCTGATTCGTGGGTTTTCGGAAACAGTCTATTCTACCTTGGCCCTCCCTCAGGAAACTCTCGCATCACCAAGGCGACTTACTCTATCGTGCCTCCATCTGTTCCTTCGGGATTCGTATCCAATGCTTCTGACGAGCCTTGGGTTTCTGTCTGGGTCGGAGCTTCATCCACTGCCGGTGACCAGGATGCCAATCTGTACCAGCCGATCTTCAACTGGTCCCCCGACCAGGAATCTCAGTATGATGCACATATTCCTTCCTCTTCAAGTTTATATTCTGACAATAATTTCACTATAGGGGCTGCCCTGCAACTGCTCAGGAGTGGTGTGTTGCTGCTAGCACTTATACGCCATGTAAGTAAAACCTCTCGTCTTCCGCTAGCAACATAAGCTAACGTATCTTGACTATATTAGCGGGTCAACTTGGACAGGCCTATGTCACTGTTCCCAAGAGTACACAGGTGGACTTTGAGAGTATGACCTTCTGGAATTGAATTTCTATGGCTTTGAATCCAAGTGAAAAACTAACCAACAAATTCTAGTCGCCGTCGTCAACAGCAAGGTTGTTCAAACCGTTACCATGAACAACAAGGTCATTTCCAAGGAGTCGGATGGTGTGTTTTCCAAAAATTAACCCAAGTTTCTGCGACCTACTAATCATGATTTACAATTGTAGCCCTCGATGCCCCCCTCCAGTATCTCTACTCAAGCAACGAGTGCTACACTGGTGCCGGTTCATGCGGCTCTGTTGATGGTTGGAGTGCGTTGTCCCTCAACTTCCATAATTCACTAAGAAGAAACATGAGCTAACGCGACATTATAATACAGAAATCACCAACCTTACCGTCACTCTCAGTGAGGCCGATACCAGCTTTGACAGCGTCATGAGCCTTGACAGTGTCACTGATGCCGAGTTCAAGTCCACCGACGGTGGTATTACTTGGCATACCGACCGGATCACGATTAACACCATCGACTTTGACAGCTCCGATGACACTCAAGTCCAATAGACTTATATTTGCCCGGAATTGCAAGTATCACTATAAATATCTTGCTCAAGTCTATTATTTTACAGCTTTTGAATGCAAATATTGTGTACTCCGTCCATGCAGATATTTCGACTCTAATTTCTCGTAAGTGGTGGTGGACTCCAGGGCTCGGAGGCTCGTATAGCGCCGATCACCGATCCGATGGTCGGTTTATGCCCCGAGAAAAGTACAAACCTTTATTGAACCGTTAGGTTTAATGGCCATTTATCTTCCGCAGGTATTCTATTCGCGAAGAATTTTGATACTTAGATATATGTTTATTAAATATTTGATTTCCACTATTTCGCTTTTGGTTTCGCAGCTTTCTTTTCCTTCAACCCGTGCTCAATTTCAGGAGACAGAAAAACAGCGGATAGTAACTGAAGTATGCAGTCAGCCACTGGCACCTATTCAGATCGAACTTATTCCCCCATTCCTCGCACAATATCTCATTCGAGACAAAGCTCGGTTTTCTAATTTACAGACTACTAGTATATCTAGCATAAAAGATGGAATTCAGCACTTCAAAGTTTCCACGGGTCCACCCACGTGATTCAACGTCATCAAGTTGCACCCGCCAAGAAGTCCAAGGAATGCCCAGCCAAAGTCGAAGTCAGAAAAATTCAACCAGGAAAAGTTCAATTCTGCAAGATATTTCTTTTTTTTGCATGAAGCTGCTTCAAACTGTTTGAAATGGCAGGGAGCTTCCTCGCATACCATGAACCCGGCAGTAAGTGGCCACTATCGCGCTAGTGTCGGCTCAATGCGGCGAATTTTGGCTGATCTTCGTTCAATTGCAGTTGTCGATATTTTGATTATATTGTCTTTCTTTTTCTTTCTGTCTCTCGCTGAATGGTTTTCTGCGAAGATCATTCGTGCAGGGATTATTGGTCAAATCGCCGTTGGTATCATATATGGAGAGCCGTTGGCCAATATCTTGAAAGGACCATGGCAGGAGACGTTTCTCGCGGTCGGTTATATCGGATTGATTTTGATCATTTTTGAAGGTAAGTCGGGATTTCAACCTTTGAATTCCATTCATGTAATGCTTACATTCTGATATGGGCAATTAGGTGGCCTGCAGATACGCCTTGATCTCTTGAAAAAGAACTTCCTTCTCAGTGTTCTAGGGGCCGCCACAGGTGTTTGCTTTCCTATCGGTCTTTCCTATCTTCTGTTGTACCTGGGGTTTGGATTCGGTGAGTACTTTTACGTCGCCTGTAAGGATTACTTTACTAACGTCATGGAGGCGCCGTGGAGACATTTATCGCCGGGGCGGCGCTCTCTGCAACTTCGCTAGGGACAACATTCTCGGTCATTTCATCAGCTTCCAAAGAGGTGGATCTTTCCCAGACTATGGTGGGCTCAGTTCTTGTCAGTGCAGCTGTTATTGACGATGTCGTCGGCCTTGTGTTGGCTAGGTAAGTGTACCTGGTCCACTTCCATCACTTCTTGGCTTACATATACTCAATAGTGTCATTCATGACTTGGGCGAGCTTTCAACTCCCGGGGCAGGGGATGTTAATCTTGGCTGGGTTATTGGGCGCCCAATTGTAGCCTCTGCTGCCATGGCGATTGCAACTCCAGTCCTCACAAAATTCGTATTCGCGCCCATTTTCCGGCGTTGGATCGAGCACACCTTTGCGAAATACGATCATCTATCTAACATCACTTTGATGGTTCTGGTTTTATCTGCCTTCATAACCATCGCAGCTTATGCCGGGACTTCGGTTTTGTTCGGGGCATTTCTAGCGGGCACATTTCTCACTTACTTACCCAGCAAGCACCCCGATGGCCCCTTCGTTGTCATGAGTCGCGAGGAAGGGGAGCGAGAAGCTGACAAAAGCCCTACATTTGTGCACACATTTGAGAGATACCTTCTCGACGTTCAAAAATATTTGATGGAGCCGCTCTTCTTCGCCAGTGTCGGTTTCGCAATTCCGTTCTTGAAACTCTGGACGGGAAAGAGAATATGGAGAGGAATAGTGTATTCTCTACTCATGGCGTTTGCGAAGGTAAAACCTACTCCCTTTGGCGGTATGCATGAAATCAAGACTTACATCTCATGCAGTTTATTGTTGGTATATGGATTCCTATTTGGGAAGCTTTGTACTCCAAGTCCTCGTCGAAGGGACCGGTGATCGGTCAGCAAGAAAGTACCCGTCGAGGACAGAACCATTCATCCAGTATCAAAGAAAAGAAGCAAGACTATGGTGCTGCATCGATCGCCGGCTTTCTTCTTGGTTCGGCGATGGTAGCACGGGGTGAAATTGGGCTTCTGATCATTGAGATTGGCTATAACGAAACCAGCTATGTAAGTCAGGAGGGATTCATCACTGCAGTGTGGGCGATTCTTCTCAACACAATAATCGGGCCAATCGCTGTGGGCTATCTGGTGAAATTCTATGGTCAACGGATTGGGGAGGGCAAGTGGGGCCTGCAGGGCGTTGCCCCAGGAGCAGTGAATGATACTAGAGATCACGCCTGATTTTTCACAAGCTATGGATATTTGGCATGTCGTCTCGGCCTTTGCTTTCACTTGAATAAGAGACATTCTGTAAACTAGCATCGAAGCGACATCAAATAGAGGAAATACTAGCAGTATCAAAATCTGTATACAAATTTGAGCCATATTTCACTTCATTTGTCTCACGTCTTCCAGGTCAATTTTTACTTTTCCAAGGTTCGAGTCTGCGATAAAGTATAAGTACAAGACTTCCACAAAGGGATCTCGGGGCAAGTTACGACACATTCATGACTCTTCGTAATATCTATTTTCTAATAATTTTGGCGAGGGGTCATTCCCTGACTCGCTGGAGGTTCTTCAGAGGATATAGGGCCAGGACCTCGGGAAAAGACATCAAACATCGTAGCATTCCACATTAAATAAAAGGATATCTAGCCTCCTCTAAATGCTGCTTTAAATAATTGAAAGGCATTTTAAAATGCAAGCAAAATAGAATGATCAAGTGTAAAAGGGTAGATAAAGCGGACATCTGAAATCGACCTGCTTCGAAGGAACTGCCCTCAGAGGCTTCTTCCCTTTGACGCTCATACCGGCCTTGACACCATCTCCGAAAATTCCAATAGCGGGCTCCTTTGCCCAGCCCGGTCCTTTGAAGGGGTCCTTGGCAAAATCTGCCCAGGCCGTTTGCATTGATTTGCTGACATCTTCCTCGAATTGGGTCTTGTTTAGTTGTGGGTATGTACCAAAGACAAAGGGGATTTCGGAAGTATGATAAGCACCGTATCCCTTCTCGTTGTTGGGGAAGCTTGCATTGAACAGGTATCGCCAAGTAGGGATGCCAGCGAAAGCGCTCTCGTTCGCGTATGCGGCGGATACGCATTGTATTTGGAACTCCGTGATGATGAGAGACAATCGCTCGTGCTCTGTGTGTGCTCCTGGTGATCCAAGAGGGTATTTGGAAAGGAGCATGTCTGTGTAATTGCCGACGACGGGCTGGAGAGCTTTCTTGGGATCATTTTGTCCAATGATCGTTGTCATGGCTTCATCGCCGTTGCTACCAATGAGGACTGGGACTCGAGCGATCGAAGTCTCATTCTTGACGGAATTGAGGCGCTTCTGGCGAGGCTTTTTTGCCAGCGTGAAATCGTCGCGGACGGGGCCAAATACCAGCCCACCCTTTGTGACGAGCTTCTTCAGATCTTGGGCGGGGACGGTTCGAAGGCATTCGATGGAATTCTCAGAGGCACAATTCGTGGCATTGAGCAGCTTCTGCCAGGACTGTCGGTAGCTCTTGGCGGTTGTGTCGAACGAGGTCTGGATGGAGGTTTGGCCAGATTCCATGATAGCTGCGCGGAATGGTACCGGTTCCGGGGGAGTCACAACAAGCGCATCGACACTAGTTGCTCCAGCGCTCTCTCCCACGATTGTCACCTTGGATGGGTCACCGCCGAGGCCAGCAATGTTTCGAGTCACCCATTCAAGGGCAAGTCTTTGGTCCAGCAAACTATCACTTCAGTCAGCTTATAATTCCTCCGTTGCTGCAAATTGGGACAAATTATCATACCCTAGGTTCCTTTCCCTCAATGGAAGACTTTCATCGGCAGGGAATCCAAAGGCATTGGTGCGGTAGTTAATGGTAACCACCACTACGTCCTGGTTGGCCGCGAAACTCGATCCATCATACTGAGGCACCGCAGATGCACCATTACGAAAAGCGCCTCCGTAAATCCAGACAAGAACGGCCTTTGAGCCAGCCGACGCATCGGCTGGTGTGAAAACATTGAGGTTTAGGCAATCTTCATCCTCTCCGCCCAGGGGAGGTGGCATGTCCAGCAGACCGAATAAAAATTGGACTGCCGGGCCTGCTTCTTGGATGCAAGCTGGCCCCCATTTTGTCGCGTTATAATATGTGGACCAGCGGTCAACGGGCTCTGGTGGACTGAATCGAACAGGCGGTTTACCGAAAGGGACTCCCAGGTATTTGTTTACAACGGCAGTCGACGAGGGCAGAGTTGTGGTTGTTCCGACAATGGCACCGGAGTCTATTATCGCGGTTGGGAGTGGTTTCGAGCCTGTGACGATTGCGGCCAGGCCGAGAAGTATCAGTGGCACCATTACTCTCCGTACCTAAAGGTTTCCCTTCAAATTCTCCCTTGTTCTTCTTCTCTTCCTTTCTTTTTGCTTTTTTTCTATTTGGACGGGAGTGTGGGTTTCCCTTCCGAGTGGACAGAGCTGCCTTTATAGGGATATCATAAGGTTTGGGATGGACAAAACTATTTATGATTCCCGGTCAATAATGCGCCGCCGGGTTCCACAAAGGATGCTCTACAAGTTCCACCGATGATGGCCCTGGGGGCCAAGTCTCACTGCGCTCAGCCTCGATAGCCAAGGAGCAGCTACGTCAAGGCAAATTAGGTTGAACCCTTGGATGCTGATTGCCCCGCTGATGCGTAGCCCTGATTTCCACTTCGAATCCTGGGTTAGGCCAATGCGTCCCTAGATCGTAAATCAGTGGGTTCAGAGAGTCCATAGATTCACGGTTGCCTTGATTCCTCTTGGCCCACAGCGGCACATTTGCCCACTTTCGAAAGCTTACTCTTGGCTGGCCAATGTTGGAGGCAGTGCAACTCCAGCGGTGTTGTTTATTCGACGTAATGAGATCCAGAGATGTCGTGATGGATACTGCTGGTTGAACTCCTGGGGAAAAAGAAAACATTGAAGACGTGTCGATTTGGTTCGTGGACCCTTGATACGTCACTGCTCGGGTTTGATTGGCCAGCTCCAGTGCCGACCTCCGCCAGAAGAACAGCAAAAAGCAACTTGAATCATCCAGTGCGAAGACGAAGTAAGAAGCATAGGGATCGCACTAGAAACAAATACACAGATTAAATCCGCTAGTATTCCTTCTAGAGCATCCAATTTCTAGATGCATCCTCATAAATCTGACAATGTGCTCTGACAATCCACCACAGATCCCCCTATTTACTTGAAGTGGATCAACACCCCTAATATCGACAATCGGTCGGTAGTTGGCGATTGCAAAGTTTAAGTTGCTGGGTTTGACCCCCGCTGAATCAAACATCATGGCTGATCTCATCGAGAACTTCAAAGAGAATATTGTTCTGCACCCGACAACCATCGCCTGAAACACCTGATTGGAGTCCAGACCATAGTCTTTGTCTGATTTCCTCCAAGTCTGTTCCACGAGTATTGTATTGATTCATCAGCTCCTCTGCGATCGCGCATAGTAGTATTGAGCACATCGCCATCAACAGGGCCAGATGCCAGGGTTTTTTGGCCAGGAGAGCATTTGCATAATGGCGGGTCCGAAGCTTTCCAGGTCTTATCGGCTGACTGTGTCGTTTTTTCTGGGTTCTTCTTGGCCATCGTGCCGGGTACGATGGGGTTTGATTTAGAAGGCACGAGCTTCTCTTTGACTGGTTGCATAGAAGATGTTTCCACGTGCTTGTGCATCGCAGGAATAGCCACTTTTTTGTCAACAGATTCGCCTTGCTCGGCTAGCTGCACGTATTGCTGGAGTAGTTCTGTTGAGATACCCAATAAATTCAACAATGTTTTCAGATGTCGGTTCTCAGCTTCCATTTTCTGCAAAGCGAGTCGGTGTTCGATGTCCTTGCGACGATCCTCGGTCTGGTACGTCGCTAATTTTTGCTCCAGCTCTTGCAAATATTCTTGCTTCCGGGCTCTGCTGTTGCGCTGATTCTCGCGTACTCGCGCCAGGTGATCGCTTTTCTGTCATGCGTGTCAGATCGTTGTTTGACTCGAGTTGAATTGAATTGGAAATACAAATCCGGACCTTCTTGCTGTCCATGGCTATTTCGACAGTTCTAGAGCCTCTGAATGTACCCGTCTCACATCTTGAAGCTGTTGAGTTGATGAAGAAGCATGGAAGGACCTGCTAGCCAGTTTGCTCTTGCCCATTTTGAAGTCACGTGTTGCTATAATTCTCAGGCTCGAATCTACGGAGTAACCATATCACACAATTGAGACTAACACTCGGGACCAACTTCAAGAGTTTATGTACTAAATTATATAAGATGTACATACTAGTACACCACTATACCGAGTATATTTTTTTTCCTGCTGAATCGGAAGCATTTCCCGTGGCAATTGGGTCCAATCCGGGGAAATGCACGAGCCCAAAGCCCAACGTGGGGTAACCAACAGTGCTAGCAGACCAACTTGAACTGTGTGAGGGTCATACTGTACTAGTAATAAATCCAGAGCCAATGAAATACCAATATCTACAGAGACAAATCATTGAAGGGTACTCCGTACTCCGTACAATTACGGTGTGCTGCATGACTTGCCCGCAAACGATCACCTCGGGGCACTACGACGTCACTGGTCGTCACTACTTCCACTAGTTAGCACTTCACTACTGCTAGTCACTAGTGAGAGTATACCTAATGCGATTATCCCCGCACTAAGGCTTAAGGCTTCTTTCGCGATCTCCCCGGTCGCATCTCTTCTCCAAATTTCTGGGATTCCCTGTCATCATCCCCTACTTCCCCTGACTATCCGTCGTATCCCGTCGCATCCCGTCACCGCTATCCGCCATGGTCTCCACGCGACATCATCCGCGCGAATTCCCCTCGCCTGAAAAGGCTGCCAAGGAGCTTGTCAAATCATCGCCGGCGCCGACAACTAACGGTACCTCTCGAAAATGGGTGCACACTCCCTCCGCTGCTCTGACCATCTGGCTGGTCGTGTCACTGCCCCTGGTCGCCTGGGATGCGGGTTACGTCCTATTGCGACCGCATAGCATGCCAGGAGGCCGATTGCACTCCCCAATCTGGACCCCCCTATGCGCTTTACGGCACAGTCGACTACATCTACGGCTGGCCTGCCTATAATGCGCGCAATGGCTTCACCGCTGCGCAGACCGTCATGAACATTGTGGAGACGCTTGGCTACCTCTACTATCTGTACATTGTCTATGCGCACGGCGCCACCATAACCAGTGGTCGCGGCGCGCAGAAGCAGCGGACAAAGGGCTTGTTGTGGCTACTGGCGGGCGAAAAAGTCGTCGCTGGCAAGACTGGCGCAACCGCGCTTCTCGTCGCATATACCGCTTCTGTGATGACTCTGAGCAAGACGCTCTTATATTGTACGTCCAACAAGCTATTTCCTAGCTCATTATCGCGTGGAATATGTGGTACAATCGATCGGTACTAACAAACAGCAGGGTTCAACGAGTTCTTCTCCGGCTTTGATAACATTGGCCATAATGATGCCGCCACCTTGATCTTCCTGTGGATCATTCCAAAGTCAGTCGAAACTCGCGTGCAATCGCGCAAATTTCTGCTAATTCTTTTTACAGTGGTCTCTGGATTGTCTTCCCTACCTATAGTGTCTATACCCTTGGTGCGGAGATTCTTAACTCCCTCGAGCAGGCGACTTCGCGTGGTAAGCCCGGGCGCCCCAAGGCGATATAAAACACAGCCGCGACACGATGAAAGCCCAACCTTAGTGTTATGCACGGTGCTAATTGCCTTGGTATTGGGATACATGATCCAAAGAATGGGAGATGAGGAACGATGAGAGGTAGAGTGATGATGTTTAGAAACCCTTTCCGGTCTTCCCCGGGAGCATCATGATTTTTTTACGGCAGTTTTATTTTTTTGAATCATTAATAAGAACATGATTTAATCAAGCAAATACTTTAAATACCATGATGATTTAAATACCATGATGATATCTCCTCCTCCAGGGCGGTGTATAGCTTGAGGCATGTAACCCAATGCGGACTATACGTAGTACCCTAGCTATGGAAAGTATAGATTATTCCAATAGGAAGGGATGGATGAATATCAATTATTACTAGTAGTAATGGAGTAGCTCAAACCATATCCTCAACCCTGTGGCAATAACTATAAAATAAGTAGAGCCCCGACTAGTATAGACACCAAAGCTCTGTAATGTCGACGCTGCCAGTGGATGTCCGTGCCAAGCCGACCGTCGCCGCCGAACCTTTCCCCATATTTCCCTTTCTCTTCTCTCCTCGACTCCTCCTCTCCCTCTGACTCTTCTTCTGTCGCACCAACCTCGTATTCCGTCGCAACCCCCGACCGGTCTCCACAATATCGCTCGTTTCTTTCCATCTCCCCGTCTCTCCGCGCCCCCTTCTGAGCTCGGTCTATCTCGCCAAACGATGCTTCAGGCCTCAGACCTGGGGTACCCGCACCCGTCATGATCCCTCCCGACTCCGACGAGTCGCCGTTGAAGCCCTCCGGTGCTGGATTTATGTTCGGCCAGGAGGATTCCACCACGATATTGGATGATTTCGACACTCAAAGCCATGCAAGTTCCCGCGACCCCGGTAGCACACATCCCGGCGACCCCGCGACGGGTTCGGGCATCGGTGCTGAGGGTCAGCACGATGATGCCACGCAAGATCCCGATGCCGCGAACTCGGGGCCACTCGACCAGTATGGTAAGCCTGCCTGGAGCGAAATGAAGACCAAGGCCGGCAAAGAGCGCAAGCGACTGCCCCTCGCCTGCATTGCCTGCCGACGGAAGAAAATCCGTTGCTCAGGCGAGAAGCCCGCCTGCAAACATTGCACACGATCGCGGATTCCATGCGTATACAAAGTTACTACTAGGAAAGCTGCCCCGCGCACGGATTATATGGCCATGTTGGATAAGCGTCTGAAGCGGATGGAAGATCGCGTGATCAAGACGATCCCCACAGACGAGACGCGGGATATGGCTTCCATCGGTAGATCGGTCGTCAAACCCTCCGCCTCGAGCCAGGCATCCAAGGCCCAGAAGAAACGAAGTGCGGATGAGGCTTTCTCGGCAGAAATTGAGCAGTGGTCTCGGGAAGAGCGCCGTCCGCCACACGAGACACTCCCAATGAATCGTGAGATCAAGTCGACCGACGGCACTGGACTTTTGACCGAAGGCGCCGAGTTCCTACCATCATTGGAAATACAGGAGCATTTGGCGGAAGTTTTCTTCGACTGTGTCTATGGGCAGTCGTATCTTTTATTGCACAAGCCTAGTTTTATGCGCCGGCTCAAGTCCGGTTCTGTCCCTCCGGTTCTTATTCTTGCGGTCTGCGCCGTGTCTGCAAGATTCTCGACACATCCACAGCTCAATTCCGAACCTGCCTTCCTGCGCGGCGAAAATTGGGCCAACCCCGCAGCGGCCATCGCTCTTAGTCGACATGACGAGCCTAATATTACTATTCTCACTGTCTTTTTACTCCTTGGACTCCACGAATTCGGAACCTGTCACGGTGGACGCAGTTGGTCATTTGGTGGACAAGCATTGAGAATGGGCTATGCTCTGCAGTTACATCAAGAGCTCGAACGCGATCCATTACTCGGTCAGAATAATTCCAGCTCTCAGTTGAGCTTCACTGATCGAGAGATTCGTCGACGCACGATGTGGGCATGCTTCTTGATGGATCGCTATAACTCCTCGGGCAGTCAGCGCCCACCTATCGGAAATGAGAAGTTCCTGCATATTCAACTACCCATCAAAGAGACCCATTTCCAAATGGAGATCCCCGGTCCCACAGAAGACCTAGACGGCGATGTTCCGAATCCTACCCCAGAAGATTCCGGACAATTGTCCAACGCTCAGGAGAATATGGGCGTCTCAGCGTACATTATTCGCGCCATTGTCATCTGGGGTCGAATTGTCGATTACTTGAACCTAGGCGGCAAAAGAAAGGATCCCCATCCCCTGTGGCATCCAGAGTCGGGGTACACGCAACTAAAGCGACAGATTGAAGAATTCTCGTCTTCTCTCCCAACCCCTTTTACATTTACATATGAGAATCTTCAAATCCACGCAGCGGAGAAAGTCGCTAACCAATTCTTGTTTCTCCACATCATCCTTCATCAGAACATGCTTTTTCTAAACCAGTTCGCCATTCCCCTGTCGCCTGGGGGTCGACCTCCTATGGACATGCCCAAGCCTTTCCTCAGCAATGCTGGTCGAGCAGCCGTGGAAGCTGCCCATCATATCTCCGTGCTCTTTGATCGAGCTTCGGCCTATCCACTCACAGTTCCATTTGCTGGGTATTGTGCATATTCTGCGAGTACGGTGCATATTTGGGGCATATTCTCGAAGAACGTACAGCTAGAAGCTCGATCCAAGGAGAACCTTCGACATACCTATCGCTATCTCAACAAGATGAAGAAGTACTGGGGAATGTTCCACTACATGGTGGAAAGTGCTAAAGACAGGTATCGACAATTTGCCGACGCAGCCATCAAGGGATCTGTGGCCGCTTCCAATGGCACCACTTTGGCTCCAATGTTTCAATATGGAGATTGGTTTGAGAAATATCCCCACGGTGTTTCAAGGATGCACTGGGAGGATCCAGATACACGACATAAGGAAACAGGCGAGGATGCAGTGATGGGTCAGAAACCCGATCTTCAAAGTGTGGAGGACTTCTTTGCCAGTTTATCGCCAACTCCTCAGCCTGTCCTTCCTCGCAAAGTTCGCCCGCGCAAGAACAGCAAACTTTCCGACGGAACCCCCAATACCGATCAGACCTCTCCCGCTTCCATCGATGTGACCATGGGCCATGCTCCGGGGGTTCCAGGCAGCGCATTCCCTCAACCATCGATGTTCGCACAAAATCGGCCCATGCCATTTGGCCAGCCACCCTTCGATTTCAGTATTCCGTCTGATCAATTGCCACAATTGGATCGGCAATTTGTCTATGGGTCATTCTCGGATTTCGATCCCAACTCCTTTGTCCCCAATAACCCCTCAATTCCACCCGTCAACGGTGTCGATCCCCAAGCCTCGGATCAATCGCTATTCACCGGCCACCTTGACCCCGGCGCACCAGCCGGGACAGGCGAATTCTACCAGCCAAGTGCATGGTTCCTTCCCTTCAATCTCGACCCGATTGGCGGCGGCGGCCCACCAGATGTCCAACCACCAGGAGGTCCAGCTTCGGGCCCTACCCCAGGCCCCGGAGGCAACGGCCCTGGTTCAGTCGGCGATATGTCAGCCTTTGGCGGTGCCGGAAATATAGCGCTAGGCGCATATGGGCTTGACCTTGGACCAGGCATGGGACAAGACTCACGACGCTGAACCGATGAAATTTTCAAAGCCGTAACGAGGGAGGCAGAGTCTGGTTCGCTTCGACGACTGCGATGTGTTTAATATGTCATAATGGGAGAGGAAAGGATGGAATCGGGTTATTGGATTTGGTATTACTGGCTGGACTGTTTTTACCCGCGCATTGTTTGGCTCGATATGAATTGTTCAAAAGCCTGGCGTTTTTCTCTCTTTTTTGCTGCGAATTGCACATACTCTCTTGGCCGTCTTTTTTGTGACATTATATATCCCCTACCGGAAGGTTCTTTGGCTTAAGGAGTGTATTGGTGCTATCTTTCCTAATGGTTTTTTGGCCTAGCCTTGCCCTAATCATTTCCCGTAGGCCCATTGGCATGGCTCCTACGTCCCCACTCAGGACAGCCCAAAAAAAAGGGTAGATCCAGACGAAGGGATCCACAAGAGGCCAAAAAGAAATGTACTGTGCATCATCCGTGAATCGAACACGGGCCTCGTCGATGGCAACGACGAATTCTACCACTAGACCAATGATGCTAGTTGATGTAAATCGTCGAGAATTGTGGCTATATGAAGCTTGGCACCCATCGGTGGAGTCAGTTGAACCACTCCCAGGGCCATAGATTTAGAGAAGATATTCAGCTACACCTACAGAGGAGTGACTAATTTGTTTTTCAGATTTATTGGCCGCTAAATAAGATTTCTGAATGCTCTGCAGAATGATGTGTCGTCTATTCTATGCTTTGTTCCACCATGATCACTCCAATTCTATATGCCCCCTACCTACTTGGGTAGACTAACTAGTACTTCGAGGAATGTCCCTCGCTTCAGTCGATCAATTGAGGCTAAGGCTGTATCTTTGGAAAGGCAATTTTTCAGGCGCTCATGGCAGGTATCATGAGATGTTCCTCTTCGCCGAAGCGGAAATGGCCATACAGATGGGACGTCTGTTAAATCAGGCATATCCAAGCGGAAATGCATCGACTGGATGACACAACTTGAAGCGAACCTCCCGAGGGCCAATGATGATGCCAATTTTATTCGCTCAGATCCAAAATTCCATTTCAAGGACACGGTTCTGATTGTTTGTTCGTAGCTTTAGCAGTGTTTTACCTCCCCTACCTAGGTACTTATTTCTAGAGGCTGTCCAGGGCTTAGAACCTTCCAAGGTTGGAAATGTTTTCTGAAACTTGAAACCTCATAGTATTGCACTAAATTACATACGTTCAAGTTGTTTTCTTCGCTCCGTCATCCCATGATATACCATGTCAGAAATCACCTGTGATGAAGATCTACCAAAGCTTCTCAATACATCGATAAAGCAAGTCAAATGGGTCAAGAAATTGACTCTGAGACATCTGGATAGTCCCTTGAACCGTGTGGATAGGCCTCCTTTGGAGGGAATGTTCAGCCGGACCCTCTTTCTGGTTTTAAAGGATGAACGTGAGATATTTCATCAGTTTCGCACCGAACCACTTCATCTCGACGCCCTCAAAATAGCTAGTACACGCACTAGGCTCTGTTGTCCCTAGTGCTACTGCTTTAGAAGACAAAGAACTTCTTGCGCACGGCGTTTAGTCTTATTTCTTCAACCTCTCACCAGGAAAAATATGGTTACGAGGAATTTCCGGTAAAGGGCCACGGGGCCAAATCGCCATCAATAAATATCTTGGTCACGTCCTGTCTAAGGGATACTTCAACACCAACAGTGATGAGGCTGCCGATGGCCGTGTCCGATCGAACCTCAAGGCTCTACTAGCATCGTCGGTAGATGATATCAAACCATATCGGCATCAACTTCAAGGTTTTTTTTTCAATAAGCTAGACGAATTCAAAAAGCTTCCACTCTGGGTTGCTCAATATGATCTTAACAAAGTGAACGTTCATATCGATGATGATTGCCATGTTACGGGCTTAATTGATTGGGAGCTATCTACGCCTCTCCCTTTTGGGATTTGTTTCGGTCGCATCCACACATAAGCTGGCGAATACAGTAGTGGGGAGTTCTATGTGCCAGATGAATTCGAAGATGCGGAAAGAGGGTTCTGGCACGAGCTATTTGATGGCATGTCAACAGGATTTCACCAGAATTTGAAAGATGAAATGAATCTTGTCCAATATGCCGTTATCCTTGGGACTCTTCTTGATTGTCTTGCATTTGAGAATTGGAAGATCATTGTGAGCAAAGTTGCTAAAAGGGCCCTCCCCAAGCTTCTTACTTATCGAATCCCATTCATTCGAGGAAAAAGCCCCCCCTTACCGAGACTAAATCTCTGCGAAGTCTATTTTTGTTAGAAATGAACTTGAAGAGGAAAAGGTATATCACCTGGAGTAAATCGATCATTAAGTGTGATATAACTCAAGAAACATGAAAAGGTCTTACAAGTGCAATAAGAAACACATCCAACAGCTAGGATTCGGATGTGGTCACCCACCATACTACTAACTTACAATCGTCTTGTTCAGTTTGTCCCCTCCATATTCGGCGATGTAGAAAACTTGCAACTTCGAAAAAGTTTGAAAGAGCTTTTAAGCGAGGACTTAATGAGACTTCAAATTTCTGTCTCCTAGAGAGTGACTCGCTGCGTGTGCTAGATCTGCAATCGCTTTACTCACCCCTTTTCAAGCTCTATATCATTCCGCTCCATTGGATAACCGATACATACGACCATAGGGTGTGGAGAACAGGGCTTCCCGTCCGCTCAGCCGTACTTAAGCCACACGCCGGCAGGTTAGTAGTATGGTGGGTGACCACATGCGAATCCCTGCTGTTGTATGTTTTTTTATTTTTGAATACTAGTATTCTTATTTTAGACTTGACTGTAAGAATCGAGTACTAGTAACTTGTTATTGTTACCTAATAAGGCATTTTTGACATCACTTCTGACCTTTTTTTTTTTTGAAAACATTGGAAAATTGACGACATGACCAATTGGTACTCAAACTTCTCTTTTTGGAAGAGCAGCTATGTTTAGATGTCCCCTATCCAAATCCTAGCGGCATTCGGAGGGCTAAGGGTTGTTTCATCCATCTAATCCAAGGAATTCGAGCACTCATGCAAACAATACCTTTTTTTTCTTTTTTCAACAGCACAATACTCCGTACTTCACGTCATACCAGAGTGGATGAGGAAAGTAGGGCTTCGGAGAGAGTACGTTCCCCACAGCACTGTATTTGGAGCGGAATGGGCTAAACTGAGCTTAGTGCTGTCAGCCCTAGTACACTTAGTGGTCCAAGTGCTGGCACTAACGATATGACTGGCTCATATCGTATTGATAGGCCGCTATGGTTATCTTTCCCTGCTCTTAGCTCAATTATCGGGCCATTTCAATGTTGTTTGCTTTTTCATACCTGCACTTAGGGCCGGTATTTTATTAAAGCCGAAGGCGCAACGCTACTAGTAGCCAACACTTCAGACATTTTTCTGTTCTAGCCCCCCGCCCTCTCCCAGAATGAATATCCCATCTCGGATGCCACAAGCAAGCGGTCTCGCGGTCTAAAAGCCCTCAGCTATTCAGGGCACGATGACTACATCCACCATGCTTGGTTTGGCAGTTCTCTGCTATGCCACTACTGCAATGGCAAAGAACACTCGATTCCTCAACTTCTTCCCAGTCTACCGAAACGACTTCATTCAAATCCGCGACGGTCCATGTGCTGCAGAATTCGCCCTGAAACAAGCCGGTGCAGAAGTCTGTCGGAGTCTCCTCAGTTGCATGCTAGAAAACACAAGCGAAGTCATCAAAGGAGACATGGGAAGTGGAATCGTCGTATTAGGCCTGGGACCAACAATTCTTACATTCCTCGGTTCAGGCACAGCAGAAACCAGTCTTCTGGCAAGACGCCGACCATTACTCGCACTCCTCATTGCAACAGGCTCTCCATCAGTCAGCCCTCTCCCAACTTTCGTTTACCCAAACCCGATAGAAGAACTGGAAGCAAGAGACAACCACCTTGCTATAATGCAGTTCTCGCCTATACAAGCAATTTTCGTGTCGATTCTGGAATATGCTCTTGTAATGGGAGCTATCGTGAACGTGTATATGACAGCTTTCTACATGGGATCTTGGAGCATTAACACGATTAGCTGTGACGATCTTTATTATCCTCTGCTTTGGGCTGTGACTACGCTTTTCATTCACATCTTCGCCTCATGGTGTCTAGCACTGCGAGTAGTTACGCCAGAGAACAATGAAGGCAGCCGAAATCAGATGAAAGAAAGGTTATTTCAAAGAATCAGGCATGAAATCACACCCTGTATCACACACAATAAACTGGAATTGATTTGGAAACCGGAGAGCTATTTATTCGTCGCGATATCTTGGTGGACTTCTTTGCTTACAGTAGTGCATCTGTTATACGGGACGGTTGCATTCAGTTCCATCCAATTTATAGGTGAGATAGTAATTTACATTCCATCATGATGTCTTGGTTTCTATTTCTAATGGCTTTCAGGATATGTCGACAGTATCCAGATTCTTGCCAGGTTTATGGGCTCCGCTGTGGTTTGCCGCGCGGTTTTGATGTTTGAGCTTGCTGGCATGCGAAACGCCCTGAAATACGAGAGCCCGCAAGAGGAGTACTCTCTAGTGCGAGTGTCTCAGACTATGTTGCCTTCAGATCATGAGATCTGATGGTTCCTTTTGTATGACTGTTTGAAAGATGTCCCCACCAAATATCCGAGTCAGTTAGCGGCCCCCATACGATATGAATAGCTTGAATCATCCCACAATTTCTTGGTAGCACTCGAGAGCGAGTAAGTCGCAATTCTGATCAGAACTTATACTTACAAAATGGAAGACAGCATAGTACCATATGGGCTCTTGCCCTACGGTTTCCCCAATGCGCCGAGATAGCTCCAAGCAGCGAGTTACCGATTCGGGATTCTCAATTGATCGCTGAACCCGCGCAGCATTGAATAATCCATTGCTAGACTATGCTGTCCGGCTAAATTATTGCAAACCTTGGCCTATGAGGTTGAATTCTGAAGATCTAAAATGATCGGAATTGCGATACGATGCAGTAGATATCATCCTCGTTTCAAGGTTAGTTATATGATATCAGATCGGAAATCAGCATAGTTTCGTCCCGTCGATTCAAATGATAGATGTCTCTGGCTCTCGCGAGTTTCTATCGAAGAAACGTATAGTATGTATGGATCATGCATTCTTTGCAAAAAGTAAATTGAATCTAGAGATACATGTTCAAAACATGAAAAAAGAAGAACTGGTCAAGTCTTGTGCATCATCCGTGAATCGAACACGGGCCTCGTCGATGGCAACGACGAATTCTACCACTAGACCAATGATGCTAGTTGATGTGGATCATTTAGAAAATTGTTTATATGACCCAGAGGCTTCTAATTGAAAATAACTTGAATCAAGAACAGGCCATTGCCATGTGCAATCTTCAATGACTTAGAAATTATAAACCAGTCAATCAACAAAGCAAAATAGTATATCACACTGTGCAATACCGGCTGTTTCTCACCAATACCATTCTAATCAATCTAAAACAGATTCTATGTGTTACATCTCGAAATCCGGAGCGAGAAAAAAGAAGAAAAAAACCTGACTTCAGTTTGTAGCCAAGCGAAGCCAAGCAAAAAGAAGATCTGTGCATCATCCGTGAATCGAACACGGGCCTCGTCGATGGCAACGACGAATTCTACCACTAGACCAATGATGCTACTTGATGTGGGTCTGTGAGGTTGAGTATATATGATCCGTCGAACATGTCCAAGAAAAGTGGAGTTGACATCGGGAGGTTCAAGCACCCAAAGAACAACCTTGAAATATCAAAATTCTCGCTTTGGTGTTCTCTAGTACATGACGGATGATCCTATATAAATATTGTCAGCAAGCATGGGTAATAATTGTGTGCTGAGAATCATTTCCTCTAATACCCAACTAGTAGTAGTCATACTGGAACTAAATATATTGTGTGACGGCGGGCGAGAGGCTTCTTCGTGAAGCTTTGAATTATATATTAGGTACCTAGGTATTATCACTCACCCACTGGCAGGCGGAGGAACCTAGGAACTTGAACCTGAACCTTGGATCCCGAGGTCAAGTTCAAGTTGAAGTTTAAGTTGAAGTTTTTCTTCCAAGTCCGAGCCCCAATGCTACCTAGATAGTATGTACTATCCATGGACTGTACTAGTAATACCAGAGCAGTTACCAGCTCGCTGGCAGGTCTCTAAGGTTCAAAAAGCCTCCATATACTACCAGAAGTAACGGTTGTGCGAGGGTAGTATCTTCAAATTGTCAAATAGGCATTGGAAAAAGTAAGAATTTCAACCCTGCTACTAATATGCCAAGTACCGCGTCCCAAAACTGACAGTGATTGAGCAACACACGCTCACTACTAGTAGGTACAATTACTATTAGTACTAGTAAGACTTAGCGGTATCCATGGATTGCTCAAGCACTGGCAGTTCAATCATATTGTAGTGGTGTAAATGTACCCTAGGGTAGTATTCTAAGATAAGACGGACTTCATGTAGTAAGAATAGTAGAGGCTAATAGCACTGTACGAGCTTCAAGTTGTCTTGGGGAATTGAGATGCCATGAATTCAATTCCTATAGCAAGACTCTGCCAATAGGCGCAAAACTAGCCTGGCACATATAAAGCAAGCGAGAATAGACGTCGTAATTTCTAATCATCCCACGTCTCATCCAGCTGATCTATCAGCCGGTTCTCAGCATCGACATCACCCCGCCCGCTAGAGCCCGCCCTCCCACCTCGACCGCCAATCGCGCCAAAAAGGCCACCGCGAGCGTCGTCACTGTGAGCAGCGCGTTGGTAGCCCCTGTTCGACCGTCCAAAGCGGAAGCAGCTACCTAAGGAAGAGAAGAGAATGACGAACATGTCCTGTAGCAAGAGGCATCGTCAGCAAGTCATTCTCTCAAATAAGCGATAGCGATGTGTAGAGACCCCCGACTTATAAATCAAGAAAAGCAGAACATTGTAGTGGGCACGAGGATGTTATCTATTCCCCGTGCAGTGTGTAAAATCCGAAAAAAGCCGCCAGAGGACAAGTCTATCGAGCATATGCAAATAGACGATGCAGATATACATAAAACCACAAGAATCCCGATCCAATCATCAAAAGGAATGTACACACTGGGGTCAACAACTCGGGAGACAGAGAGGCAACCTGTGCCAGAAAGACAAAATGAAAATATTTATTGGATGAGGTTTAGAATCCAGTCCAGCTGGGATAAACCTTAATCCAACCGCGAAGTCGGGAGTCGTGTATGCGCATCTAAATTGCCAAATCTGGATCTTCTGCGGGGCCGACATGATGCAAATGCTAGTAATGCTAGTAGACTTACTTTCACGAAATCGAACATTCCAGCCCAGAGACTGAAGTTCGGGCACTGGCGCCAGCCGCGCTGGTGCATGACAGTTCGCTGATATGCACAGCCACCAATGAAGTAGGCAGCCACGGCAATTAGCATACTGCAACAAATCAATCAGTATGGGGCACCTTGACAAGGAGTCTAGAAATAGGGACAAGGGCAAAAGCTTACATGACACCGAAGACTCCGCCAGGTCCCAGACCGCCGGAGTTGGGGTCTACAGCAATGCCACCGCACGCTGCAGAGCTTCGAATCTCAAAGTAGTAAGAGCATGAGTCCATAGTGCCAACAAAGGATGTCGTGGCTTGGTTCGGGAGCGCATCGCGATCGCAGAGGAAGGACATTATGGTGGATTTGGTTCGGATGGAGGCATTGGCGCTGGCGGTGTTCCAATCACCCGGGCATGGGGAACCGTTGGTATAATTGAGGACGAGCTTGCGACCACGGAAAAAAGGCTCAGAGGCTTGTTCGCTATTCAAGCGCATTGGTGGTTAGCTTCGCGACATAGGATTCATTCGGTTCTGGAGCTTCAATGAGCTCAGATCAACATCTTACCCTATCGAGTATATCTTCCCAGCCTGCTCGTAGAAAGCACTGACGTTCTGCCACCTCGCAGGATCTACTCCAACGACATCCGTAACATTTTCCAGGACCGGCGCGCAGACGTTGATTGTGAAGTTTGCGGGGTAGTCGTGGCCCCTGGCATGCCAGCTTTCATCCCGGGCTTCCCCATCAACCTTCTTGCCATTCTTCAATTCAGGTGGTGCTAGTGAGATCGCGTTCAAATCATAATAGAGACCGCTGGTAGGTGATCGAGCAACACATGGAGAATCATCGTTGAGGTGAGAGGAGGTGGACGCGCTGGATAAGCCGAGGATGGATGACAGCAGGACGAGTGAGTAATGAGTGGAGGGTAACTTCATGACTGAAATGGAAAAAAAAGGAAATGGAAAATGAATGTCTGCAATGGATAAAGAGACCAGCTCTCTGAGAGGTGATGTGTAATAGACCAGGGGTTTCAGGTACGAATGTAATGGATTGAGTAACCGGCGTACATAATGTAACTCACTGCGGTCGTCGGCGATAGGTGTTAGGTCAGGTGATTAGGAGTTCTCCAATTCATCCGAAACCATGATTATGTCATCAAGCTTGGCACGGGACCCGCGGACGCGCCTGCGGAGAACGGGAGCTTCCCATCCGACATCGTACGCAGTTCTATTGGAAGGCCTCTACTCGACTTAAAAGTGCCCCCTCCTCAGCCAATACTCATCGGGGGGATTCATCAGCATCAATTGATTGCGAGCCTTGCCTTACTTCACTCTACTCTCAATGGCTCCAAAATCGAAGTCAAAGATCCCCATCCAGCCTGTGCCGGAGAAACGGGGCTATGAGTTCGCTGGTCCGTACGTTTTGCCCTTGTGTACCCCCAAAAGGGGAATTTCTTACTGATTTTTCTTTGATAGTCTCGGCGCTTTCGGAATCGTCTTTGGTCTTCCTATCCTGACCTATATATTCTTTTTTGTCTGCAATGATATCTCAGGCTGCCCCGCGCCCTCATTGTTGAACCCATCCACTCTGTCCCTCGATCAATTGAAACGCGAAGTCGGCTGGCCTGAGGTGGGTCTTGCAGGGTTCTATGATACCGAGGTGACTCTGTGGACTCTGAGCTACTATGCCTTCAGTCTCTTCCTGCAGGTGTTCCTGCCCGGCCAAGTGGCGGAAGGTGTCGAGCTGGCATGTGGGGGAAAGCTCAAATATAAGTTCAATGGTGAGTTTGAGCATCGAATTGCGTCCCTCATTCAGAGGTCGGAAGCCAATTGCTAACAAATGCTTGATTAAATAGCATTCCCTACCGCTATGATCATCCTATCCGGCCTTGCGACAGGTACCTACATGTACGGAGCTGAATTCGTTGTTTGGACCTTCCTGTGGGACAACTACCTACAGATCATCACGGCCAATCTCTTGATCTCCTCTACAATCGCCGTGTTTGTCTACATCCGCAGCTTCTCGGTTCCCCAGCCCGGCAGTGCTAACCCGGAACTTCGACAACTCGCCCCGGGTGGCCACACTGGAAACCCACTGTACGACTTTTTCATCGGCCGTGAGCTGAATCCCCGCATTCGCCTCCCAATTCCTTTCGTGAGTGAGGAGTCGCGCACCATCGATATCAAAATCTTCATGGAGATGCGACCCGGCCTGCTCGGATGGACCATTCTGAACCTCTCCAATGTCGCTCACCAGTACCGCACCTACGGCTACGTGACTGATTCTATTCTTTTGGTCACTGCTTTCCAAGGCTTCTATATCTTGGATGCCCTATATATGGAACCCGCCATCATGACCACAATGGACTGCATCATGGATGGATTCGGCTTCATGCTATCCTTCGGCGACGTTGTCTGGGTTCCCCACATCTACAACGTGCAGACCCGTTACCTTTCCGTCTTCCCCATGGAGCTGGGATGGAGTGGAATGGCTCTTGTACTGGGTGTTACCGCTATTGGATACTCGATTTTCCGTGGCGCCAACAACCAGAAGAACCGATTCCGCGCTAACCCCAATGACCCCCGTGTCAAGGACATCAAGTTCATTGAGACTGCCAGCGGATCCAAGTTGATGACTTCTGGCTGGTGGGGTCTAGCTCGCCACATCAACTACCTCGGTGACTGGACCATGTCGTGGGCGTACTGCCTGCCTACCGGCATTGCTGGCTACACCATCATTGAAAGCATCAGCGCAACTACCGGCGAACTTCAGAAGCAAGCCGTGCAAACACCCGAATCTCGTGGTTGGGGTATGATCTTCACTTACTTCTACATGATCTACTTCGGTGTCCTCTTGATCCACCGTGAGATGCGTGATGAGGAGAAGTGCCATAGGAAGTACGGCAAGGACTGGGACCGTTACACTTCAATGGTTCGTAGCCGTATCATTCCTGGAATATACTAAGATGACGTGAGTCTTTGGTGATATTCTAGAGGGGAAACGAAACGATAAAAGTGTAACGCTTAACCCAGCACGCATACTTTCGTTTTGGAGGCTGAAGTTTCCTCCAATTGAGAAATCCAGCTGTACAATATTCGCTTGCTTTGGGTTGAAAATAGTGCTACGATAATGGGAAATGATCGCACACTTCTATTCCACATTGAATGCCTGGTTTAGACTAATTATGTGTGACTTATGTTACTAGTTTTAATATTATTCCGAGATATATTTATTCAACGCTTCCTTTTCCGAGGGTCAATGAGCTCGTCCAAACCCCAATTTTCATCCCCCGAGTTCGGTACCCACCCCTTGAGAACGGCCTTTGCATCGTTCATAGCATCCGCGCGAGCCTTGTTGGGGTCTGTTGAGCCGCCGATTGCTTGTTTGAATTCACCATAAGTAGTGGATTGTAGCACATGCTGTTGTAATATACCCAGAGAGCCATGGTTGGAATGGCCCGGTCCTGTCTTGGATGATATCTCCTCCAAAGGCCCTATAGGTCCATCGCATGCGCTCGGCTGGATGACATTGCGAACCAGGCCCCAGAGCTTAGCACGAGAAAGTGCGGAGGCTCCTCTTGCAAGAGGGGTAGTAGCACGATTCCCTTGCTTTACCCCATTGATGACATTTTCATACAATCCGGTCTTGGTCTTGTTCAAAGCAGGTAAGGATTTGCTTCCGGTATCCGCCAGTGCAGCACATCTATGAGAATAGGATGGCGCTGCCGTCCAGATGGCACTAACGTTGCCAGGCCTGTTTTTCTTTGACACAACCGCAGGCCTAACTTCCTCTGATCCATCTGTTGACAAAGCAGAACTGTCCTTTTTCATCTTGGCAAATCGCCATTGTGCTTCTATTTGCTCTGCAGGTACGGAGAGGACCTGGAATGGACGAAATCGATATCCAACCTCACCTGCTCCAGGTGTTGTACTCGAGATACCAGACCAAAACCGTCCAGCGAGAGCTTTCATTCTCCCGTTCTCTCCAAAGGATCGCTCACATCCAGATTGACTGATTTCATCCTCGGGAAGAATCAGACCAGCTAGGTATGCACTCTCGGTGGGAGCGACGAGACGGCTCGTTTCGCACGAGAGTAGAGAAGAGACCTGTCGCAGGGCTAGTTTGTCTGAACAGGATTTGCTGCGCGTAGATTCAGCATCCATTCGCGCAGGCTTTCGACGGACGACGCCCAGAAGAGAGAAATGAGCTCGGCCGTCTAGCATCTTCCCCTCGGATTCTTCTGTGCTGTATTCTTTCTCTTGCACTATCTCCCATGGCGTGGCGTCTTCCTGGGAGGCCATGCATAGTTCCATGCTTGCGTCACCACAGGGTGCACAGGTGCAGTACATGTATAGTTTTATGTCGGGTTGAAGCTCGAAGGGGGGCCATTTTGTTGACTCTCCTGCCGCATTATTGGGATATTCTTTGCTTTGCCTTCTGCGGATAAATGGTGAAGCTGGTCTATTATTATGAACGGAGTCTGTTTTTTGTTCGGCAGTTCTTTCTTCAGTCAGCAGACTGTGGCATTCTGTTAAAAGCCAGTGGTTGAATGCTCGAATGGCAAGAATCTCTGCATGGCAATCATGCAGGACGAGTCCCCGACAGCGTGGGATGTGAGAGGCTGAGAGACACTTGGCCCCGCTCCTATTGATTGGTTAGCTACCAAGAGCTCCATGAGACAAAACATTCTACCAAATGCCATGCGGTGGTGAGTTAGTATGAGAAGACATACGTAATTGTAATGCAGTGCAGACTCTCTGATGGTGTGTTTTCTCCTATTTAAGGAATAAGTACCGATGGAACCATCTCGAACACTAGAGACACAAGAAACATACCGATTACAACCACAATACCAGTCATAGGAATCCACTCCCTTGACCCATCTGGAAAAATAGATGGTTTACTGCGCGTGGGTAACGCATCAAAATGCGCATGGACCAGCGATGCTATGCGCGACGGCAATGGCGCCGAACTCTCAGACTCGGACATCTCTTACCCCTATATTTGAGAAGAGTAAAATAAACTTTATTGAGCGATGATAAATAATATCTTTGAGGTCGGACAAAACCGAGCGGTCAAATCGCGATTTTTATATAGTCACGTGACCACCCATTCTTTCGATCCCGCGGATACGACGAACACCTCCGCCTTCATTTCACGACACACTTACACTTCTTTCTTAAGCATACCCCTCCACATCCCGCACAATGGCCGACAAGCTGCGCACCCTTCAGAACCTTGAGGCTCTCCAGGCCCGTTACATCGGTACTGGTCACGCCGACACCACCAAGTACGAGTGGACCTCCAACATCCTCCGCGACAGCTACTCTTCCTACGTCGGCCACAACCCGCTGCTCTCGTACATGGCCGTTGGTATGGGTGAGCCCAAGGAGAAGGTTCGGACAATGATGCTTGAGAAAATGGTCCGGGGAGCTGGAAACCCTCCAGAGGTATGTGCGAAGTGATGCTCAGGGCAAGGAGAAAGGAAGGACCGTTTTCGCTAACGCTTTCTTGTTTACGATTCTAGACTCAGGAGTAAGAGATTCGAGCAATCTTCAGTGGTGAAAATCATCACACTCCTGTAGAGAATATTCTACTTTCTTTTTCATATCAGAGGAACTCAGAAGGTGGCTAGATTACGGCGTTTTGACCTTTACGCGTCCATTGCCTGCGATAATGAGAGACATGATACCCACCTGGCAAGGCGAGCCAAAATATGGCGCCGATGGCGCGAGATGGAGCTTGGAGAACGGATTCGGATTAAATGGATTGGGTATATATAGGATGACGAGCTCACGACTCCGCGAACCCCCAGCAACTCTTACACCGCGCTTAACATCGAAAGCGGTGACCTGATCGATCCATGAATTCGGCCCCTCGGCGGACAATATAATGACAAGTTAATTTGAAGATCTTGGAAGTGCTTGGTTGTGATCGACACGGTTTTGTCCACGCCTGCTGCAGAGAAATCGACCTCGGGATTTATTGGATCGGTCTGTTTGGTCATTCAAATAGGAGGACTAATGGACTACTCGCTTCATCCGTCGTTTTTTTTGGATTGTGGGAGATGGGCAAGGGGCGTCCAGGCCCACGATCTACAATGGCGCCCACGCAGCAGTTCATCTAGGAGCATGCAGTGTCAATTGCGAATTCAGATCAGTTTTTACCTAGTGTCTTTGAAAAGCCACATCCACAAAATCTTCCATCATCAATCCTAGATCCGTTTGATTCTCCCCGAAAGAAATGAGATAAATACTAGTATTTGTGACTTGAAATTTGTAGACCTAATGTACTAGCAGACAACAATAGCCCAAACGCAGATCCATGACGCCCAGCCAAACAAAGCTATTCGCTCAAGATGAAATTTACCGCGACTCGACAAGTCAGAAGAATACTCGTATTCCCATTCAAAAACATTCACTCAGTCATCACCAGACGCTGCGGCCAACTTGGTATTCTCCGCCTGCAACGAAGCAACCAAATCAATCCACTTCTGTCTGTCGTCCCGCAACTTGGAGATTTCCTTCTTTAGATCCTTCACCTCAGCTTTAAGACTCTCCGCCTGAGCCTTGTACTTTGATTTCTCTTCCCGATCCGCTTCCTTCTTCAGTTTTCCATCAGACTTGGAGTTGGACTTCTCCTCTCGATCCGCTTCCTTTTTCATTCTCTCCTCGGATTTTGACTTTAATTTCTCGTTTTCTTTCTTTCGCCTCTCTTCAATCTTAGACGCAACCTTCAACTGGCTACCCTCAACCTTGCGCAACTGTTTGAGCAGCTTGGCTTCCTCGCTGAAAAGCTGCGACGCAACCTTATGCACAGGGAGTGCTGACTCTGATTTCTGTGCCGTCTTCGTCTGTGACGATGACTGCCCGTCACTACTACTCGCTTGCTGACTTTTCTGAGTTGCGAAGCTGGCGGGTGTTGAGGCGCGCTTGTCTGATGGCTTTTTGAGCATACCGCTCTGATCACTGCTATCTGCGAGATCAAAGACGCCTTTCAAGGGCGTGGATGGATTGCTTTGCGAGGGGAGTTGGAGTTTCTCTAGTTCTGAGCGGACGGTGTCAAGCTTTGCGTCGATTTCGCGTTTGCGTAGGGCGAGCTTTGCGAGCTCTTTCTCGTGGTGGCTTAGTTTGCCGGCTTTGGTCATTTTTATGAGTTCGGCTGGGGGTAGATTGTTGTGCTCGAGTCCTGGTATATTCTCTTCAGACTGGACTGAAGACAAAGAGCCTTGGTCTGGCTCGCGGCTCTGCGTTGACTTGGTATCGCCGGGAGAGCTGGATTGTCTCGGATGCGACGTTGGAGCTTCGTGAGTGCTCGATCTAGACGTCTGATTCTCAATGGGAGTATCGGAAGATAGTTGATGGTGATGCGGTATGTATTCTAGCACTGATTGGGGCGCAAACCGTTCAATACCAGTGTTGAGCAGACCAGTGACACTTGCGATTAGGCCGTGGTGAGACTGGGCGTCGGTCTCAGTAGAGTCTGATTCTGAGTCCGAGTCCGAATATGAGTGGTAGTCATCGGAATTGACACTATCAGCGTCAGACTTGGTGGCATCTTGGGATTTTTGACTAGAGTTGTCCGACGACTTTTTCTCAGGGCTTTCGTCCTTGCTGGCCCAGTCGACAAATTTGGCAGCGTCGGCACCAACACTCCTAGGCGTGCCTTTATCCACCATCCATCGAGGAATGCTCCCACCCGGATCACTTCGAGTGACCATAATCCACTCGATGGGGTTCGTTTCATCATCGTCGTCCCCCGATGCATCCTTATCCGACTTCTTAGCATCTTCATCGTTGACCGAATCGCTGCTCTTTCGCGGAATCTCACGAATTAGTTCCACAGATTCATACTCGCCCCGGGTATATCCGTTCTTATGCGGCACATCGGGGTGTTCAACTGGCTTGGAAATCATCATCCAACTCCGACCGGGCTGTTTGGTTCCACCAACTCGCAATGCAGCCTCTGAGGTAATGATCAAAGCCACAAAGTCGCGTGGGGCAGTAGGTTTGGGGAATTGAGCCGATACATGATAGACCGTGACCTGGCCCAGGACAGATCCATCCTCGTCCTTAACCTCGATTGATTCAACCTTCTCTTCGGCCCCGATACCGCGAATACATTCATCAGGTGTTTGACCCTTGTCAATCTTCTTTCGATTGAGCTTAAGCGTCTCATCGTATTCAGATGACATTTTCTCTTGCCATCGCTCATAAGGAAGACCCCTATGAACACTCCGTCGTCCAAACCACGACCCGCCCCCATCGTTCGCGGATAATTTCCACACGGTCACGCCGAGAGGGTTATCCCTTGGCCCACCCATTTTCAGCGGCTTGCCCCATTGCTTCTGCAGAGAGGTGATCTCCGGATCTGTCTCGCCGACTCGTGCGGCCGAAGGCACGACGCGGGCGGAATGTGTAGTAGAAGGGGGATCTCCATTTGCATCTTCGTAGGGTGGAGGGTCTGGAAGTGATTCGGCGACAAGACGGCTATCTTTGAAGATATCGCGCACGTATTCTCGCAGTTCGTCGGGCGTTTGGGGGACTACGTCCCAGGATGTTGGCTTGAGACATTGAAGGGCATCGTGGAGGGTAGCCATGAAGGCGCTGGGAGACTAGGGTTGGATTGTCTGATTGTAGCACAAATAGGATACCGGGTAAATATGGCGTGACAAGGAACTGTGTATCTGTAGAAGTTAGCAACGGACATGGAGAACAGATAGACCTTTTGCTTGCCCCGCCGTCTCACGCCGGAGCTAGCAACGCCACAGCGGTAAATTGGCTGACAAGTCTTACCAGTGAATATTGGAATGATAAAGCTTACCGATAAGGTGGAACCAAAGAAAAAGAATAAGGCTGTAGGGGATTAATGCAAGTGGGAAGAGGTGGTTGAGTTGTAGAGGGAATTGCGGAGTACACGCGGGGGAGTCGGAGGTCGGAGGTGGAACGGCGAGAACAAGGAACGATTACGACCGAAGATGCGAGAACCACTTACGCCACAAGGCCGATTGTCAGGAATCAATCAGCTCAGGGGATCAACAGTCAACTCTTCCGAAATTCAGGGCAGATATAATCGCCACCTGATCACGGTGATTGCATGTTCAAGCCTGCTTTGCTTCGTACGGCCGGGATACTGACGTCATTGGATAGAGTAGTCAAACTAGTTGCGCTGCTGTCCGATTTCGATTCCAGTCTGATATTTACTCCCATATTACGAAGAAGAAATTTGCCTTTAAGCCCATTCTTGTAAATGAAAGTTCCATTCAATTATGGTTCGCCTGAGTTTATCGGCACCGGACGGCAACGGCCCAAGAGGCGCAGGTAGAGTGCTTTATGTAGAAATTTTGAATACGTGCCGACTATTACCTCGATACTAGTTCCCACTTTAGATACTACTACTATATTTAGGTTGACTTGTACTAGATGTGTAGTCCCGTGCCCTCTAAAAATGTCAAGACATTTACTGTACCGCGGAGTACATAATATTCGTCTACTCTGAAAAGGTTTGTTGTGTTGCATGTACCTCATTAAGTGACGAGCCTAAAAGATACATACAGATTGACTAAACTAATAGATGGACAAAAAGCCAGGAGAAGAGAATAAGACAGCCAGCGCGAGGGGACTAGCCCCTCGACCGCAGACAAAAAAAACGAAAAGATCCGGCATCCGATTCCCGACGTCGGGGCGCAAAGAATGTAGACTCCATCATCCAGCGAAAGAAGTCCCCCGACGACCGAGCTTCTCCGGGTCACAAAAACCCAGCCCGAAGATTATAGGAGATGAACCTAAATATCAGCAATGGTGGCATGGCGATGAAATCCCCTGCGTTGTGAAAGTAGTGCTATTCAAACCATCGTCGCAGGGAGACGGGGTAGAAGACCGCAGAGGTCACAGACCGTCGAGGCGTTTTCTTGCCCGACCCCTTGCCCCCAGATGCTCGCTTCAAGCGAAATAGTACAACCAGATCGGACGATGGGATGATGCACACACTCTTCGCGCGGATGTGATCATCGTCACTCCAAAGCTGAGAAAAGGGCGCGACTCGACCAAACATGTCAAATGCTAGTCAAGTCGCACCAGCCGCGTAGATCATGTCCTCAAACAACCCAGCGAAAGGGTGTTTGCAACTCCGATATCCGGTATCGGAGGGAGATGAGTCCTCAGCGAGGGGAAGCAACAAAGAAGGGAATTGACCGCGACAAAACCAGTCGACACGGTATAGTAGCCCACCCTTTGTGCACCTGTTGAACCGCGACCACAAGAAATGAAAGACATAACGATGGACATTCCACATCCAAATTCATATCCCGTGCCGCGAGGCAGACCTGGTCTTCATGACATATATGTGGGAAATGAAACAAAAAGAGAAAGGAACACAAAAGCCGACCCGCTGCTTCTTGATGCAAAACGCAGACAATAAGTAGAAGACAAAAACAGGAAAACGCTAACGCTGGCTGAATATAACAAAGCACGTATCGTATCAAACCAACAATCAAGAAAATAACCAAGAAAACGCGAAATGCCGTTCGCAAGAATTATCCGGGAATATCGATGCAATGGGCGAAGTGGAGTATCACAGATGCACAGTCGAAAAGAACGCCGTCAAGAATGCCAAAGTCGGATCTTTTTTTGGTATTGAGGTTGTCGTTGCCTTGCAGTCACACGAAAAACGAACAGGCCCTAGTCACCCGACGATCGACATCAGGAACGAAAGAGGTCTGGTTCTGTGACTGAAGGACGAGGTGGAGGAGCCATTTCCACTTGCTGGGAGGAGTCGACGTCAAGTCCACTCCGAACTGGGAGCTAGATGATCGTGCCATATTGCAGCGGGGCGAAGCCCTCCCAGCCACCGAAGCCACCGAAGCCGCCCATATTAGCAGCCGTGCTGCAGGGTTGCACGAGCATACTGGGCAACGGAAGGGTGGAAATGGCGGCAGAGGTGGCGGCCATGCAGTCGTAAGATGGATAGGGCGCGGTGGTGAACGGTTGACTGTAAGACGGGGTGGGTGAAGGCAACTGAGAGTGTGCATCACCGAAACCAATACTAGCCCAGAGATTCGGGTTAATATCGCCCGTGCTGACCGGGGATGGGCTGGGCGGCAATACCTTCCACGACTCGACTTGCGAAGACGGGTAAGGTGCATTCTGATGCCACCAGGTTTCTGGGCCTGTCGAGCTGGGCAGCAGAGGCACAGGTCGGAGAACATCCACCACCCGCGGGGGTGGGGGCAATAGAGGCACAAAGAGCGCTGATACCGCGGCTTGGGCGTCCTCACTGCGACCACATAAAAGTTCGCCCGCTCCGTCTTCTTCGAGACCTTCCAGGGCTTCGGCATCGGCGCGGTAGACGAACTTGTTGGCAGCCTGTACGAACTCTTCCTCTAGCTTCCTCAACTGAGCCTGTTTACCCGACCAGTCCCATGTATTGGCGGCAGCATCAACCGAGTAGATGTCTTTGTGAAAGTCCACCAGGGCTTCGATCGTCTCCGGGGTCAGCTTGAATGCCACTTCGTTGCGGGAAACCATGTCGACGTGTACCACATAGGCCTCGATATGAATCATCTGATAGTTAAAAAGGCCTTCCACCAGCGGGTTCTCATCCCTGCGCAGTTCCGACTCGGGTGCTTTGGTGAACATCATGGAGCAAAGAGTCCAGATGGCATTGGTCGACGACAAGGTTTCCGTAAGACAGCGGGTGTGTTGAGTCACATTGTTCAAAGGGCGCTTGACTCGGTTGACTCGCTTTAGAGTTGCCGTCAACCACGGCGCAACCTTCCTGTTGAGAACGACATTGGGCGAGGATCGCGGGGCAAACGCGGCCGCCGACGAGGGCAGTAAGACTGTGGGCATTATGGACTCTGTGAGATATGAATGATACGTCCGGCGTTTCTTGGTTAGGAAAAAAAAGATATGTCGATAAGAAAAAGCAAAAAAAAAGAAGAATATAAAAAAAGGAACGCGTGTGGTTGTTGTTATAAAAGAATGTAGATCGAAGAAATCGTAAACGGCGACATTCGCCCACACAAGTGATATTTCCCAGATTCGCACGTAAGCAGATGAAGATTTGGATTGACTGGGCCTTTCAGATCGGAGGTGTGAGTGATCGAAAAGAGAGGATATTCTAAATTAGTTGTGCGGGCGAATGCGCGATAGAAAGAAATTAGATATAACAGGTGAACAGGGAGGGAAGAAGGAGAGTCTTGAAGGGCATTCCACCGTAGAAGTAAGAAACTAAGAAACCAAGGCCGGGGTGGGTAATGCAGAAACCGTATTTGGTACCGGCCACTACGAGCAGTACTAGTAATTACTAACTGGCCCTGGTGGGTTGAATATGCAGCTTGATGGAGTCGGTTTTCGTATTGTATAGCCCGTACAATCGGCCTCTCCGGTGGCAATACTCATTGACTTGGATGTGAACAGTGCACAGTGCATGTCGGTATAGATTGACTTCGTAGAGTTACAGCTACTTCTGACTATTCCAGCTTTGCTCTACGATCGCTGCTTTCATTCCATCCACTAATCCAATCCACTAGTCTGCTAATCCTACTTCTATCTTCTGCAGCTCGGTACCGTGAAACCACAACCGCCGTGTTTCGAAACAATCAAAACCTTGAATCGCAATGGATTCCCAGTCTCACGGCCTGCGCGTTGCACGTCCATTCGGCCAGAGCCATCTGCAGCATGCCCCAAACTGCAAAAGCTAAGCCCCGATGATCCGCGCTGCGAGTTAACCTGCGGGCCAGCCAAATCCTCCGAATTTCCTGTTTGGGTCGCCCGGCCTTGCCTCGCTGCATGATGCCCAAGTTATCCATACTCTCAAGGGCGAGGCCTCGATGGCTTGCGCTCTTCTTGATCAGTCAACTTCCAAGGTTGTGTCGTCTGAGGGCCAAGGGGGGTTGAACACTTTCGTCATTTCGTATAGACTCAGACATACTGCTCCGTAGAATCAGTTCAATGGGATCGAAATGAATCTAGAGCCGTCCCATCTCGTCGGTTCACTCTGGAAATCTTCAGACGCCTTCATGCAGCTAAACGACTCCACAAACCCTACTCGCCCCAGTCCCCGTTCGACGCTATCGTACAACAGATGAGATCCCACGTTCCCCAAAGTCAACCTCCTTTCTTCACCCCCTTGACTACTCCGTACTGGGTTTCAGGACTCACGATCGAGGGGAAAGGGTTGCAGCAGAAAATGTAAAAAAGCAAAATACCATGCTAGATGCGAGAGAGCACCGACTTTTTTTTTCCTTGCCTACTCCCGTCTCTGTTTGGATGCGTCGACCACGCTAGCCCAGCACAACCATGGACGACCTCAGCTGATGGAGGGTCGAGCAGACGTGGGGCAGCTGGTCTTGGGCCGCTTCAGCACGCGGATTCGCCGGTGGCTGCCGAGTCCGGCCGATGCGCGGGCAGCTGAGATCCCTGCTGCGATCTGCCATTGGGCTGAACCTCGTCGGTCCGCCTTCACTAGACTTTGAGGAGGCGCCCACTCCCGTGGAGGTACGGAGTACATTGTGCAGTGTAGTATCATTACCGGTTTTTTCGTGCTGCTTTGTGCAGTTCAATTTCTGGAAGTAGGAGGAGCCCAGTCCTTGCCCTTCTTTCCCCAGGTGATCTCATCTCACAGGCAGCCCCTTTCCTATATCGTCGATTTCAATGAGTGTCGGGTCCCTCCTCGTGCAATGACTGGTCCATTTCCACAAACCCTGAAGCCTGGCGGCATATCAGTTCAGTCATGTGGTCTACAAGATGTAAAGGGGGGTGGGCAGGACGGAGCGGTTGGAATCGGAGGTCGGCATCACCTACAACTGATACAGGGCATTTACAAAAAGAATATACCGTAGATAGATTCGGTCATCAGAGCAGAGTAATACTCCGGACAAACGGAAGGAAAGAATTTTCATGGGGATTGCCTTGTCAGTGCGACGAATAACAGAATGGCAGAATTGAGGTGTTTCCGAAAATAGTAACGGCCCCAGCTATTGCCCACAGCCACAAGCCCAGAAATGTAAATTCACTAGCCACGTGTAGAGCACTGCCACTCTGCGCCACGTGGTCACGTTGCCACCAGCGGGGTTGTGGCTAGTGCTACCGTTAGGCATCGGAACCGAAACACTGGTTCAACTAGTATTTACTAGCATACAGTAATTAATTAATATATATGCTTAACTTATACATTTCAGCGCTTAAAACTCTGTCAGTGGGCCAACTTCCATTCTCACCCAATCGAATGCCGGAGAAAATAGGGCTATCAAACAAAAGCCTCGGCAGATCCGAAACTCATCGTGCCCCATCACTTTGCAAGGCGAATATAGGACTGCCCTAAACCCCCACCAGCATTTCTGGAATACCACTAGTCTCGTAAATTGTCATTGCAGAATCCCAACAGATATCCCAGGAATGCATTATGACTCATAATAATTTTAGGCAAATTTGAAACCGAGCTGCCTTAGATCCTACGCCGCCGATACCGATCAGGTTTGCACCGTTTCGCTCTAACCTGTCCCATGACAGAGCCGGACATGCAAGTATATCAAAATATCACACGGCATTTTTTGAGTCACGGATCCCGCTATTCAACTTGAACAGTAGGTTCACCGAATATTTTCTCTACGATCTTCGTTTGTATCTAATCCACAGACGGCACAAACCGACCACCCCACCGTCTGAAACTTACTGCACGGTAGACCGCCGCCCAATGAGTTTCAAAGAGCTAAAATGCGCTAGGAAAATCAGTTGCAAAATAAAATCATGTGAGCTATTTTCTTTTCCTTGGGCGAAGATGATGAGGGGCAAATGCACGGTGAATGTTCCGAAATCGGCACTGGTGATTTCCCTCTCGGCCATGAAGGGTCTTGGTTGAATGGTGGCAGCAGTAGGTCTTGTGATAAGGTCTCTGATTCCGATGAAGCAAACACCTATGCAATATACTAATCCGATAATACCTTGTTTGGATGTATTGATCATATGGTCCTCGCATAATTTTGGTTGTCTAGATTGCGATTGCACATGCCGGTGAAAATATTGCCGACAATTTAAATCTGCCTAATTAGACTATTATAGCCGATATTTCGGCAGTTTCTAGAGCCGAAGGGGAACGCCTAGGCAGAGGCGTTATCTGTTTTTGAAAGGAAAAGAGAGAAATGTAGCAACAGAGGGTTATAGTCGTCAGACACGGGTCGAATGTTTCACTTACTGCGACCGACAGAACACCCTACACAGTCGACCTTAAGGAGACCTAGTGCAGATAGTGACTCCTAACAAGAAAAAAATCAATATCTCACGAAGAAGCTGAAATTTCATGCCTCCAAAATACGTAAAAAAAACTTGTTGTATAAATTCTACTTATTGCGAGAGAATGACGCAGGCTGACTTCTCAAGAAGGCCTTTGTTGCGATCGGTTTGGGGGGCTTTGATATTTTTAAAACACCGGCGCTTATTCTCGCATGGGGCCAATGAAAACCCACTCTGTCACAGTTTGACTTTCCTCTTTTTCATGCCTAGCTCCCCACATTCCACACCGCAGAATGTGCTCTTGAGCGGTCTGGTCAAAAACACTGACGTATACACCCTGGAAACTTGAAGCATAGACGGGGCTGGGAAGCTCTGGCTTTTCGCAATGGCGGTGCGGTCTTAACCCTGGGAAGTGCCCACTTAGTGAGTGATGCAAGTTGTTGAATGGTGGCAGTGTGGGTGGCCTCACCGGTATTCAGATATACTAGTACCATTGCCATTACCGGCTTTAGTATCTGCCATCGATACGGCAACCTTGGACTCGGAAGCTTGGATGGACGAATTTCTATGTCGCTAGTAGTAAAGAGGGTGTGCATTCTTCCTCGTCATGTTTCTTATTACTCCCCTACTCCTCAGAGAAAGGTACCTATGCGATGTAAATAGATAGGAAGTAGAGCTTTACAATATGTGGTGGGCTTTTAGATCCAAAGAGAGTAATGTAGTGTGGATGTAGAAGAGACACAAATATCACTTTCCTCGTTTTAGATCTACCTCCATTTCTCCAGCTGTCTATTTGCTCTCTAGTAGCTACTATTATGTTCAAATAGATGAAATTTCGAAGCAATCATGATATAGAACCTCTACGAAAATGTACGGGTAAATAGACTGAGCCCACCTGGGTGGAAGAGAGTCGCACTTAATTTGTCGAAGGGCACAAGAAGCATTTTGATGCCAACTTCGACTTTCGTGGTTGTAAAGGTTTATATGACACATAAAACTCACGATTTATTCTAGAAATTGACCATCACTTTCCTTCAGTAAAAGTTGATATTCAGGCTCAAATTGCATATACATCGCTTCTGGCGACCCAGTTCCTTTCTTGGTGTATAGAGCGGTTTCATGGTCAACAAGTGTCTTTTTCAAACCACCCGTGGTAGCACCGATCGTACCTGGAGCAGTCGAAGCTTCCACTAGCAGTTGTGCCTGACAGGCCCTTTCTAGAGCAATGAAAAATGCAGCTGCTTCGGCAACTGTATCACCAGAAGTGAGTAGGCCGTGGTTTTGCATTATCATGTTTTTGTTTTTGGGGCCAAGGTAGCCCGCGATACGTTGGCCCTCCTGCTGAGCAAACACAACCCCGCCGAAGGCTGGGTATACAGAAATATCGTCGTAGAACATGCAGGAGTCTTCACCATGGATTCGAAATAAGTACCAAAATTGAATTATTAATGTATTGAGTAGATCTTATACACACCTTGACTGATCATATTAATTGATTTTCCAAATGTACTCCATGCTCTACCGTACGGACTATGCATATGACAGGCAGCATGTATATCAGGTCGTCTTTGATGGATTGCCGAATGGATCATGAAACCAGCAGAATTGACCGGTTTATCGGCGCCGCCCACACGGTCTCCGTTTTCATCGACGCGTACCATATCTGATACCTTCAAAAGGGCGAAGTGCACACCATACGGATTTATCCAGAATGTTTGTGGATCAATGGAATCTTACAAGATTAGCTATTAGCAGAGACTGAAAGCGGCTGGCTTCGTTGGTATACCCCGGAGACTAATATGGCCACTACTCCCATCAGCAAATCCTAGCTTTGCAAATATGCGAAAAGCCGCCGCCATTTGACCTAGAGACCATTTTTGCTCGGCCTCTTTTGTGGTAGGTCGTGGGATATGATGAAGTCTTTTGACTTCCCCATACTTAGACCTTTCGGTATTCAGAGCCGAAGAAGTCGTGGTTTTGACTGTACTGGCAGTAGAAGACATATCGCTGTATTTATTGTTTGGTTGCGGCAGGGTTTAATTTTGAAATGATGACAAGGCTCAGAATGATGACATCGGCTTTCCACGAGAGGGGAAGCTTAACCCCGCAACAATGCGCGCGAGCGTTACTTCTCACCCGCATGCTCAGAAATCGGTGAGGTTAACCCTGTGTATCTCTTCCGCAAAATTGGGAGGTCCTCGCTAGAAAAGGATAAAGATCTTTCCCGCGGCGACTCAAAAGCAACGTTTACGGGAACTGTGAGGGGAATAATCTCAAAGAGAGGAAAACTGACCATGAACAGGAAGCCAGAAGGCCGCATACTGTTCTTTGCGGGTAGTTTCAAAAATGCCGTCTTTCCTCGACCTACCGCCCGAGATCCGTCTGATAATATACGCCTACTCGCTAAACCCGAACGAATATGTCTGTGGGTATCGCCAAATAGAGCTCCTGGCCGCCGCCGAAATGGACCGTGCTCGCGGTCCTGTTTGCGCCTACCCAAGACCTTATATAGAGCGACACACACCAACTATTCTCCTGATCAATAGACAGATCACCACGGAAGCGCTCGAGGTTCTCTATAAAATACCTCTCAACCTCTATGAGACGCCACCAACTTATTTCGTGATGCGAAACATGGATATAACCGAGTTCATCAGCGAGCATCTGCTTCAGAAAATACACCATGGCATTCTGAGAATGGACCATGCCCAAAAATTCCATATTCTGACCCTACTGGATATATGGGGTCAGAGTAATAATCTGCAATCACTGCATGTATATTGTTCAAAGCCTTCACCAATCCCCAGAGGCCATTGGAAGATTGTGAAACAAAGGGTATGTCTTTCTACCCCAAATACCTCGCATTGATTAATTCTCACATATTGACCAGCTTCGGATATTTTCGAATACTGTACCGGTTGTATTCCATCGGGTCGAAGACCCGCTTAAAGCAGATAACCACGAGGCAATAAACCCTCCGAGCAATTGGGGTAGACCACCTCGGGTCGGCCTCCCAACAAGTCCCACATAGGAACAACGAACCCAGAGCAGCAGATTACATTTCGGAATGTTCATGGGTAGACTGAGTCAAAATTTGATATCTTCAAGGCCTTTATACTCAGTATACCGGGCTCAACAACGCCCGTCAACTGTAGAAAGTACGCCCATTCTTTTCATGCTTTGAAGGAGTCGGAGGCTGTTGACTACGTGAAAAAGAGAAATTGATAGAAAAAAAATCAAAAGTACCATTTTTTGAATTATTCTTACTAAAGAAAATGACCCAAGTCCATAAGGTAGTACTTCAATCGGTAATTAGAAATACTTCGAATAGCTTAGCTCAACCTCTCTTTGAAAACGAAGATCCCTCGCCAAATCTGCCATTGATAGGAATTACATGATTATAGCTACTAGTACGACAGTGCTATGTATCTCTCTGTTTTCACCCACATACCGCGTGCAGATTCAAAATACCACTGTTAAAGAGCCAGAGTACACACATACCCTCGACGCTAGCAGAACTTGAAAGTTTGGGGGTGCCAGGGAAGATCAGAAGAGGCGACTCGAGACTTTGAGAAGCTAGCCCTCACACTTGAAACAGCGCAAGCACTCGAGGTACCTAGGTACTTTATCATAAGCATGGTATGTTAGAGGTGCCGGCAGAATAAACCTAGTACTACTACTAAGAGTGAGAGGGGCGGGAATACGGACCTCGGGAGGCTAGTTGCTGCCCAGGTGAGTTATTCCCTAGTCGATTATACCATGAAATATTGGCATGCTAAAACGCATCAAATCTGCGATGAACTTTCATCAAGAGTAGCACTCGGGTTCCAAATGAACCCGGTGGCTTGAATGCTCCAGACGATCCTCGCGCTAGCAACGCTCGCGAGCAGTCAAGGCTCCACAGGGAGGCTAATCCGCCCCGCTAATTTCGAAGCGACCCCTGTAGAGGCGCTTTTTTCGCGTGTGGGTGTCATGCAGCCACCCGAGAGCTATTTCAATTGCAAACTACAGTTCCATATTTGAAGAAATCATAGGAGGTTCAGCACAGCTAGATCGCATACAGATAGGCCGGTATGCTAATATATAGATCGGGACTACTGAGTAATACCTATTTCCAGTTCACAGTACTTTGAGTTAGAAGTTGAAAAGCCCGGGCCGTGTCAGAACACCATCAAGATGAGATAAAATGTTGGCAGTGTAGATCTCAGGCTTTGTTGGAACCAGACTGATATGCCAAGACAGGAATGGAATTTCCTCAATGCGCGAAGGTGACAACTGCAGTTATTGATCATCTCTTCGGATCTATGTTGAGTGCCGACGTCTTCGTTTCCATCGGTTTTACGAGAAGGTCAGATCTCGATTCAGAAATCCTGGTCAACACCAGTTCGTAAAGGATCAGCATTTGAACAAAATCCATAGTCCACTTAAACTGTGCCCCGATGTAAGCGAACGGGTCTTCAGGTACCCGCTCGTTCTCATTAGCCAGGAATATCGCTATCCGTGCCGATCTGCAAGGGCACGGGCTGCCCGGACCCTGAACGCTTTAAACGAAAGGCAGACGACCTCTTGACGTCGCATTCTTCCCGTTCTTCGAATTAGCCTCCCCCGCAAGACCGAGCCACTAGCCTCGCTAGTTCATCAACTCCATTGGCCAAAAAAAGAGTCATGACTTGGATGGAGCTTTTCGCTTTCGTTTCCGTTCAGATATCTGGAGACTTCGCAAGAATAGTGCCACAACGGGTCGAAAAGGGGAAATTCTCCGCTAGCGAGTGTGTGTGTATTCTCGGGGACTGACATCAGAGCAATAAAAAAAGTCTATAGACTGGAAATACTGACATGTGGAGACCGACCGTCCTCGGCCTGATCCATTTCCTTCTCCATGTAGGAATCCTCGGGGAATAGCGTGCAGTGGCATAAAAGGAGGCCTCCCGAACACGGAGATGGTGGATTCTCTTGGAAGACAATCGCTGGCAACGCTTCCATATTGTCTTCTTCCTCTGCCGTGTGTTTGCAGCTAAGATGCATTTCTCCGCCGCTTTCATCCCAGCTCTCGTGCTATCTAGCACTGCGCTCGCCGGTACTACCGCCCAGCCTAGTGCTCGCGAGGCTGGGCAGGATGCCACATCCGTTGCTCATGTCCAGGAAAACTTTACCCAGACTGTAAACGTTGTTCCTAGCACATCGGAGAGCCCAGTAGTTCACCATGCAGTTCCAACGGCCGATTCCAGCAGTAACAAGAACGATGATGATGTCCTTGCCGATGCGCCTTCTCCTAGCTCAGCGCTGCCGTCACAGAAGAGCAAGGATGCCCCCCCAGAGCACGGCAAGAGAACCTGCAGACTCGAATGATTCGAAGGAGGATTCCCCCAACGTTGGAAGTAGCATGCCGTCGCCCACAGGAGCTAGTTCGCAGACCGCAGACTCAACCGATACAGCCTTAACACATGCCTCTGGCAGTGCGACTAGTAGCATGACTGGCAGTACCACTGGAAAGTCTGCCACCGACAAAACAGCCACCGGTACTCAGTCTGCGGAGCCTTCTGCTACCAGCGGGGGCTATGCTGATAGCGTCCACGCGCATGGTGATGATGATGGTCGCCTGCTCTCCTTCGATGGTACTTTCCTTGATTCATTCAAGGACTTCGTGAGCTTCCTGGAGGGGGTCAAGGGTCTTCTGGCACCGACTCTCCTTGGAGACATCGAATCATTCTTCCACCATGTTGCCTACCTCCTCGATGACACAACCACAGACCAGACTAAGATTCTGATTGAAACTGCCTCTGGTCTTTTGACAAAGAGCCTGATCAGCAAATTGAATGGGTTACTTGACAATGCCAGTGAGCTCTTGACCAAGGACTTTGTTCATGAGACCAAGAGTCTTATCGCCACAGTTGCCCCGGTGCTTACACCGGAACTGTTCAAGGAAATCAACGGTCTGCTCGAAAATGGAAATAACCTGCTGAGCCCTGAGTTCGTGAAGGAGACGAAGAGTCTGATCAATACTGTGGCGCCTGTGGTGACCCCCGACCTTTTGAGGGAGGTCAACTCTTTGCTCAAAAACGGCAATAGCCTCCTCTCCCCCAGTTTTATCAAGGAAACCAAGGGTCTTATCAACACTGTCGCCCCTGCTGTCACACCTGAGCTCCTGAAAGAGGTCAATAGCCTTCTCCAGAACGGCAACACACTTCTGTCACCCGAATTCGTCAAGGAGACCAAGGGTTTGATCAACACAGTTGCTCCCGTCGTGACCCCTGAGCTTCTGAAGGAGGTTAATGGCCTTCTCCAGAATGGCAATAGCTTGCTTAGCCCAGGCTTTGTCAAGGAGACCAAGGGTCTTATCAACACAATTGCCCCTGTGGTCACTCCTGAACTTCTCAAAGAAGTGAATAGCCTCCTTCAGAATGGCAATAGCTTGCTTAGCCCTGGATTCGTGAAGGAAACCAAGGGTCTGATAACTGCTGTGGCTCCTGTGGTAACACCCAAGCTCCTGAAGGAAGTTAATGGTCTTCTTACCAATGCCAATGACCTTCTTACTGGGAAGTCAGTCCATATGATCAACGAACTGCTCACCAACGCGAACGCCCTCTTAACTCCATCGTTCGTGAAAACGACTGGGGGATTGATTAATGGAATTTCTCCCATGATCACCCCGGAGCTACTGCATAACGTTTCCTATCTTTTGGGCAACGGAACGACCCTCTTAAGTCCAAGATTCGTGAACGATACTCGCTCGCTGGTAACTGGTGTTGCACCAGTCATCACTCCTGATCTCTTGGTCAAGGTTGGAAATCTCCTCGGAAACGCAAATGAGCTTCTCTCGCCGAAGTTTGTTAATGAGACAGAGACTTTGATTGAGGACGCATCTGAAGTAAGTTTCCTTTTCTTTCAGTTGATCTGTTTATTCTCCCGTCGCTAACCGCTTTTCTCAGTTATTGCCTCTTGTCGTGAAGTTGATTGATTCGTTGTAAGAGCACTAAGGAGGCTTCCTCCAGGGCTTTCTCTCGTTTTGCTCTCCATAATATTTCAAACGAGTCACTCATCATGGTCACTCATGGTAATGTCTGAGCACGTTAATATGCTTAATACGATTTAATTGAATGATAATACACCACTCGTCGGGACATTAGTAGGCCTAGTATTTGCACTATTGATGGTGTTGGGAGCTGCGTGATGAAGCACGAAACACGAGGGCGTTAGATGAGAAGAGATAAAGCAAACAACCTATTCCAGGTATAGAATGGCAAATATATTTGAGATTGACGTATCCAGAACGTCAAGGTAGTAATGGCGATAATAATTTCTTTATCAGGGAGCTTTTCGTTGCGGAATGAAACAAGTAGACGAAGTAGTATTTGCCACATATAATGCTGACATTTGGCTCGAACGACGACTGCGCGGGACCCCTGCTTCGCCGCACCGGATGAAGCCTTTGGCTGGAGTCGTCAAGCCTCGGCCATCCTGGCCAATGAATACAGCACGCGGAAGCCGTCGCATACCAAATCAGGCTGGAGCAAGGCAGTATTCGCTGCAGGCGGTGATATATAGATAGCGATGGAGAGTAAGGTCGGGAAGACCCGTCACCCCTGATGCGACAGAGGCGGGTATTGCGAGGCCTTTCTGGCGTGTAATGCTAGCTTGATGGGAGGCCCAAAAAGCGAACCAAAGAATCAGCTCCGCAGGATATGCGGCCAGATGGAAGAGGCCTCTGCTTCTCTAATGAGATGAGGACGCTGGAATAGCTATTGGTATCGGCTTCTCGACGTTGTCAAGTGTAGCCAAAGTCCACCCATCTCATTCAAGACGGGATTTCTGATGCTTTAACCTCTTGGTACTTGGAAAGCACCTTCATCTCGGTATCGCGCTCCTTGACCTTTTTGTCTATAGCCTTCTGGACTTGTTCCTTCTTCTTCTCGGCCTCTTCGATTTTCCGCTTCGCTTCTTTCGCGGCAAGCTCCTGGGCTCTCAGAGCGGTTTCTTTGGTTGGGAATTCTTGGCGCAACTGCTCGATCTCCGTGCGAATCTCTTGTTCTTCGAGTGGCTGACAAGTAACCGGGTGATACTGGTAGATTGGAAGTGGTTCGCCAGGCAGCTGGATCTCCGGAAGATCGGGGTGGATTGGGGTTGTTCGGATCGGAGAGTCTAGAGGGACCGCCGAGACAGTCTCGGAGGGGGGCGATGGAAGGAAAGGCTCTGATTTGACCATGGTTGCAGTAGGAATATTGAGAATTGAGGACGAAGGTTGGCGGGAGAGTAGGGGCCGCCCTGAGGAACGTGGCTGGGAGTGTTGCGAGAAGTATGAAGGGAGATAAGTCGGAAGTCACTCGGCGACGGCTTTGGGTATTCTGCCGCGGGTTGCCAGAATCGCGCTTTCACCGCTCACGGCATCGCCATATGCGGGGAGACTTGGACGACGACATCAAGGAAGATACATTTTATCTTTTCTCAAAATCAGGGCTCACTATCCAGATACATCACTAAACAGGCCCTAAGTAGGCCAGTTGTTGTATATTCGACATATGACCACGAGTGTGCAGATCCTCATATGGGCCAACTTATCTCATTTCGAAGACTGCTTGACCACATACACTTGAGCCACTATGCAGGCTTTTGGTAAGTTACATTCACTCTGTTTCCGAAGCACAAATAGCCAAATTTTATATCCCATTTGATCTTGCTGACATCTGACACTTGCCAGTTCCGAAAAATAGGAGGGTAAGCTTCGGAAGTCCCGGAGACGAGACCACTCAAAACTAATCTGAAAAAACGTATAGCCCCGATTTGAGCTTGTATTGAGGGTATGGCTCCATGGTCTTGATATATGACACGTGTATATGCTGAAATTGTTTCAAGATAAACGACATCAACAATGTCCCCTTGGGCAATGGCGTTGCGTACGTGCGATGGCGTCTCCCGTCAGGCGTCTCAACAGAACATCAGGGGCACACAGAAAAAGCGACTCTCAGTGACCATCGCGCATACTGGAACTACGAAAAGGTCCTCAACGTGAGGCTCACTATCGACAGGGCATCCATACTCCAGGACTGTGAAATCTTCTTCGAAATAATTCAAGAGTTCCACTCTTCAATAGAGAAGAATGTGCTTGGGAAAATCAAGCTCAACCTTGCTGAATATGTGGATAAAGTTGAAGACGATGAAGGTGTCGTCAGGCGATACCTGATGTACGACAGCAAAGTCAATAGTACCGTCAAGATTGGCATTGCGATGCACCAAACGGAAGGAGATCGAGGCTTCACTACGTATGCCGAGCGCCCCGAATCGCTTCATTCTTATCATTTATTCAAAGCTAATATGAAACAGGCCAAATTTGAAATCAGCCACTGTCTTTGGAGGTATTGCGGGCGTGGTTCATTCTTCCGAGCCAATAGACTCGGACGAGATCGGCCAAATGCCCTCGATCAACACACAAAGCAGAGAGACAGCCGATATGCAAGACTTATATCGAAGAACCCTAGCCGCCTCGTGGACGTCTCGAACATGCGACTTGCCTGCTGATAAACTAGTAGAGGAGCTCTTCTCTGGCAGCTCGTGTTGGAACAACGATGCCCACAACACTGTCAATGGAAGCTACGTGGGGATCGACCATCGGGATCAATTTTTGAACCCTGAAGCTGGAGCCCGACAATCGCGGTCCAGCAAAAGATTATCGCCTAGCCTATCACCCGGATTTGAGAGACGACCAAAAAGCGCCTCAAGTAACCACTCCCGCAGCAGCTCGAAAACGCCAGACTCTCGATCTACATTGGGCAATGCTCAAAAGGGCGGCAGTCTCGAGCAGCAACTTTATGATGGAGCAAAGGGCCGTGGCTGGAAGGGACGACATGCGGAGCATGAGCTGTCCGAGTTTGATGTGCGAGATGATCTTCGAAGCTGGGAGGTTGTTTCTCATCGGTAGCAATGAGATGGAGAAAGTAAATGCCGAGATACCACTCAAGTTCATTCCATTCAATCTCGTTGAGGTCATTATTGCTAATAGTAGTTGCAGTAACTAGTTAGTAGGTAGTATATGTATACTAGGAGATATCCAACCAATGCGGTGCCCCACATGACTCGGCCCCAACTTGCAGGTGAACCTTGGAAGCTGGACCTGACGTGTAACCCCCGGAGCCGTCTTTCTCTCCCAACTTTTGGACCTTACATCCCGCATTCCGAGTCCTTGCCAAACTCCGAGAGGCATAGACTGTATCTCATCATCTTACATTACTTATCATTTTCTGGAAAATCCGACGAAATACGCGGTCTCCGCCTGGCCCCGCTCCAACACAACAACACAACCCCGAGCTTTCCCCTCCCTCAGGATGAAGATCATGCGCGCACAGTGATTCACGCTTTAGGCATGGAGCGAACACGGGTTGCTAAGGTTGGTCTTTCTAATGAGAGCCTTGAACAAATAACATCACCGATACTAACCATACCTTCTTCTTCCCAGGTTGACAATGTGACCTTGGCTCGCCGTGGTGAGCAGGTCGACGGCGCCCTTCACCTCACCCCACATCACCTCATCTTCTCTCACGTCCCCCAGGTTTCCAGCGAGGATCAAGCCAGGGGGGTGGTAATCAGACCGAAGGAGCTTTGGATTACCTACCCCATAATCTCATTTTGTACACTGCGACCGGCTCCCGCGGCCTCCCGCCAGCTCTCCTCCATCCGCCTGCGCTGTCGAGACTTTTCATTTGTCTGTTTCTACTTCACCAGCGAAAACAAGGCCCGCGAGGTTTATGATAGTATTAAGCAGTGGACCTGTAAATCTGGCCGCCTTGACAAACTATACGCCTTCTCCTACCAGCCGCCCCCTCCGGAGAAGGAACTCAACGGGTGGGACTTGTATGACCCGCGGAAGGAGTGGGCACGTCAAGGAATCCACAAGGAAAACTCCGGATGGCGTGTATCCGAAGTTAATACCAGCTATGAGGTACGTGATGTTAATGATATGATTCAGCGAAGACAAGGACTCCACATACTTACCTAGATTGTTGATAGTTCTCCCCAACGTACCCAGCACTGATCCCCGTGCCCTCGGCCATTTCCGACAACACCATCAACTATGCAGGACGCTATCGTTCCAGGGCGCGCATTCCAGCCTTGACCTACCTCCACCCAGTCAATAATTGTAGCATCACCAGAAGCTCGCAACCCTTGGTTGGTGTCCGCCAGAACCGCAGTATTCAGGATGAAAAGTTGCTGGCTGCTATTTTCTCGACTTCTCGTTCGGACCGACCGTTGGCTGGTTTTGCTCAGGCTAGCATAGAGAGGGAGGCATCTGAATCAAGCCAAGAAAGCGCAGAGACTTCACAAAGTGACCCGGACATGTCCAATGCCGAGGAAATAGAGGATGATATGCTAGCTGCTTCCCGGGGAGATCCCGAAGAGCAGCGCGCGATATACGGCGCTCAGCAGTCGAACCTCATTGTTGATGCGCGCCCGACGGTCAATGCATTTGCCATGCAAGCAGTTGGCCTTGGTTCGGAGAACATGGACAACTATAAATTTGCTACTAAGGCATACCTGGGAATTGATAACATCCACGTCATGCGCGATTCCCTGAACAAAGTCATTGAAGCCCTTAAAGAGACAGATGTCACTCCTCTGGGGCCGAATCGGGATCTGCTAGCCCGGAGTGGGTGGTTGAAACACATCGGGGGGGATCTTGGAAGGGGCTGGGTTGATTACCCGACAGGTCGGCCTGACACACTCCCACGTTCTGATTCACTGCTCTGATGGCTGGGACCGGACCAGTCAGCTCAGCGCCTTGAGTCAAATCTGTCTGGATCCGTACTTTCGCACCATGGAGGGCTTCATGGTTCTCGTGGAAAAAGATTGGCTGTCGTTTGGGCACATGTTCCGACATCGCTCTGGTCATTTGAATAGTGAAAAATGGTTCCAGATTGAGAACGAACGTATCGGGGGAGATGCCAATCGCGGATTTGGGGAAAGTGGTGGCGCAGGAAAGGCAATTGAGAATGCGTTCCTCAGTGCCAAGGGCTTCTTTGGTCGGGACAACAATAGCAAAGACTCATTGCCTGACTCAGACGGAGAGCTCCAGAGCTATGAGTCTGACAGTCCTGCTGCTAAGAAGCCCAGCTCATCGCCTCGGTCTGCTGTTTCCGAAAAGGAGATCACAAAGGTGAAGGAGACCAGCCCTGTGTTCCACCAATTCTTGGATGCCACCTACCAGCTCCTGTACCAGCATCCCACCCGCTTCGAATTTAACGAGCGTTTCCTTCGACGACTGCTTTATCATCTCTATGCGTGCCAGTTCGGAACGTTTCTCTTCAACAATGAGAAAGAACGGGTGGATACTCAGGCTCGAGAGCGAACTCGCAGCGTATGGGATTATTTCCTTGCCCGTCGGGACCAGTTCACTAACCCGCAATACGATCCCGAGGTGGACGATCACAAGCGCGGGAAGGAGCGGTTGATTTTCCCCAAAGCCAGTGAGACTCGATGGTGGAACGAAGCATTTGGTCGAGCCGACTCGGAGATGAATGGGCCTCGACCGTCAGAATCCTCGCCAGCATCAGGGCGTGAGAGTCCCGGTGAAAATCGTGCGCCTATTGTGACAGGAGTGGAGACTGCACAGCAGTCCTTCATGCCCAGTGCAGCAGCATCTGGAATCGCGGCTGTGACTTCTGGGATCTCCAATCTTGCTGTCCTGAAAAACGAGACCCCTGAAAAGGAAGCGAGCAAAGCCAAGCCGATGGAGGTGGAAATGCAATGAGATTACTATCACTATGGATTCGATCTGGAAGATTAGGGCAAATGGGATGAGAGATATGAAAGAACTGGAAGAACTGGATGGTGTATGTTACACTATGGATGATCCAATAAGCAATACACATGCCTAGTACTACATACTACTACTGCTAGGTCTAACTGAAACTGTAGGAGTTGAGGGGGGATTTAGCCCCTAGTTGTATCCTCAAGGTTAATGATGATCTCGAAGGGACCACCAGGCATTCATCTTGGTCCCATTTTTAATGACGTTATCTGATAGGTATGCTGTACCCTGTATATGGATTAGTCATCAACACCCGATGGCTCAGGTGTCGACGCTAGACTACTTTGGAGCACTTCAAGCGAGCCCTAACAGCCCAAACGGGTCGGAAGCCCTACAACCACAGCACAGTCCCCACCACTAAGCCCCGAAATCTTTAACGACCATCACGACCTCGACCTCGCCCTCCCCCGTCGACCCCCTCCAATTCCAACAACCAGGAACGCAAAAATGGCCGCTGTTCAGGGTGCTATCTCCAAGCGTCGCAAGTTCGTCGCCGACGGTGTCTTCTATGCTGAGTTGAACGAGTTCTTCCAGCGCGAGCTGGCTGAGGAGGGATACTCCGGCGTCGAAGTCCGTGTCACTCCCACCGTCACCGACATCAGTACGTTTTTCTCGCTCGAATTATTCTCCGTTGATGGGATCTGGATACAATGAAGAAAGAGGAGGGAGCATTGCCTTTCAAGTTGGCCGACATGCTTTTGAATGCGCCGCTTGGGAGAAAACATCAATGATTCGATTCGCCTAGGACCCTCAATGCTAACCGGTCCTTCCTCTCTCTAGTTGTCCGTGCCACCCACACCCAGGAGGTTCTTGGTGAGCAGGGTCGCCGCATCCGCGAGCTCACCTCCCTCATCCAGAAGCGTTTCAAGTTCCCCGAGAACTCCGTCTCCCTCTACGCCGCTAAGGTCCAGAACCGTGGTCTCTCCGCTGTCGCTCAGTGCGAGTCCCTCCGTTACAAGCTCCTCAACGGTCTGGCCGTCCGCCGTGCCTGCTACGGTGTCCTCCGCTTCATCATGGAGAGCGGTGCTAAGGGTTGCGAGGTTGTTGTGTCCGGAAAGCTCCGTGCTGCCCGTGCCAAGTCTATGAAGTTCACTGTACGTCTACACCGATATGGAAATGGAGAAACCGCTGGGAAAACAAGCATTGGATATTTGGACTCAGGATGACCGGGTGGTTGGCTGGCTGTATGGCTTTATTGGTCACATCGGTCATTCTGGAATATGCTCTGCTTGTCTACCCTACGCTCTACCCCTCCACCTTCACGCGACCCAATTGCGACAACCAACTAACTTCTCCTAGGACGGTTTCATGATCCACTCCGGTCAGCCCGCCAAGGAGTTCATCGACTCTGCCACTCGCCACGTTCTCCTCCGCCAGGGTGTCCTCGGTATCAAGGTCAAGATCATGCGTGGTTCCGACCCCGAGGGCAAGGCCGGCCCCCAGAAGACCCTCCCCGACTCGGTCACCATCATCGAGCCCAAGGAGGAGCAGCCCGTTCTCCAGCCCATGTCTCAGGACTACGGCGCCAAGGCCCTTGCCGCCCAGCAGGCCGCTGAGCAGCAGCGTCTGGCTGAGCAACAGGCCGCCGAGGCCGAGGGTACCACCGAGGGTTACGCTCAGGAGTAAAGGAAAAGAAACTTTGATTAGTTTTTCTCTTTTTTCAAAATATCTACTTCCGCCCACCTTTCTCCCTTTTCCTTCCTGTTCTAACCTGAGCCAATACTCTCTACACCTCACGTCAATCAAAACTACATGAACACTTCCAAAACTTGCCTTTTTCCTTCTCTTTTGCTTCGGGATGCATTCTCTGGCGTGATGTTTGATGATTCTTACGTCGAACAATCTCAATCATGATTGGAATGAGAGCAACTCTTGTTGTGAATAAGGATGTGCCTCGTAAGCTTTATGTCGTAGGTCGATATGCATGATTGTTTATCTCCAGGATATACTATCGTTTGTTACCGAGTACTTGTAATTTATGCCGAGGACCTCCTAGATTGAGGGCATCTAAGCATAAATTTGAGCTTGCAGGGTCCACCTCTGACGTATGCCCATGGACTAACTAGTTACTAGTTGCTACTTAGGTGCCAGTACTAGTATGGACCAGAGTACTATCCAAGAATCTGCCATACTACTAACAAACCACCGACAGTAGCTGGATTGGAATCTAAGAACTACTGTGTACAAAATACTAGTATTTGGAAGAATAGGAAAGAAAGATATGGTTATAAAGTTTCTTCATTGCTTTTGTCATCTCCACTGCTCTAATCGAAACATGCTCAATATGTATCTCGCAGAGCCCTCCATCGTGTCATCATCTATCTGCGTCAAAGTAAAGGGAAAGGGAAAGAGAAATGCGTAGAGCAATCCAAGTCTACAGGAAAGGCTCGATGTTGATCTCCAGGGTACTGACGGGGTTCTTGAGTTCGTACTTCTCCAGCACGGTGGGGTGCAGGATACCAAAGGAACCAACGACGAGGTCCTTGCCGCCGATGCGAACGTGGACGGAAGCAGCGTGACCGTGGAAATAGGTGGGATCTAGAAACTATTAGTAAATTATACATAAGAATAGTAGTGGGCGCTTATCCATGGAACCTACCATCCAGCTCCTTGATGTAGTACGATGACTCGTTCATGCCGACGTCCTTAGCGTCCTCGTCGTTGGGGACGAAGGCGCTCCGGAGCATAGCCAGAACACGGTCCATGAGACCGTGTACAATCTCGAAACCGCTGTTACGACCGTACCAGGCGGCAGCAAAGTGTCGTTCGTTGCGAGACTTGCGCTCCAGGGACAGGTCCTTGAAGGCAACGTCGCTGACCTCGAAGATCTTCATGGGCAGGGAGTGGGCCTTGTTCTCGCGGATGGTCTTCAGAAGACCGGGGAGAAGACTTGTGCGAACGATCTGGAACTCGGTGGTCTTGGGGTTGGCCAGCTTGACGGCACTGGTACCATCGTCTTTGCGGTTCAACCACCCGAAGTTCTCATCGTGCGAGCAGAGAATCAGAGGCATGACCTCGGACCAGCCGGCCATGGCGGCCTCAATGCGGATCACATCGGACAGCTTGTTGATGGGGAGAGGCTGGGCAATGGTGCCAGACTTGCTGGGGAAGGACTTGGGGAGCTTGTTGAAGCCGTAGGCGATAGCAACGTCCTCCATGATGTCGCACTGGTGGAGGACATCGGCGCGAGTGGGGGGGGATCTCGACGTCAATGGTGTCGGGGTTTTGGGTGGAAGGTCTGGCGCGGAAAGACATCTTCTTCAGCAGAGTGCTGATCTCAGAGGGGCTGAGGTCCAAGCCACAGCATTGGTTGATATAAGACACTTCGGCATGGGCAATACGTGGGGCGATGTCAGGGGTGATACGAGTCTGCTGGTTGTGTTCGGAAACAATCTTGACGGGCTCAATACTATCGGTGGGTTAGCTTTTGAAATTCTAACTCGGCATGGATAGGTCGACTAACGTGAAAGGCTCGGTAGTGTATTGAGAGAACATGGTGACCATCATACGGTTCACAATCTCAAGCTTCGTTTGGTCAGTGGCAGTCATCTCGATGAAGATGTTGGTGGTTTCCATAGAGATCTTGGAGTGATCGCCATTGATGATAGGAGGCAGGGAGCAAACGGTGCGGTTGGCATCGTAGATGACCGGGTAGACGGGGGAGTCACGGATGATGTGCAAATACTTGCCCAATTGTTGGTGCTTCTGTTGAAAACTGTCAGTATTGTTCAGTTTCCGGGGAGTGAGCTTAAGAGGTGCATACATCGTAGAAGGCCATCAATTCCTCTCCGTTCATCTCCTGGGTCTGGTTCAAGGGAGTGAATTTGATGTCCTTAGGAGGGAGGGCCTCATAGGTGAAAGGGCCCTTGACAGTGTCGAGGTCGTGAGTACCAATGGCAACCAGAGTTCGTTGACGGGCCAAGTTTTGGTGAAGCTTATCTTGGAGCGCAATGAAGGACTCATAACGGGCCTTGTCGAACTTGACTCCGCGAAGGATAGCGCCAGAGACGTAGGGTCTGATTCTTGTGGTCTGTGATATATTTAGTAAGTGATGTTATCTTTCCTGAAATCTTGGTTGAGGACACCCACGTCTTCCTTGACAATAATTTCCTGCAGTTCAGCGGGCTGAGACAGCTTGTACTCGGGCAGTGGTTTCCGGCCGAGGAAGATGTTGAGCATCAACTGAATTCCTTCAATACAGAGCAAATCATATCTGTAAGGTTGTTTAGTTGGCAAGTTCTCCATCCATTGTATAGATATGTTCGACATACCGGTTGGCGGGGATCTCGATCTTCAGTTGCGGGGGCTCCTGCACTCCGTCGACAATGGGTCGGTCCTGGTCCGTGGTCTATAGATTCTTAGCGATTATCCCTCGTGGGTGATATGGTGTCTTTTTTTGTCTTGTGGTGCGTACATCTTCGTCCAGTTCAATGCCTAATTTCACTCAATTAGTCCATGGACCCCGCAGACGCAAACTTTCGGAAGAAGGGTCACTCACCGAATTCGAAGCAGAGCTCGTCGAATTCTTCGGTAGTATATCTGTAGCAATGCGCGAAAGCCGTCAGAGGAATTCAAGGGTATATATACGCAGAGGAGATTCGTACGTTTGACCCAACGCTTCGAAGAGCGCGGCCTTGTCGACCGAGATAGTGGGCATGGCGGGGAATTCTCGATGCGATACGAGGCGATATTGATCTGGAGGAAGGTGAAAGAAGGCAAAGAGGATTAGTCGGAAAGCAAACTTCAAGCCAACATGAACCAAATAGAGCAAGAGCACGACTTACCAAAGAGGGACAAACCAAACAGCACGAGGGGCAGCGATGACTCCGATCAATCGGGGAGAAAGTGGAAATTCTGCGGGCAAGCCACACTTTTTGCATGCGCCACAGCCACCCCTCCTTTCCTTCTGGTCAAAAATACACAGCATACCGTATTGTCACACTCTTCACAGTGACACCACCACATACCCGTATGTCATTTACAGACAGCAAAAGCTGGCAGCTTCACTAGTAAGAGAGAGAGAGAGAGAGGGCAATGACATTCATTGCTGCCCATCGATATCGCAATCGATCGAGATTCACATAAAATCACCTCTGGCCCATTTAGTCACCAATACTACACCCATTCTCGAATCCTCTAGGCGGTGTGTACCCTTTTTTGCTTCTCAGGTATGGCCTTCCCATATTCTTCTGCCCTGCTTGCACTGTTGCTAGTCCTTTGCCCACCCCACGAAACCAGTCCCAAGTCCTCCGGGCATATCCCCCTTCTCACTCCAAAACCAACTCCCCTCCTAAACCCCCCTCACCACATCACCACTTCCCCTCCCCCACGACCGGAACTGACCTTTCCAACCTCGAACTCAGCCTCTATAGCTTTTGAGTTCATGGTCTCGACCTTTTTCTCTCGCCGATAATTTCTCTGTGCCGGGCGCTCCATCCAAAAACCCGCCCACCGATATCCACCTTTGCTGTCTAGGACCTGGGACCGGCCATCGTGCACTCCCAGACACCTCCTCCTTCTCCGTTTCTACTTTAATACACATCTCGTCTGTTCACAATGGAGGGTCAAAACGAGAATGACGAGCTGTACCCTATCGCGGTCCTCATTGATGAGCTGAAGGTACAAACAAGCTCCGCCCTCCCCTCCCACTGCTGGAGGGGGGGGAAATCCCACTGCTCGAGGTCCAAGTTTGCTCACATTTGTCTAATCGCAGCACGACGACGTCCTTCTCAGACTCAATGCTATCCACCGTCTATCTACCATCGCTCTGGCCTTGGGTCCGGAGCGAACCCGCGATGAACTGATTCCATTCCTCGATGGTCCGTGACCGCCCCTCCTCCGACCCGGACGCGCGCTAACCCACAACCCTAATTAGATTCTGTTGAGGACGAAGATGAAGTCTTGACAGCTCTGAGTGAAGAATTGGGCACCTTTACAGAGCATGTCGGAGGACCGGAACATGCACACGTGCTTCTATCTCCGCTGGAGAACCTAGCGGCGATCGAGGAGCCTCTGGTTCGAGAGAAGGTGAGTGATGCGATGCAATCATCGGATCTGGTCTACCATTCTGTCTCTAGTCTAATGTTTTCTTTTCTTTTTCTTTCTAGGCCGTCGAATCCCTCAACAAGGTCTGCGAGCAGCTGTCTGAAAGCCAAGTCGAAGAGCACTTTGTTCCCCTGGTCCTGCACCTCTCCAAAGCGGATTGGTTCACCTCCAAGGTCTCCGCTACAGGTCTGTACTCTACACCATACCGGAAAGCCAATGAGGCACTCCAGCAGAGCCTCCGGCAGCACTTCGGAAACCTTGTACACGATGAGACCCCTATGGTCCGCCGGCAAGCGGCCAACAACCTCGCCAAGTTCGTCAAGGAGATGCAGACCGACGTGATTATCGATGAAATGATACCCCTCTTCCAATACCTCGCCAACGACGACCAAGACAGTGTCCGTCTCTTGACAGTTGATATCCTCATCGCGATTGCCGAGGAAATCCCCAAGGAGCAGCAACCTAGCCACGGCGTGTTGCTCACTTCTCTGAGAAACCTGTTTGAGGACAAGAGCTGGAGGGTCCGGTATATGGTTGCTGATAGATATGAGAAGGTTAGCGAAACCTTACCATACCCAGGATCTTTGGAAGAATACTGACTCGAGGACCATAGATCGCCAAGGCTGTGCACGAAGAGGTTGTCACCCGCGACATGGTGCCCGCCTTTGTCAAGCTCTTGAAAGATACCGAGGCCGAGGTTCGGACCGCCATTGCTGGCCAGATTCCCGGTATGCTTCCGTCCCACGTTGTATCCTCGCGGCCTTGGGCCTGGGCTAACCTCGTGACTAGGCTTCTGTACTCTGATTGATCGCGATACGCTGCTTAATGAGATTATGACTAGTGTTGAGGATCTTGTCTCTGACCAGTCTCAGCATGTCCGGGCGGCTCTTGGTACCCAGATCAGCGGCCTGGCGCCGATTCTTGGAAAGGACGAGTAAGTTTCGTCCACTTACAGATTTTGCAAAAATCCAAGTGACTAACCCCTGCATAGGACTATTGCCCACCTTCTTCCCATGTTCCTTCAGATGCTTAAGGATGACTTCCCCGACGTTCGTCTGCACATCATTTCTAAGCTGGAGCAGGTCAACAAAGGTACGTTACACACTCATACAACCATACAGAAGCCGCCTCGGTCTAACATGCTTCAGTCATCGGCATCGACCTTCTTTCTCAATCTCTCCTCCCTGCTATTGTTCAGTTGGCCGAGGACAAGCAATGGCGCGTGCGCCTCGCTATCATTGAATACATTCCCCTTCTCGCCAGTCAGCTTGGCGTCAAGTTCTTCGATGAACAGCTCAGCGATCTCTGCATGGGCTGGCTCGGCGACACCGTCTTCTCCATTCGTGAGGCGGCCACCCAAAATTTGAAGAAGCTCACAGAAGTTTTCGGTGTGGATTGGTCAAAGGAGTCCATTATTCCGAAGGTTATGGCTATGGGCCAACATCCGAACTATCTGTACCGCATGACCACCTGCTTTGCTGTTTCTGTCAGTCCTCTCCCTCTTCGACCGCTACGTGAAAATATCCTACTGACTATACCATAGACTCTCGCTCCTGTTGTTACCCTCGATATCATTGAAAGCTCCATCATCCCCATCCTGGATCGACTGGTCACCGACGAAATCCCCAACATTCGATTCAACGTTGCCAAGTCTTACGCTGTTCTCATCGATACCTTGCGCCGTCTTCCAGAGGACAAGACCCTGGTCGAGGTGGAGAAGTCTGGAGAGACTGTCACCCCTTCGCCTAAGAGCCAGGAACTCATCCAGCAAAGAATCATGCCCAGCCTGGAGAAGCTGCAGGAAGATGACGATGTTGATGTCCGATACTTCGCCACGACCGCGGGCGGTAACCAGGAGGAGGCGATGCAGACGTCTCCTTGAAGCAATTTCCCAGGAGTGGTGGAACTCACATGAACTAGTAGTTTCCTCGGGAAAGGCGATTTTCATGTGCGCAGAGCAGATGACAACAAAACCACATAACAATTGGGGCATGGCCATCCTGTCAGCTTAGAGAATAGCCAACTTTGGGATGAGATGTCTTCGATGGCGTTTTTAATGTAGAGGTTTATTTGCGATCTATACACAACCCTTCTATCCCCAGGTAGTCATAAAAGCAATTACGGCAGTTTAATAAGTTCTTCTTTCGACAGTTTGTATGGAGTTGTAGATAGCACGATTCTGCCCTGAGCCAGTCACCGCACGTCGTTTGTCAGCGAGCCCGCAGTGACACCTTGCACTTCACACTTCACACTTCACACTTCAAGTTACTTACACTTGCACTCCGCGAAGCTGTCCTCTGGCATCTACAAGATAACGATTACCATGGATGAATTCAATTAATACAGAAACATCCATTGAGATCGTCAGAGTCGTACATATCGTCCCATCTTAAAGATATCCATCACATATTGCACCTCCAAGTGCCGATCAGCATTATAATCGCACCAGACAAGACAAGAAGACCAGTCTATACGCCAAACAAGATGTCATCTTCATGGCCCTGGCATTTTATTATCATCGCTGGCGATGATAAAATTCGCCGTCGCGAACTGCTCGACCTACGCGGCTCGTACGCGCAATGGTCCGTGATCATCGCCATGTCTGTGCTACGGGTCTACCAGGCATGGGCCACGCATTCTGCAGCCTCTACGAATGGTACCGCTCCATCAAGACCACGCAGAGGTACTGTCTCCTGGTGGGATCGCCCCTTGGTGGCAGGCTGGATCGAGACTCGGAGACAGTATCTCGTATCCGGTCTGTGGCTGCTGTGGTTAACGGGGCTGTCAGTCTGGAATAGTGGCGAAGGTATGCATTCATCCATCAATCGATCTATATCTATATCAATATATATTCTTGTCCACAAAGGCAAGACAAGGATATCAACTTACACTGCTCCAGATTATCTCCATCTCACCAAGGCCCTCGGTCACGTCGCTCTCTCCCAGGTTCCGCTGCAAATCTTAATGTCCCCAGCAGCGTATATCTCCACTTCAAAGCCATCTGCGTCTTCGATCTTCTCCTATCTCACTTCCATTCCACAAGCAAGCGTCACCCCTTACCACCGTCTCTTCGGGCGAGCGGTGATCGCACCCCTGCTTTTCGCACACGCAACTCTTTACCTACTCTTCTTCGTCCAATCCGAGCATCCTGACTTCGGAATTTTGCTCTTCAAGCGCGTCCGTGACTTTGATGTGCAATGCGGTCTGCTCGCAATTAGCATGACAACTGCCCTGGTGCTGTTTGCGCGACCTCGTGGTGTCGCATCGAAGGGTGCTCTCGGGGCGGGCTCAATGCAGGAACGAAGACGCCTGTTCTATTATATCCATGTCATTTTGGTAGTTGTATTATGTGCTGCGGCGTATTGTCATGTGGCCCAGGCACAGCGGTACATGATTCAAGCACTGGGTGCTTCTCTCCTGAATGGGGTGTGTTCTTTGGTTATGGTTCGATGGGGAGGAAGGTCTTTATTGGTGCGATGTGTATAGTTGCCAATAGCCCTGTCTCCAAGATATTATAGTTATGCAATAAGAGGCGTTGTTGGAAAGTCTGGGCCCATCAAGGTATCCAAAAGGACCCGACCCACTCCAGACCCTGTCATCCGGAGTTTCTGC